ACTAAATACTACCAAAAACACATGAATGTAAATTTTCAGTTTTGATAGAAAGTTATGCAGATATTTGCCCTTAGTGCCAAATCTGAAGTTCCTCCACTGTCCACTTGGGGTTGTCTCCAAAAGTGAGTCAGTCCCCATAGAGCCTCATGTTGAAATGTTAAACTTTGCTGCAGAAATACACAAATACTCACAAAGAAAACTCCACAATTTGTGCTGTTAACTAGACAATTCAAGAATTATATTTAACTTATTCTTAGTAATTATATTCTAATTTAAAAATATTTTTACTGAGTGTGTCTGAGCGGCCTTCAGGAGGTGGTAAAGTGTGGTTAACTCTCAGTTCCAGCAGGAAAGAGCAGATTTTGTTGAGTTCATAATGGAGGGAAAGAGTGACTCAGGGATAACAGTGAAGTCCAACGCTGATGTAAACGCCGTGAAATGGTCTAAACATGTTTTTGCAGTTGACCTTCAGGGCCACCGTATTTTCCTCCTTTTCTACACAAACTCGCTGTGACTCACTGTGAAGTCAGCTCTTCCTCTCATGGTAACAAACCCTCCCCTCTTATAAACACCCATGTTTCTCTGCAGAGTCCTCCCATCATGCGCTGCCCCCTGTGCTTCAGTGGAGGGTACTGCATCACATCAACAGCTCAAGAGTTGAACAGATCTGTGCTGATTTCATGAGTTTTGCAGGTTAGTCGTGCTTTCACAGCACTTTTGCACAAAAATTAGTCTGTGCAGAAGTTTTCATAACTTCAACTAAAACACCATCTGTGACCTAATCTTCGAATTTCATTGAATTTTTCTTTTTTCTTTGCACCGAAAACTCAATCACGATAAAACAATGTAAGACTTTGTCCCTGTAGGTCAGTAATAGGATCGTAATTTGACGCTAATTACCGTGTCAGTGAAGGTCACATGAAGTCCTCACTGGGAGATCATTGAGGCTGATGATAGAGAAGAAGGAAAACCACAAACCCACATGGTGGGCTGTAAACCGACACACACACTAATCTGTTTTTAACCTCTCACACACACAAATACCACATTTACTTTAGCTAATAAAGCCGCTCTAAAGATGAGTCAACTGCAAAATGAAAAAAAAGGGGAATACAGAGGGACAGTGTGTTCCTGCAGAGAGTTAGAGGCGAGAATCTGGTGGCTATGTTTGCATAGCTGACGTTTTCAGACGAATTCAGCTGAACTCAGAAAGACACAAAGAACGTGCAAAAAGACTTTAAAATCTGACGGCGTTGAATTCATATGCAAAATCTAATAAACTGCGGACAGGTCAGACCACTCTGTGCACCTGTGATCCCTTTAACATAGATACTCTAATTCAGGTGATAGGTGAGGTCTATTATCCTGTAGGTGTGGCCAAGAGTCTGAACGCTTCAAGACCTGAATTTCTCTTCGGACCTCGACTACAATTAAACTAATGTCTGACCCCCCCCACCTCAGTCCCCTCAAACACACACAAACACACATGCACTTAAACACACACGCACACACAAACACACAACACCACCCCTCTGAGGCGGCTTCCCTATAAACTGAGCCAGAGAGAACTCAATACCAAACCAGGCGGCCTATTTCATTCACATGGCGCTTATTGGTTCTGTCTATATGAGTGTGTGTGTACGTGTGTGTGTGTGTGTGTGTGTCCTGTTCTTCCCTACACTGTGGTAGGGTAGTAAAAGTAGGTGTGCACCACACAAAGCAGTCGAGAGATTGCTTGTAAAACTCTCTCACAGCCACCGCACACACATACAGAAGCAGTGTAACACACACACACAGACAAAACACACACTCCCGTGCACACATTTACACACACGTCACTGATAGCGCTCATGCAATCATACCAAAAAAACGGCCTTCAGCAGAATGAATGAAGAACGAAGCTGAGAGAGTCTAAGTGTCTGCAGAGATGGAGGCTGCAGCTTCAGGACCTCGAATCTGCGGCTGCATCTACGGGACCTGCATGGACTGATTGTTGTGACGGTTAGTGGTTTTGTTGCACTCAAGAAACACAGCTAAAAATAAAATTGTGGCCCAAAAAAGGGCCTGAAACTGCATTTCCTCCTGCGGCCACTTGAGGTTGTCTCCAAAAGCGAGTTAAATCCAGAAGAAATTGAGTTTGTGTGCAGTGACGACCAAAACGTGAAAATACAGGCTCCGAATAATCCGCCGTGGAGGGCGTTACGGGATCATGTGTTCATATTTATTCATCCAATAAAAAATAAATAAAAAAACACCTTCACTCATTGCATGCTGGGATACGCTCCAGATCTCTGTCACTATAAAGAGGAGAAGCAGTTTAGAAAAATTGATGGATGGATGTGAGAGAGGGAGGAATAACATCAGGCCATGTTTCCATTACGCTCTCAAACACGTAGACACACCTAAACACGTAGACACACACACACACACACACAATCACACACACTTCTATCATCATTAATTGCAGCGTGAATGCAGCTATCCATCTTCCTGAGCAGAGAGCAGACCTGCATGGTGAAGATGTTAAAGTGTGAGTTTAAGTGTGTGTGTGAATGTGTGTGTGTTTACCAGGCTCATCTGTCTATTGATCCCGCTGAGGTTGGTCATTATTACTCGGCTATTGTGGAGTGGAATGTAGAGGAGGTGTGTGTACATGTGTGTGTTTGTGTGTGTATGTGCATGTCTGCTTCCTCTCTTCCTGACAATAAATCCTGAGGCCACATTGGCACTCAGCACTAATGAAGATGGCAGTCTCTCTCTCTCTCTGTCTCAGTCTGTGTGTGTGTGTGTCTGTCTGGGTACTAAACAGAGACTTCGATCCGTCTGCTTCAGGAAAACGTGAAAATGCTCAGAACTTCATTAGTTTATTGTTTGTCAAACACTCACATTGGTTTAGTTTTGGACTGAAATGACAGTTTCTGTTTCTGGACGGACCTGTGATTGAAGGTTCGAGCCGCAAAAGGTCATTAAACAAAAATATCAGAGTCCTCCTTTTACACCTGATAGCATCCTTTACCTCAGACTAAAAAAACCGGCAGCTTCACAACAACCGCAGTCAGCCTTTTTAAATTGTTTAGGTAAGAAAAAGAGCAAAACTACATTTATATAACTCCAGGAAAAAATGTTATACTTTATTCTCTGAATCTGCTCTGCAAAGGTTTTCCTCTAAATGTGTCCCCAGATGTCTCCGTTTCCTGATAAAATGTTCTTATTTAGGTATTTTATTTGCAGAAGATGACGACCGGTTTATACAATGAAAAAATTCTGAATTTCTCAGACTTCAGAAAGTGTTTTTATTTTCTAATTTCTCACATTTTCAGTGCACTTAAACAAACTAATCTCTGCAGAAGTTTTCATTGATTTGTCCAAAATATAACCTGTCCTCTATTCTTCAAATTTCATCAGTTTTTTTACACTCAAACTCAACCACCAACAAATCTTTCTCTCTGTACACTCCTTATTTAAGAATTACCATTTAACTTCCTATTTACACCCAAAATCCTTTTTGTTCTAACCTGTCTCTGGATGTCCTTATTTCCAGAGAAACACTCTCAGTTTGGTCTCTCGTTTGCAGAAAATGATGGATGATTTAAAAACAAAAAAAAGATGCTGCATAGTTCAGACTTTTAAAAAGCAAAGAAAAAATCTTTTTTATTGTCTGATAACAAAAATTCTCATGTTTTAACACACGCAGGGAGACGTTAGAAATCAGTGTTTCCTTAGTTGTCATGAATCTCGGTGAGCTCTAGTCTTTCTCATCGCTGTCGGGTGACGGAAAATTTAAGCAGCTCGACTTTTAAAGACGACAAATTCAACAGAAGAACAGAAGGTTCGACTGTAACACTGTGTGACAATGACTTTGTGTTATTTTATTTCGTCGCTCTTTCTGTAAAAATCTGTATATTTCAGTGTTATTTGAGCGCCCCCGCCTGTGTATCATGGAGTTATCTGATTTAAAATAAAGTTACTGACTTTATCTACAAATGTTGCTGCGTTAGAGTCTTTACAGGTTTACTGTTTTGCTCACTTTAATTTTTTTTTGTTATTTTACTATTTTCTAAAGATTCTTTCAAGAATAACTTGTCAGGTGATTTCAAAATCGGCACCATGTCAGGCAGAATGAGTTAAAATTCAGCAGACGCGTGAGAAAAGCTGCTTCCATACATGGGACGCTGAAGATTTGGAGCAGCGCTGGATAAAGAAAAAGTTCCCCCAGTAAGAACTGTAACTTCTCACCCTGTCATTACGTTACACCCCTCATTTTGACGTCCAATATAAGAGACTCTTTCTAGAGAAAAGGAGGCGACGCAGCTCGAATACAAGAATTTACTTCCTCCGTCTTTATTCTGACCTAAATCACTTAGAAGGAAAATGAAATAGTCCTATTCATCATAGTGCGCTGAAACTTTTGCATAATTGTCACATTTTTTAAAAATACAGCACTGTAATTTTGTTTATTTATTTATTGTTTATGTACTAGTCGTATGAGGTGTAGTGTTCCTCATGTATCCTGCCATTTAATCCCCTTTAAAACGCAGTGTTTTGATGTATTTTAGTCAGAGAAACTTTCATTTATTTTTATTGTGACTCATGGGAACAATAACTAATATTTATCAATAATAATCAATATCTTAATTCTAAGTTTTCATACAATTTTTTTAATGTATAATTGTGTTACTGAGGAAATATTAGGTTGTTGTGTAAATGTGCAGATTAATTCCCTAAGTGTGTAAGAATCAAGTTTTCCTAATCAGAGTAAATGCAGGGAGGTGTTGTCTTCTGGCGCCCTCTGCTGCCATGGAGTGTAACTGCATGCTCTCTCTCTCTCTCTCTCTCTCTCTCTCTCTCTCCTTGTCTCTATAGAGGAATCTATAATTCTTTTACAAGTTATAATGAATATTTATGAGCAAGGCCCTAGTCTGAGATCAGCCAATCAGCTGACAGCACAGCGACTGTAAATCAGCTGACAGCTTGCCTCTCTTGTTCAGCGGTGGCAGTAAATGGCATTGAATTATTTATATTTCAAAATTTCGCTGACGTTTTCATCTCTGAGGAAGCTAAAATGGGAGCGCTGGTGGAATAAAACGCAGAAACTGGATCAGAGTACAGTGGAAGGTGAGGAGGTCAAAGGTCACGGCGTCTGGTAATGGCTGAGTGACAGTAAAACAACAGGAGAGAGGGTATGGAAGTCAACAGCTGATGATATGAAACCTTTTTTTAGTCCTGAGGTGATCACTCTGGTCCTCTGACAGCTCAAAGCACTTTTACGTTACGTGTCATATTTGGCGTTTTTAGACCTCAGGAACTTTTTCATTGTTCCAAGAACCGCAGGAACCCTTCCTCAGTTTTATTGGTGCACTACAGGAACACTAAACTACAACCTAACTCATAGGAACCTTTCTAGGTGAAGCTTCAGAGCAGGTACTCTCCCAGAACTAGAGGGATTTTGATTGACCTACTGTAAGTGCGTGGTGATTGGTCTATATGTAAGTGTGTGTTGATTGGTTGAACATAAGAGCTAAGTCAGTATCACTAACTGTCATTTGCACCCTACTGCAAACGTTAGCAAGTAACACGAATAACAGACAGTATACGCTCACAAAGAAACACAACAAAAGGGCCGACACTAAAGAACAGTTTCACTCTGCAAATGGTGAATTTAAAGGGATATTCCAGCGTAAAATTAATTCAGGGCCAAACACAACGTAACACCGAGTTAGAATGTTGTCGACCGCTTGCTTCTCTAGTTATACCAACTTTAGTAACGACCGCAGGATAGAAATACAGAGAGCCACGCCCTCAACCAAAACGCCACTCTATAGCCACAAATAATGCTCAGAACAGCACCTAACTTCATCAACAGGACATATAGGGTCACAGACATAGTACTAGACACCAAACATCTTTTTAACTTTGACTCATTTCTTTAGCAAAGAGACCAAACACAACTCACCTACTCTCTTCCAGCAGCCGCTTGCCTGTAGCGAGACCTCAGGCCAGTCCATTACGGACTACAGCGGGGTGACTCAGCTCAAGGAAGAACATTTATGATCATTTCTTCATAGAAATGTCATGAAACATACTTCATTCATCTATAAGTATCAAGGTAAAATCTAAACAAGTTGCAAGGAAGCTTGATGTGGGTACTTATTTAAAGGGAATGGGGTGGAGTTCATAAGTTATTCCTCTTCTCACTCCTGTTCGAATATGTATTTCCATTGTTTATATTTTTGGTTTACGTATTCGAAATAAACTTCGATCAATCAATTTAATTTTTGTCCTCATTTCTTTCATTTTTATTAACTTTTGTTGTTTCATTCCTCTTTTTATGGCTTTTCTTGTGAATTTCTGTGTAATTATTTGTATTATTTAATCTTACTGGTTAGTGTAATACATTTTCTCTTTTCTGACAAGTTTATAATTTGGATTTCAATCAGATTTTACTTTAATTTAAAGTTTATACCCTAAAGCAAGTCAAATTTCTCTGAACTGAAAACGATAAAGGCGGGACTTCCCTTCGTCTGACCAATAGGAACAGAGGACACTGGATATGCTTTGAAAGGTCGTCCCTCATAAACTGACGATTCCCGGCAACACTGACCAATCAAATTAATGAAAGTTCCTTTAGTCCCGCCTTAATAAATCCCTTGACCAATCCGAAGGAAAAGGTTCAATAAAACTCACTTCGATTGGTTTAAAGAGAGGGAAAAACGTGACGGCGGACTGGCTGTGAGCGCAGAGGGTTTCTAAGTGACCAATGAAGGTTGAGGACGTAGGCGCTGAGCTTATAAATGACAAGGTGACCAACTCCCCCCTCCTACATTCACTGACTGCCGCTGTGTGCGAGAGCCGCTCATCCCGGACCCTCCGAAAGCCGAACTAACCGGTAATATTCGCCTCCTCTGCTCTAACTCTGCACCAACAGGAAGTTAGTTTGTCTTTATAAATGCACGTGAGTGTTACAGGTAAAGGTAACCGCGTCAGGAAGCAAACACTGTCATTGCTAACATTGCTAGCTACAGAGCTAGGTCGGCCATTCAATGACTTGAACCCTTGTTAGGACTCGTGCGCCCTTAGGAGACTGTGCGCGTGGTTTACCTGTGTGACAGGTGATCTGACAGCACGAGCGTGATAACCGGACTCTCTCTGAGGTTGGGGTTCAGAGGAAGCGGATCCCTGAGAGGACCCGGCCGAGCACCGCGGACTGAGACCTGCGTGTAAAATGTCTGACAGTCTGAGGCCTACCGAGCCCTGAACCAGTCCCGCTACAAGGACATACACCTGTCACACACCTGAGAGGCCGCACCGGAGTGTGTTTCCCCCCCACAGGTGGTGTGTCTCTGCAGGCGGAGCTCCGTGCATGTTGTCCGGGCTCAAAGTGACCGTTCGAAGCTTATTTTTGACCTTCAGGGCTGCAGCCTGGTTAGCTTAGCAACTTAGCTCCTCTGAGGACGGACAGACCCGGGTCCGACATGAAACGGGTGACCCCAGCAGGGAGACTAATCCGTCGAGAGAAACTACACCGAGTTAAAATCTCTGAATCCCGAGATTTAAGGGGGAAACTCCAAACAGGAGCGTGTCCAGAGAGGTGGCATGAGCCCCCCTGTCTTCTGATTGGCCACCCCAAAATCAAGAAGTATGATTGGTTAATTTTCTTAATAGAGGCGGGACTTGTGTTAAAATCTCTGGACTTTTTTGGCTTTTTCCTTCTTTCAACTTAAACTTAAAAATGCTAAAAATAACACGCTGTAGGACAAATTGATAATTAAGTAATTAGTCCATTAAATACAATCCAATTTAACCGCTACATCTTTTCTAAACTCTAATAAGTCATGAAAATGTTGAAGGAAATTGAGCACCTGTATGATCCTGTGTAAGTCTGGTCACACACCGGATAGTTTTTGGTTGACTTCAGGTCATATTTGCTTCAATCTATACAGAAGGTACATTGAGATTGGAGAGCTTCTCCATTTTCAGTGCAAAAGAAAACAGAGACCGAATTAAAAGCACAAAAATAATTGCAAGAAAAAAGTAAATAAATTAAATAATAACAGGTACAGACTATAAACATGATAAAATCCTCTAGTGCAGCATAGACAGTGAAATGAAAATAAAAACTGCATACAAGAATAGGAAAGGAGATCAATATTAAGGTAGGATCGTACCATATATTGAGGTAGGATTCACATAGCAGCAGTGGTAATATATTACACTATTTGTATTCTTGTTTGAGGTTTTTCACAACAGATTATTTGTCCAATAATCCTCCAAGTGTGTTGCCTCCCAGTCTTGAAAATGTAGTTACCCTGTTAAAAAATTTTTGCCTCCTGGTTGGACCTTCTCTGACTTGATATCTAAAATACCTGAGGAGAGGAGCAGACTGGGGAGTGTAACAAACTGGACGTAGTGAACTTTGACAGCTCTCAAACATGGCAGCGACTGTAAACATCACAATCCAAACCCACACCAGCCAGGATTTTACTCATTATAATCATTTTTAACCATCATGAAGCAGAACAGGCCAGGACAGCCATCTGATTTCTCTCGTGTGTGTTTGTCACTAAAGTCACATTTGATCTCACAAGAAACGATGAAGTTTAGCAGTCATCCAGTGTGTGGCTCAGTGAAGTAATTAAAGTGGATATGATTAAAGGAGACATACGAGGTAAATGAGTGAATGTCGTTTACAGGTGAGAGTGAGCGCTCATCTTTCCTCATACTAAAAAGTTTGGTCTTGAAGTAAAAACTGTCCTGGATGTTTGAGTCACTACAGTCTGAAAATGAGGGCATTAGAGTCATTCATCCTCAGCGTGTGTGTGTGGATATTTAGCACTTTATCTGGAGTTGATCCTAGCACAAGTGTCCGCAATTGGATTAGCCTCTTGGCTGAACCGACCAAGAGCAACAGATGAGGATGTCTCTCCTCAGACTTGACCTCTTTTTGTGTTTTTATGGGCGAACTATCCTCTGTGGCTGAGCTTCATCGATCCTAACTCTGACAGGTTTCTCATGGAGGGTTTTAAAGTGAGCGCACTCTGGTCCTGGACAGTGAACCTGAGGTCGCTCCTGTTTGCAGTAAAAGTGTCAGAAGCTGCTGGTCTGTGGAGATCAGACCTCTTTAAACAGCTGCAACCTCTCTGTTCAGACTCTGAGATATTGGATTATCACATCCTCATGTTATGATGAATCTCATGCTAATTTACTTAAAACCAAACAGTAATGACTAATTATATAACATGGTTACTGAACTTAATGCTTTGTTTAATCAGATCACTGACTGAAACTGTGCTCTCTCTCTCTCTGTCTTTGCAGCTCCAGCCATGTATGCCTGCGCCAAGTTTGTCACTTCTCCTGCTGTGGTATGTCAGCGTTAATGCTTTATTTCTTACTTTTTCTACATGCATGTTGGATTTTAAATCTGCATCAGTGAAGAAAAGAGTACATTAACCTTAGTTTATCCAACGACAGGACCTTTTCTAAGTCAACAATAGCAACTATAATCGGGCAGTCAAAGTTTTTCAGAAATTAGTGCTCTCAAAGTTGGACATGACTCGATGCTGTGTGAGCCTTCACCGTCTTCAAGGACACTGCAGTCCTGACTGACAGCCATTTTTGAACCATGCCTCTTGTTGCACAGTTACATGTCAGCTGACCTGCAGCATGTGGGGCATCTCGGTCACAGAGGTGCTGTGGAGGACAAAGTCCCATATTTACATCTGACACTCGGAGTGGGGCTTGAATTATAGTCGTGCCAAAATACTGCAACTCAGTCTTGTTCACTGCGGAGGAAAGTTCCCCTCATTGCAAAAATGCACGGCTGCAGCTCCTCTTTTTGACGTACATCTGCTGTTTAACTTCAGATGATTTACATCTTAAATTTGAGTTTGAAGACTTTTCTTCAGCTGTTCATCAGTAACACTGTTTTACAACTTTCTCCACATCAATAACAGAAATAGTCAGACTTGTGCAGTTTGTTAGTTTGTTGATGTCGCTTTCCAAATGATTCAGTGGTTCAGTTTTTGAGGGTATCTTGAGCAGAAAAGTCCGTCCTCCAGATGGTTGGTGCTTTAGGTTCCGTATGTTAAAAAAGTGATGCTGTGGGTGAATGTGCTAATTTTGTTGAACTTTTTATCTCTGTGCAGCTGCGTGGGGGGTCCAGAGTCCTTGCCCGGCCAGTCTCAGTCTCCCTCTTCAACAGACCTGAAGTCACAGTGGAGCAGCAGGTCAGTCCGTCCCTCTATGATCGATCTAGAGAGTGTTGTTGTTAAAGCCAACCTGCTGGAAGTCCCTCTATTGTGGCATCGTGTGCAGGAGCAGCATGTGCTGAGTTTCCCCTCTGCCTTATCTTGCAGGCTCTGTTGCTAGTTAGCCAGTCTGCAGTCCTAGCCCGCTCCTTCCAGACCAGCGCCGTCTCCCGGGACATTGACACTGCCGCCAAGTTCATCGGTGCTGGTGCTGCCACAGTGGGTGTGGCCGGATCAGGAGCTGGAATTGGTACAGTGTTCGGCAGCCTCATCATCGGCTATGCCAGGTGAACGTCTCCTTTTTGCGAACAGACAAATTGCTCCACCTCTAAACTGCTCGACTGATCTTATGTGTGTATGATGTCCTCTCTCTGAGGCTGTTCCTGCAGGTTTTTGTTTCTGAATTTTCTGTATTTTAACCGAACCTCTGTCGTCCTCTTGCAGGAACCCCTCCCTGAAGCAGCAGCTCTTCTCCTACGCCATCCTGGGTTTCGCCCTGTCTGAGGCTATGGGTCTCTTCTGTCTGATGGTGGCTTTCCTCATCCTGTTCGCCATGTAAACCGGGACACACGCCCTCAGCTCCCCTCACTCACCCTCTCTCCCACACCTCTCTTTTTTTTCTCCCTCCCTTTCTTCCATCCGGAGGGGGTTTCCTACCACGGGAACTCTTGAATGAGCTGCTAGGCCATTCCAATCATCGGAAATAATAAAGGAAATATTAACATCCGAGGTTCACAAACCTCGAATCCAAGATTTTTATGTTCCTGCGCTTGTTTTTGTTTTTCAGACGTTTTATGTAAGACCTCACTTCGGTTGAAAATCTGTCCAAAATAAATGGTTGGGATAACTGACAAGTCTGTGGTGTTTCTGTCTGATTATTCAGAGGGTGGATCACAATCAGCTTCTCAGACCAGGTGTGTTTACAGTCTCAAGGAAACCAGGTTTTTAGGCCTCAGAGGCGAGTTCAGGTTATCTCAGTTAGAGGTTTCCTCGTCCTCAGGGCCCACAGACTCACTCTTCACCAAACTTATCCTCCAGAAACATCAGTCAGCACTGTCAGTGTAGCACCTGTCTGAGCATGTATGTGATTTCACTACAGGTGAAGATGGTTTCACCAACAAAGTGACAGAATAGGAGTCACGGTAATGCCAAAAATTTAACAATTGATTATTTCTAGTGAAGGTAGTGAACAGTCAAAGAAGACCTGCCCCCTTCATTTGCATATTATTAAACCTTGATATGATTAACAGCTGCGTTTACACGGGCCGCTCACAAATTTAAAATGTTGACTACACAGACATAAGAGAACACAGCTATATAGTTATATTCCCATATGTCATCAATAACTAATAGCTGTTGACTAATATTAAAATCTTTTTTTGTATGTACACCACAAAAAAGATGCTTCCTTAATGGAATCCTGCCTACCCCACCTTTAACACACTACCCACAATAACACCACATTCAAATAAACATTGTGACTGCAAATACAAATTGCAACAGGAAGAAATGTTTATTACACAGACATGGTTCAGGATGCAACACAGACAGTCACCCATGGTACCGTATCATTGGCGCGCATGTTGGAGCTCATGTATCCCTGTTTAAGTGTTTCTCAGTACTCACGGATAGCAATAGTTGACTCAAACCCTCGGTTCAGGGGAGTAAGGTGAGCGGAGGTGGAGAAACTAGTCCTGGAGACACTTCCTGGTGCGACAGCTGGTTCTTTAGCGACAGCATGACTCCCGAGCGCCCCCTACAGCAGCGGCAGACATATAGGTACACTAAAAAGAAATTAAAAACACTGATAAACCCACTTTTCATTCTCATACATCTTCATATTGTCACCAGTTCAAATAATGCCCATACTCACTCAGGAAACTCGGCGCTAAATATCTCTCCCTCGCACCTGCGCTGTCTCCTCGCAGCGAGCGGGAACGAGGCTAACGCTAGCTAAAATGGCGTCGCGGACGTTTAGTAGAGTTCCCGCTGAAACAGATCTGAACACGGTTCACTCCCACATTTGGTGCCGGTACCACACACACAAACACCCCGGTTTAAGATTTTAGTAACAACAGTAACTTTAAACGGTTTCAAATAGTTGTTTCCATGGTGTTAAACGTTACTAGCACGAGCCTCGTCGCCTCTCTGTCTTAGTCCCGCCCCCTTCAGAATCCGATAGGTAGTTTACACTCACCTTTAAGAGGCACGGATTGGCTAATAACAGATTGATACCTGGTTACTCAAATAAACAAAATAAACATTCAGGGACCATGAAGAACATGGGACATTTTAGTACCTTCCCCGAATGAAGCGCACTTATTTAATCTGATTTAATTCAGGTTTATTTCACCATAGACATAATTTAAAAGGCAATAATGTAAAATATACTGAATATTTGTAAACCTAACACACAAGAGGGGAAGAAAAACGTTCACAAAACTGAAAAACAGAGCGTTGACTTCCAGCAGCGAGGTGATGAAGACAGTCCAGTTTTATTACTTTGGTGCTGTGATGATGATGATGATGATGATGATGATGATGATGGAGGGTATGTGACTGTTTTGAAACCGTGATCTTGGTTTATCTGCGTCCACAGGACCGTCATGTGTGGTAGTGAGTGGGTGTAATCTTGTGTTACTATGAACTGAGCGAGATTGGGAGCTGGACGGCCTGTGACCTTTGAGGTTATTTGACACTACTGTGTCCGTCCATGGGAACTGAATTTTCCTTTGACGTCTTTTTGTTCCTCTCTGCTCAGATATCAGCTCAGACTGAGAGATATCAAAAAGGACATTAAGCTGCTGTACTGGAGCTGAAGACGCTCTGATCTCCTTTATCTGAGGCGTGGAGGTTTGAGATAGCCGTGCGTTAAATAAAAGGAGTTGTTATTCAGGCCGGTGGAATAAACTCACTGTGTCAACCATGTTGTGTGGAGCAGCCGGCTGGACTCTGGTTCTGTTCTGGACTTGTTTTGAGATGTTGGGAACTTCAGGACAACCAGTGGACAACAGAGAGGACAATTCGACAATCAGCCTTGAAAGTGGAGGATCGGTGAAGGAGGAGAGGAAGGAAACTTCAGCGAAGAATAACTCCATGAAGGTGAGAGGGACACAAACCGGACTAAGACTCGAGGACTCTTATAACAAAAGTTAGTTTGGAGGTTCAGGTAAGGGTTACATTAGACACTACGACGTCAACATGGTGAGTACTGAGCAGCACCTTTACAAACAAAAGAGGTCTCAGAATTGTGGCCCTAAATCTGCAGGCTGTGGGTCTGCAGACAAACACACAATCATTCTCATCACTTCTAACAAACCTTCACTGAAGTCTCTGTATTTTTACTTAAACAGGATATTATCGTACTTTTGTTTCAGCCTCTCGTCCGTCGGTCCCAGTCGCTGTCGGCTGCAGAGAAAGAGTTCACCCTGAACAGGAAGAAAGTTTCCCTGAAGTCGCTCAACAATCTGGGAGTCAAGTGTTCGCTGGTGAGCTGACCAAACTCTCAGAACCGTTTTCTTTATTTCTCCAACACACTTTTATTTCCATCGTTACAAACATGACAGATTAAAGAGATGATCATAAACGATGGTGGAAAATCTTCTTCACTCTCATTGTTTCCCATCTGCAGAATACGCTCCCTCACATCGCAGTCCTGGGCTCAGGTGGAGGTCAGAGGGCAGCTGTGGGTCTGCTGGGTTCCCTCCATCAGATGGAGAAAGACGGTCTGTTGGACTCTGTGCTCTATCTGGGAGGAGTTTCTGGATCTGCCTGGTAACACCAAGAACCGATATGCCAAGACAGAGATGACACTGTTGGAGGTTTAGTCGTGTCATGAAGGTCTCTGTTTCCAGGTCCATGTCTTTGCTGTACAGCGACCCTGAGTGGAGTAAAAACCTGGACAGAGCCGTGTCTAAGCTGAGCGGTCCTGGGATCAGTCCGGAGAAAGCTCTGTCCTGGTTGGACGGCGTAGCGAAGGACGAGCACTTCTCTCTCTCTGATATCTGGGGGCTCATGACCTCGGCTGGGATCATGAACCAGGTGAGAAGGTCGAAGCTGTCCGTCCAGAAAACAAAACACACTTCTTCATAACTCATAAAGTTTGGTCTTCTTTGCAGCTGGACCTTCGGCGTCTCTCTGAGGACAGCATGAGCGGCTTTAATCCGTACCCTGTCTACAACGCCGTGAACAAAAACTGCCTCAAACAAGGGCCTGAAAAAGGTACGAGACTGAACCCTCTGAGGTCTCCTTCAGTTCTTCAGATTAATGCAGCTCGACCGTCTCTGTCTCAGGTAAATGGTTCGAGATGACCCCTCATGAGTCCGGCTTCACTGATCTGGGTCTTTTTGTCAACACGTCCCATCTTAGCAGCATTCATCACGGGTCAGAGATGGACATGGTCAGGCTGCAGGGTGAGTCCGACTGCAAGAGTCTGAATCTTATTCTTAAAAACGTGTTTGTTTGCATGAGTCAGTTTGTTTTTCCTCAAATGCATCGCAAAGTAATTCTCAGAAAACATCTCCAAAGATTCCAGGTTTCACCTTCATGCGCCTGCAAAGAATTGAAGTTCCTGCAACCCCTGGAGCCTCCAACTCATAAACAAAACCTGCTGTTTTTTCTAGTTCAGCAATAAGACGTCAAGTACTGAGATTTGATAACGAAGATGTTAAAGTACAAGAAGGTGAACCAACCAGACTTCCTGGTTCCCCGTGTTTTTCAGCAATGCTAAGCAAACACACGACTGACAAAACTTTCTTCTGCAGGAAAAAGGAGAACGGGGCTGTCAAAATCACCAATCATCATTTAAATAATGTGTGTTTGTGTGTTTGTGTTCTTGTCCTGCAGGAATAGTGGGCAGTAACGTCGCAGATGAGCAGAAGATGGTCGACTATTTGCCCGACTGGCTGAAAGGTGAGTTCTTAAATCAGTTTTAAAGTTTCATGTTTAAACGTGCAGAAGAAGAAATAACACGCTGTGAACCTGCAGATGTGTCCGGAGCTGCAGCGACTGATGAAAACAACTTACTGGACGTGGTTTTTCTCTGGACTGAAGGTATCACATCATCCGTAAAATCCTCTCTGATCTGTGAAGGTGGAGGTCATCGTGTTTTTGTGTTTCAGCGCCGCAGCAGGTGAAGAGTTCCTGGCAGGTGTTGGACCATTACATGAGAGGATACCACAGTCTGTTGAAGATCACAGAGCTGATCCGGAAGAACACGGACGATCCGGCCGTGAAATCTGATCTGGACGAGCTGCAGAAAATCATGAGAGGTGACCGGGAGATAAAATCAGTCTGACACATTAAATATAATAGAGAGTAATACGAATCCTCTTATTGTTCTCCAGAAAACATGAACTTAAACCCGACTGCGTGGTTTGGAAAGAAGAGTCCAGAACAGCGAAAACTGATCCTGGAGCAGTGGGGTCAGAAGATGTTGGAGCCTTTAAAGAATTGGACCCAAAGTCTGAAAGAGGGACCGGTCAAAGATACCGGTCAGTGTGCCAACCAGACCTCCTAGTTTAGACTCTAAGAAGGATCATCTGAGTTTTCTTTCTCTTCCAGTCTCCTTACTTGTCAATAAAATCTTCCCGCTCATCGGGAAATGGGAGTGGGGAACGACTGAAAACTTCCTCCACAAATACCCAGGTAACTCCGCCTCCTCACCTGCACAGGTGTGATGACTGCAGCCAGAACATTTGTATTAAACCGCACAGAAGCTGTAAAGTGTTTTGCGTTGCTGGACAGACGCTGCCGTGCCGCCCTGCGTCAGACAGAAGGAGCACCTGCAGCTGATAGATGCAGGCGTGATGATCAACGTACCGTTTCCTCCTTTCCTGGGAGAAAAGAGGGACGTGGATCTGCTCATCGCTCTGGACTACGGGGCTGATAAGACCTTCACGGTGAGGCTGAATGCATATTCGAGAAAAAAACACCTGTGCATGATTTCTGTCTGGATTTGTGGTTCAACATGAAAAAAAAAAAAATTCTCAAATGTGGACAAAGAAAAGAAAAACGGCTTCCTGCTAAAGAAGGAACAGAATAGAAGTTTTCTGCATGGAGAAATCTGCAAAAACGTCCCAGTTTTTATGTTTTTTCAGTGACAAAGCTTCTTACCTGCGCTTCATGCATAGAGTAGATTAATAATATAAACATGGAAATCTTTTTCTTGGACAAAATGAGCTCTTATTTGTGAGTTGCATCCTCCCCAGACTTCACACTTTGATCAAATCCGTCTCATTTCTCTTCACAGACTCTGACTCAGGCCCGAGATTATGCTGCTGAGCTGAAGAAACCTTTTCCTGAGATAGACGAGGAAGTCCTGGAGGAGAGAGACTGGCCGAAGGACCTTTACGTATTTGAGGGGACAGAGAAGGCGCCAACCATCGTTTACATGCCGCTCTTCAACAGAAACAACTGCAGAGGTCTGCTGCAAACACGTTAGTGAGAGGTGAAGTGAAAATGTGAAATATCTATGAGATCATCTTTGGTTTCTGTTCTGGTCCAGATGCAGAGGAGGTGGAGGCAAAGATGGAAGAGTTCGCCACCTTCCAGCTTCCGTTCGGTGGGAAAAAAATGCAGTTTTTGTTGGAGACGGTGAAAGAAAACATGAGGAAGAACAGAGAGGTTCTTCTGAGAGAGATCAACAAGGCAGCTGAGCGCAAACGGGAGAGGAGGAGGTAAGGAAGAGTCGGTGTGAGGAACAGACGTCATAAATAAACACTTGAACAGATGTTTTTTCTTTAATATAATCTTTTATTTGTGTCTCACAGGTCCTCAAACGTCAAAACTCTGAACTTCAAACAGTTTACGTCCCGCAGACCCTGAGGAAATATTAGAGAGTGTTTTTACTTTTCATGTTTTTCTCAGATCTTTGGGAGAATGTCTGTTTTTGTTTGAATAGTTTATGTTTCATGTCTTCATCCTGTGTGTAGTAACTCAAATCAAACACTAGGGGACGGTATTCACCCACACTGTTTCGATTTCTATCAGCTCTTCCTGAATTTTTTACAGGAGTTTTACTATTTTCCTGCCTATTTTATTTCGTGATGTTATAATCTAATAAATACAGAGGTATTAAACTACACAAGGAATCAACTCCTACAAAATAAAACAGGAAACAAACACTGAAAGGGGAACCAGGGGAAAACTAAATGAACAGAACATATCATGACAGTTTTAACATCAGAAAAGTTTGAGTTAGTTTTCAAATATGTGAAAAAATCTGTGAAAAATAAACATTAAAAAAATGAAAACTTAGTGAAAGGTATAAACGATAGAGCTCACTGAGGCTGTGTCTCATTTCAGAGACCGCATCGTGATAAGCGCGCTTAACGGCGCTTAGCTGAGTGCACTGCCGTTTTTAGCCGTTTTGCGCCGTTCTGTGCCCTTCCTGTGTCCCATTTCAGATACAGCAGCCATCGGACGGCGCATCTGACGCGTACGTGAGGTCACCACGCGGCACGAACGGTGTCCCGTTTGGCACAAAATACTAAGCGCGCTTCAAATTCGGTCTCAAAACCACACTACCCCCGCCTCGTTTTCAAGCGTGCATGTATGCACGCTTTCGTGCCGTCGGTATCCCAGAATTCTTTGCGTGCCGCTGCACAGCTGTGCATTTCAGGTGAGAGGCTGGACGCGCTTGGAGACACAGCGCGTCTTCGAAGAAAATACAAGAAATCCAAAAACAGCAGACAGTCAGCTCAGGCTGTATGAGAGCATGATCTCTGAACTCACTAAAATTTGTACACCAAACATTATAGATTTAGAGACGAACTGATCCGCTGTGCTACAACAATCAAAAACATTAGAAATGAGAAAGCTGACAAAACTACAGCAGAGTATCAGGACAACATTGAGGTTTTTTTTCTTTTAAGATTTAGAGATTAAAGTTGTAAATTTAGGAGAATAAAGTCATAAAGTAAATAAAGTCATAAGGCTGCTTTTGCGGAGGGGGAAATGACTGAAGCTGGTCATCTGCAGGGTTATCTGTGGATGTATCAGCGGGTCATTCAGAGAGATTTTGTGGTTTCTGAAGAAACAATCAAACTGATGATAATCAACATTTGTGATCCAGAGGGAGTCGAGCTCCGACGAGCACCACGTCTCTGACACCGGCCGTAGCCTACACCTGCAGAGACACCAACACCTTATTATGGCATATGGATTCATATCATAAATTAAAGCTCAATGTCATTCACGGATATTTACGGCTGCATTGACAGATATATCCTCAGCATATTCATTTCTGCCTCAACAAAAGCAGCGATTTCCTTCAAGTACACCAATATTTTTCCCCGTGGAAAAGACGTATTTCTCATATATTCTTTTTAAAGTCTTTATACTTATGACAATGTGATGCTGATGTGCCAGAGGATGAAGAATCTCCTTGTTTGTGAAACCTATACTGAAGCACAGTTCCTTCAAATGCTTCATGGCCCTAATTTTAACAAGTCTCTTTGAAATAACAGGTTATGACTTCATTCTCATAAATTAATGACTTTATTCTCGTAAATTCACGACTTAAATCTCGAAGTCCTTAAAGTCTTAAATCTCAATATGGCCCTCATACTCCTTCTTACAAAACAATCATTGGATGAATTGTGCTTGTATGTATCTACTATTTTGTGTCTGTGTAAGGTCGCACAATTAAAACAATAAATGCTGCGCTCCGCGGGTTTCCTTTAAGTCAGTCGTGACGCAAGCCTGAGGGCGGGGACATTTGGCAACTCCACCAGGAAGTCCTCCGAAGGTCTCCAAATGTCCCCGCCCTCAGGCTTACGTCACGACTGATTAGAAAAAAAGCTGCGGAGCGCAGCATGTATTGTTTTAATTGTGCGACCTTGCACAGACACAAAATAGTAGATACATACAAGCCCAGATCATTCCCACAAAATTCATCCAATGATTGTTTTGTATGAAGGAGTATGAGGGCCCTATTGAGAAGGAGGATAGGAGATTCTTCATCCTCTGGCACATCAGCATCACATTGTCATAAGTATAAAGACTTTAAAAAAAGAATATATGAGAAATACGTCTTTTCCACGGGGAAAAAAACTGGTGTACTTGAAGGAAATCGCTGCTTTTGTGGAGGCAGAAATGAATATGCTGAGGATATATCTGTCAATGCAGCCGTAAAGATCCGTGAATGACATTGAGCTTTAATTTATGATATGAATCCATATGCCGTAATAAGGTGTTGGTGTCTCTGCAGGTGTAGGCTACGGCCGATGTCAGAGACGTGGTGCTCGTCGGAGCTCGACTCCCTCTGGATCACAAATGTTGATCATCATCAGTTTGATTGTTTCTTCAGAAACCACAAAATCTCTCTGAATGACCCGCTGATACATCCACAGATAACCCTGCAGATGACCAGCTTCAGTCATTTCCCCCTCCACAAAAGCAGCTTTATGACTTTATTTACTTTATGACTTTATTCTCCTAAATTTACAACTTTAATCTCTAAATCTTAATAGAAAAAAACCTCAATGTTGTCCTGATACTCTGCTGTAGTTTTGTCAGCTTTCTTATTTCTAATGTTTTTGATTGTTGAAGCAGAGCGGATCAGTTCGTCTCTAAATCTATAATGTTTGGTTTACAGATTTTAGTGAGTTCAGAGATCATGCTCTCATACAGCCTGAGCTGACTGTCTGCTGTTTTCGGATTGCTTGTAATTTCTTTGAAGACGCGCTGCGTCTCCAAGCGAGTCCAGCCTCTCACCTGAAATGCGCAGCTGTGCAGCGGCACGCAAAGGATTCTGGGATACCGACGGCACGAAAGCGTGGATAAATGCACGCTTGAAAACATGCTAAGCGCGCTTAGCATTTTTTAGCATCTCGTGCCAAACGGGACACCGTTCGCACCGTCGTGACGTCATGCACACTTCAAATGCACCGTTCGACGGTGCAGAAGGGCACTTAGGTCGATGCGGTCTCTGAAATGAGACACAGCCTGAGTGTTTCAGCCTTGAAGTGTGTTGAATTTGTGGTTTTTGTAGGACCTACAGCAGTTGTGACTTTGCATCAGTAGGTGGTGCTGTCCCAGTGACCCATATTTATATGTACACCTGCTGAGGCCTCGGGTGTTAGTATTTATAATGACCATAAAAAACTCTTAAAGTATGGAGGACGACAAGAGACAGAATGAAATATATAAATAAAGCTTTAAATAAATACTTAAACATGTCATTAATTAATTAAAATGGGAATTAAATAAATAAATGTGTCATTAAATATGTTAGTATATTGTAACATCATTTATTCAATGTAAAAACATATATAATTATTTCACTTTTTGATAAATTATTTCATAGACCTGTGTTTCTGTCTTAAAGTGGCAGAACTGTGTCTGTAAATGGAAGTCAGTACAGCTCGTCTCCAGTATGTGGTGCTATGATCAGAAACAAAAAGCTGGAGCCGTTAAATATGTGGAGCCGACTGGACATTGTGACAGGGAGTCCTACCTCCATCCACAAGGTGGCGCTGTGACTTATACTGCGGTCATACATGTGAAATATGAAGCTGATTGAATCTTGTCTTACTTCTTAGGAACTTCCTGTTTGTCGTCTGCAGTCGTGACCAAATCTCTGAGTTTGATCAAATATGAATAAATTCAGTTTTTTTACATAAAATTAAATCAGAGGACTTCCTGTGCGACTTTGAAAAGAGTCCCCTTAGGGCTTAGGATTGAAAAATAAAAACAGATCAGTGATCAGCTTTATCCTCCAGCATGATCTCAGACTGGGAGAACACAAACACTGATGGAAACCAGTTTGTTTAAACCAGTTCAGACCTACTTCAATAATTCGTCCTGTCCTCTTTACCTGCAGGTGCACATAAAGATTCTCATACACAGTTTTTACCCCTTATACTCGTTCACTCTCTGACTCATGAACTACTTACATGTCGTGACATTTCCTGCAGGACATGATCTTCTTCTTCTTCTTCTCCACTTCCTGCCGTCTCTCTTCGTCCCGGAGCTCCTCGCTCTTTCTTCTTCTGTCTATCTGTCACTTCCTGTCTTCCCGGTGATGTCAGCGGTGAGGGATCTCCTGCAGATAAACATCAAACTCCAGAAGCCGCTGAGGTCCCCGGGGTCAAAGGTTGAGATCTATACAGCCATCTGCCTCCTGCAGGAAGTGACCGAGGCCTACGCCTGACCCCAGGCGATTATGTGGTATCGTGTATCTGAGAGTCGGTCTGATGGACCATCAGGACGGTTCAGTACTGTTCTCTTTAAGTGGAGGGACTCCCACACGGAGACAGGCCTCACTTCCTGCAGTTACACCAGGCAAACACTAGTCTGAAACTGAGCAGTGTAAGGAGACCCAGTTAAATTTGAATGATGACTAAATTACAGAAATTTTCACCCTGACAGTTCAAATGTGCAAAATCAGGTTGTCTGTGTTTCTGTTTTTGCATCGTTCAGAAGTTTGCAGTATGTTTGCCACAAATGCACCTGTTTTTTTTTTTAGTTTGCATCATATTTCAGTTGCTGCATTTTATATGTGTTTTTAGAAATTGCATAAATTCCAATTTTTCAGCCTGTTCCTCTCACTTTAAGAAGTTTTTTTTTGGCTGTTGCAGTTCTTGCCCTTCTCAGCCACCGTGTGCATACAGATTCAAATATTGTGATTCGATTTTGTTAACGCTGTATTTGAGTAAATGTGCACATGCAGACCGCAGCATTGGCTCTAGTGTGGTTTGATTATAAGCTGCACAAATATACGCACTAAGCTCCTGACAACTTCCTCCAAAGAGTCAGGACTAACGGCAGGACTTTGACCAGTATTTCCTAACAATTCTCCTCAAGAAGTCCGGGTGAGCAGATGTTAATTTGCTGTATTTATAGATATATGAATATAGATTTCCACGTTTGACTCACGTTTGAACATCAGCTCCAGCTCAGCAGGTCGAGTGTGTCGCTCCTCTCTGCTCCTCTCTGCTCCTGTCTTTGTTTCTCGGTGATTTTACACACTGACTGAGCGTACAGCTAGCTAACTCAGTGACCTTGTTACGGAGCCTGGAGGCTACACACTCATACACACTCACAGACACACACAGACAGACACACACTTGCACGCACGGATGGACACACTTGGAGTCATGTTGCCTAATGTCGTCTCCAATCTTCATGTTCTTCTAATGTGTGTTTTCTCCTCTTCTTCTCCTCTTCTTCCTCTTCTATCACTTTTTTTCCCCTGTCAGCTTTACTCTCGTTTTTCTTGCCCCAGTTTGTCACATTTCTTTCCCATACTTTTGCATGAAATACATCTTTTACCAGCCCTTCTCTGAACGTTTGCATAAAGAAATTTGTGCTGAATAAATATAAATCAAACGTAAACAGACATATTGTTCGTGCATTTGAAAAATTTAAATATTTGAATGTTTTATTTTCCACAGTAAATCACGTGAACTTTGATGCATTAGATTTATTTTATTTTCTTGAAATAATGCAGACAACAGTTTTAGTGTTTTCTTCATACTGTTTATTTATATCTTAAAAACAAACACAGACAGACACCCTTCACCTGAGCGGACACTAACACCTGGTGCAGAGGATCACAGCAGCCCTGCGGAGGATGTTTACTCGCACGGACACGGTTGTCATTCATCGACCGGCGAGTTGACAGAATCGCAAACCCACCGACAGCGATGAATGTGAACCGGACACCTGCGCAGGAGCAGGAGGAGTGCACCGCGGAGAAGAAATTATAGAGGGAGAACCGAAGGAGACAAACATGCTGTGATTTTAGAAAAACAGTCAAAGAAACAAAAAGGAAAGAAGAAGTCAGAGATGAAGCGCCTTGATGAAACAGTTATTTCTGTTTGTAGTAATATTTGAGTGTTTTATCATTTTTAAGTTGCAAACCCAAAGATCTGCAGGTAATTTAAGCAAAGTTCACTCCATACATCCTGATATCATTCACCTGCACTAAATAAAAATGATGCATCTTGTGCATAAAGACAGAGTTGATTATAAAAAACACTCACTTCTGATTTACTCTTTGATTTCTGCAAAATTCATGCAGAAATTTGAGTTTGTTATGCAATAAACTCAGTGAATGATTTAAGGAGGAATGGGTCAGATGACTCAGGCAGTTTGCGTAATACAAGGCCGTCCACTGGTGCATCTAAATAAATGGAAGTATATCTCTGTGATGCGCCGTACATGTGCGGTTTGAGGAGTATGCACCCGTGGCGTTGTGCGTCCCGGCCTGATGTGAGCTCATGTGTAAGGGTACACTCAACACTCGATGGTTTCTCTGACTCACAAACTCACCGACAGCGTTGAATGTTCCCGAACATTTGAAAAAACCCGGAGTGACAGCCAGCGAACAAACAGCCTGTCCTCCAGCGCCGAGAGGAGCGGACAGCCATGACAGGACTGACATGATGGGACGCAAACAGGAAGAGACAGGAGCTCTGCAGGTGCACGCACACACACGCCCAGCGCAGCTGAAGAGGACAGTGAAGCCAATAAGACCAACATCTTTATGACTGAGCCGAGCCGAGGATATTTACACTTTCAGCCCGGTATTAAAAGTGTTTCTGCAGAGTGTGCACATTTGGAAAATAATCACATGTGAGATTTGAACTGTAGATCAAATCTAGACTCACCTGCAGGCAGCAACTAACCTCACATGACGGCTCAGAGGTCCTCATGTATCTGCAGCTGAAACACAAAAGCAGAGATAGAAAAATGTTTGGTTAAAAGGAGGAGAGATCACAGCTCTGCACACAGTCAGTGAGTTTTTAGACTCATGAACGTATCAGGAAGAGAGTGCACAACACAGAGCGTGAGCAGCATGAGCAGAGTCTCTCTGATGTAACTCATTTGTCTCCGGTGAGACGTTTCGAGGTCAAATTAAAGTGGTCGGCATATTGGAAACGCTGACTCCGACTAACTTTCAATCAAAGCAATGAGGTCAGTTAATTAAGCCACGCCCCTAAATATGCGAAAGTGTGTAATATGTGTGTGTGTAGTAAGTTTGGGTATTATTTTATCTTAATGTCCAATGTGCATATAGAAGTACATGAGCTACATATCCGAACATGTTTCTGAAAGTGCTTTTTAATATGGATTCTAATGGGATTCTTTACTTTTGCAGACAGCCTCAAGTGGACACTAGAGGAACTGCAGCTTCTCTTGTCATCTGCTGAGTTTACAGCTTCTGCACACCCACACCAGCTTCCCACTGAGCATTTTTTGGTCTAAAGAGGTCTAATAGACGTCTAAATGTAGTCTAGACGACTGGTCTAAAATCAGGCTAACACAGGTCTAAAAATGAAAGTTTTTTAGACGTCTAAATTTAGACCAAGTCTAAATCTGGGCTATATCCATACTACACTGTATATTGCTCAATGGCTATCACAGTTCATTTTTGAAATAAATAGCCATTGAATAATGGGTTAAAGTGCAACGTCTAGATTCTGTCTAAAAATATACAGAATCTAGACGGTTGAAATTAGGTCTATAAAAAAACTGGACATCTAATAGCCGTCTATTGTTCAGTGGGCAATGTGCTGTTATGTTTATGGGTTGGGCTCTGTGTGAATATAAATGCATATTTTGTTTTTGTATGTGTAATTGTGATCAATATGTGCTGATGTTTGATATCTTCTGTATAATGTTTAATACATTAAAGTTGAATAAAAACTTTAATTACAAAAAATAAATAAATTTAGACCAAGTCTAAATCTGGGCTATATCTATACTACACAGTATATCACTCAACAGCTATTATAATTCTTTTGGTGAAGTACTTGGAGATCAGTTATGTAACTCACAGTTGCTTTTGTAGTGTAAATGAATATATACAGAATAACATTTGTAAAGAGATGAGAGATACTAGTTTGGCCACCAGGGGGCAACATAATCGACACAAACAGCAAACATACGTGACAAAGCTATATTTTTGAGGTGTTATATTTTGTCGGTTTAATCCCACTAAACAGGAATCAAAATCAAAATGACTTCCTGTTTTTTAATTAGATTTTTTTTTCTATTTTGAGGATAAAAAAAATGTCGCCGACAGGAAGCGGCTGAGATGTTCGCTCTGGTTTATTCTGCGTTATCTTTCAGCTCTCAGCCTTGAGCGTGATTGTGTGTTAACAAAATATCCAACCTGTGCGTGTGTGTGTGTGTGTGTGTGTGTGTGTGTGGTCAGGAATGAATGCGGCTAAATGCTGAGGCTGCTCTCCGTTGATTGTGCGATGAAGAAGGAGGGAGGACGATGACGGGAGGGGGGGGCACGGGAAGGAGGGAGGAGGAGGAGGAAGGGGGGAGTCAAGGGTGAGTGGAGAGAATAGAGCAGTGGGTGGGAGGGGGAGGGGGGGTCTGTCTGGGTGAGAGGAGTGTTGATCGATTCCAGGCTTGGTATTTTCCAGACAGGCTGAATGGTAAAGGTCAAAGGTCAGCGGCTCTTGTTTCCTATGAAAGAGAGGCTGTGTGTGTGTGTGTGTGTGTGAGAGTGTGTGTGTGAGAGTGTGTGTTCGCGCTCATGTGCGGCGACAAACATGCGTGTGAGTTTGCTCGACTTTGTGTTTAATGTGTTTTTTTAATCTCTAGTCATGCAAACCAATGAATGTGAAAGATCATCAGTGTGTGTGTGTGTGTGTGTGTGTGTGTGTGTGCTCATGCAGAAAAGGTGTCTGACTTTGTCATACGTTAGAAAAATAGTCTCTTTAAAGCCTTTTTTTTGTCTTTTTAGTCCTAAAATTAAGAATAAAATCCTGAAAACTGTAAAAAAATTTGATTTAAAAAAGTCAACGCTCAAACATCGGAATAAAAATCAGTATTTTTTCGGACATTGTCGACCCAAAACATTCAGTATTTCGGATTGTAGCACCTCTTCCTCTTTATATACAAAGAGAGCGGTCACCAGTTTCCCTTGTTGCCTGTAATTTCTCCATCTGTAATGAAACACAGGTGTGCAAAAACACGAACAACTCCAACCTGCGAGTTTCTCAAACACGCCTCATGTCTCTCACCGCTTCTTTGCATCCCTTCTGTTCAGAAATCCTCTCACCCTGACTGTGCAGGCTGGTTTGTCGGCTGCCTTGCTCAAGGGCGCGTAAGGAACGGCTAAAATTTACCCACGCTGCTTCTTCTGTCGGGATAAAACCTGACACATCTGCCCCACGCGGCTGCTTCCCTGTCTGTTCGGATTCATCTCCACCTTCAGACTACATGTGGCTGCACACATGAATACGCTGATTTAACATGGGGGATACACACACACACACACACACACAGAGTAATAAGAGTGTGGAGTCTTTTCTGCGGGGAGTTTTTATCTGGTTATGAAACAGACTCATATTAACTCTGAGGCCTCTTTACGAGCGAAGAAAGCAAACAAGAGCGTCGGAGAAAACGCTGATTTTTTTAAAGTCGTGAAATTAAAGTCCTCTGGAAAAATAATTTCATCACCGTGAATAAAAAAAACTTTTCCGTGGTCGGTTTATTTACACGCACAGTTGGGTCCAGGTGGTTAAACTAGAATAGCGGTCTTTACAAACATAGGTCAGCCTCCACGACACTAGGTGGCAGTAGGCTTGCTGAGAGCCGCCAAAACAGTCGCCATACAAGTTAGCATGAGGCTAACTCAGGTTTGTTTTGTTTACGTCCTTCCTTCTTTGTCTTTTTCTTCTGTATTCTTACTTCTTAAACTTTCTTTCTACATGCTGATGTTTTTCGATCAAACCGTTGAGTTTTTGCAGAACGCCAAGGCCAGTTTGGTGTCGACTCAGTCCTACATTTTACCTCGGTGAGACTTGAGCTAGTCTGATTTACATGGCTTACATTCCTGCAGACCAACAAAGCGATAAATAGTTAATATTTGACCACTGGTGGGCGCCAAAATCAATGCAATCGCAGAGTTCTTCAACAGAGCCTCGATGTTTGGGAAAAACGGGGTCAGTGAGGTCTTTGTTTGGAGAAAACTGAGTTAGCGAGTATCTGGGAGCGTGGACATGAGTGGAGAAGGAGTAAGCTGCACCGAGAAAACTACATGAAAGATTTAAAAAACTACACAAACGACACTCAGACTTGTACAACAACAAAACTGATGTTTGTTTCATTGGTAATATTTCTTATTTAGCCCTTAGAGTTTTATCAACTTTTACTGGACCTCATCTTTACTGAACTGCACTAAAAGTTAAATCACTATTTCGGTTTCATTCAAACATTAAATAAAGACGATCAGCTGATGTCTGAACGTTCACAGCTGACAGTTAACACAGCTGACCCACATAAACAAACACACTAATGAACAGAGTGAAGATGCACGCACACGAGGTTTGTCAGGGTTGCATTTTGTTTGCGTGTGTGTGTGTGTGTGTGTGTGTGTGTGTGTGACTGAGACAGATTGTGAGGAACACAGAAGGGGCTGGGGGGGGGTTAGTGAGTGAGTTAGCGGTGGTCCTCCCTTCCTCCCTTCCTCCTTCCCTCGCTCGCTCCTCACTACCCCACTGGCTTTCTCCCCTCCCCCACCTGGGACTTGAACCCATGACCCCCCGGTGAATGAGTTCAAGGGAGGCACCACCATTACTGCAAGTCTCAGTGTGTGTGTGTGAGTGAGAGTGTGTTTCAGTGTGACCTGAGTGTGTTTTCAGTTTTTAAAGGAGGTTCAGATTCGGAGGAATGCTTTTCTTATCAATAACATTGATAAATGATCGTGTGTGTGTGTGTGTGCACAAGTTAATTTTCCTAACGTGAGCTTTAAATTGGACGCATACTTTTCTCATCAGCTCATATAGATGTGTATGTGTGTGTGTGTGTGTGTGTGTGTGTGTGACTAAAGGAGAGAGTGTGTTTTTCAGTGACCTGAGTGAAGTTCACGAGTTTGTGTGTGTGTGTTTGTAAGTCATCATAGTAGTTATAATATGTGTGTGTTTGTGTGTGTGTGTGATGTCAGAGTTAATGAGGATGGCGATGACCCCCCCCCCCCCCCAGCCGCCCCTCCCCCTAGCTACTGGGTGTGTGACCAAGTCTGCGTCCCGCTACCTGGCCCAGACTGGATCAATACTTTAATCTAATTGTCATTCACTTCCACTGGGACAGCCAAAACACACACACACTAACACACACACACACGCATGCAACACGCTTATCTGCACAAACACACAAACACATGCTGCTTCAAGATCATATGCACACAAAAAAATCATGCACACACACACACACACACACACACGTATCCGATCACATGAGGAATCATGAATGAAGATCCTCATTGTGTGGATGGATGCTCTCTCGCTCTCTCTCTCTCTCTCTCTCTCTCTCTCTCCTACGTTAGCATGCAGCCTGCTCCTCCTGTCCTTTACTACATCCTCGTCTGTCCATGCTTCTTCCTCTCCTCCTCTCTCTCCTCTCTCCTCCCTGGGCGTTCCTCCCTGCCGTTGCATCATGCATGCACATCAGTGTGGGCAAACATCCGCTGACACTCTGTCACATCGCATTCATGTCTGCCAGCCTGCAGCCTCTCCCACAGAGTGACAATGGAGAGGAGATGTGAGGGCTGATCTGGGATCAGGCTCTGCTGCTGCTGCATGCACAACAATCAACCTGCACAAACCGAGCAAATAAAGGGACTTACCCAGCATCCTCTCCTGCAGGATTAGTAGTGTCTCTGTCCCTCTTTCTCTGCATTCCTCTGTCTCTATCTTTACCCCTCCCTCTGAAAAGCCACACTCTCTTTCATCTGTCTTCCTTCTTCACTCTTTACCTCTTCCTCACTTCCTCCTCCTTCCTCTCTCCTGTCGTTTATCACACTCTTTCCCTTTCTTTCTTCCTCTCCGGTGGCTCTCCGGTGTCTTCTTCCTGCTGCTGTAAACTGCAGACTGTCTGGCGAGGAGAGAGAGAGAGAGAGAGTGAGAGAGAGAGAGAGAGGGAGAGAGAGAGAGAGAAAGGAGGAGGAGGGGGAGGCGAGGTCGAGAGAGAGCGAGGAGAGCAGTGGGAAGTGCAAACCAGGACACACACAGCCTCTGTCAGTTTGAATGAATATTGTGCACACTCGGCTTGTCTCTCCTCCCCCTCTCCCTCTCTCTCTCTTTTCTCTCTCTCCCCTCCCGTCGACCAGACACCCCTCCTCCACTCTTCTCCTGCTTTGCCCTCCTTTGCTATCTCCTCCTCCTCCTCCCTCGCTGCTGCCTTCAAACATGTTCACACTCCAAGACTGAGTGACATTATGGAGCTGCACTTACTGACACCCCCCAACATGCACACACACACACACACACACACACACACACACACACACACACACACACACACACACACACACACACACACACACACACACACACACACACACACAGACCCAGACAGTTAACCCTTTGGTGCAGCTGCACATCCTGTCTGTTTGTGTTTATTATCATCTCCTCTGTACAGCCTGTAACACAAACACTCCCCGTGTTTCTCTGCAGACTCCTGCTCATTGTTTCACTGTCCTCAAATGTACAAACCGCTCAGGTTCACTCTCAGACGACTCATTTTAGCCTCCTCCACCAAAAAAAACAGGAAAAGTTGAATCTTTATATCCATGAATTATATTTCCTGATATGAGGTGTTAAAAAAAACTCCAAAATGATGTTTAAAGGTGTTAAAATGTTGAAAATCTGCTTGTTTTGCACTAAAATTCAAGCGTTCTGGTTCAGTGTTTAACACGAGTGAGTCCAATATCTGAGTGACATGTCTCCAAATGTGTGCACTCGTATTTCATGAAATAAATGTAGAATCCAAATGAATGAATCCCAGGATTTCTCCCCATTTGTGTTAAAACATGAGTTTCATATTTCTTGTACTAAATGTACATTTTCTGGTATTTCCAGGTGCTGAAAGTATGAACAGAGTTTTCCTGCCAAAAGGTTCAACACTGTAACTCGCCGTCAAAGATCTGCGGCGCCCTTAAAGCCGCTGACACGTTCCTCCCTCTCACGTTCATAACGTCTGATGTCTGCAGAGATGTACAAATCCATTCATCATCGTGTCTGTTTCTCCTTCAGATGGAAAGTGAAGGTTTGATCGCTCTCGATGTTTGTTTGTAGAAACTAGAAAAACTCTGAGGTTAAAGCTCAAATACTCGTCACAGTTTGGAGTGAAACAAAGAGGAAAAAGGGCCGAATGCAGAATGAAAAAAGGATTTATTTAAAAAGAACTGAATCAGAAAAAAACAAAAACTTACTTTCAAAATAGTTCGACAAAAAGAAATCCCAAAAGCAAAAAACACAAAAGAACCAAAAAATCCAACGAGAGACACTGAGGACACCGACGCACAACACCCACAGACTTACAACAATGAACCAACAAGGAAACAGGGGAAGACAGCGACTATATATACACACACAGGGAAACGAGCAACGAGAGGCAGGTGAGACACTGAGACACAGGTGAGACAATCACAGAGGAGGGAAAACTGAGGAGGTGAAACAAGACTAGAAACACACAAAATAAACTACTACAAAATAAAACAGGAAACAAACGCTGAAAACTGATCTAAAGAATAAAACACTGAGAACATGAGGGAACCGGGTCAGGCACAAACTGAAAACTCACAAGACTGGACTACAGGGAACAGAAACACTGAATAAACAGAAACTATCATGACAGAAACTAGAGAAACAGTTTGAGGTTAAAATTACTCACCAGATTCTGATCCACATTTCTGGAGATCCGAGGGCGAATCGTAGAAACGTCTTTAAACTGAACCTGAAAATCAAACACCTGCAGTCTCAGGTAAACGAACAGGCTTTTACAACATTCATCACAGCAGCTCCTCGGGTGAGTTTTGATGTTTCAGGATCACAAACTCTGATAAAAACGTTTTAATAAAAGTGAAATCAGGTTTTTCTTTTGTTTCCTTCTTGCTGTGATTTCCTGACGCTCCTCTTTGTTGCAGGTGATTTAAAGCGTCTGTATGTGATCTTTTAATCAGAGGCTTCTACACTTTGACTTTTTTACCTGTAACGATCAACCAAGTCTTTATTTTTAAGTTTGTGATCCTCCGGTCTGCAGGGACCGTCTACAAAGTGCAACAGCGACTCAAAATGATGCAAAAACGCTCAATAGCTTCTCTCTGGATTGGTGCAGACTAACCCAAGTCTAGGAAATAAGTCTCTGCAGAATTTAGGGGACATATTTACCTCTCCACGCCTCACTACTGTGAGTACAAAGTTCCCAGAAGTTAGACCTCCAAATGTTTTGAACTCGGCTGCAGAAACAGGTTTGCAGAAAGAAAAATGCAAATTTAAAAACCCTAAATTATAGGTCTGCAAAACAATCATGATTTCAGTTACTTTTATACTATAGTCTGTGATTCTAGTATTAAATCTTTGTGCAAATTCATCTCATGCAAAACTTTAAATCCTTTTAAATGTTTTCTTTACTTCTAATCTCTCAGGAGGTTCTTTTACGCTGCAGATGTTGATATTTTGGTTTAATCACATGTGAAACGGCGCTGTAATTATATATAACCTCTGCTCATACAGATAATTTAACATATTTCTCTCTTTATATAAAAAAAGGTGTTTCTGTTTGTTTGTGGTCATCAACACTAACCACACCTCGCTCTCTCTGTCTCTCTCTCTTTTATTTCCATTTCCACCGTTCCTTCACCCTCCTCCATCTCCTGCAACTTCTCCCCCACTCTCTCCATCATCCTCCCTCCTTCCTTAGTTACATATTGATTAGGTCGCCTCTCAGTGTGTGTATGTGTGTGTGTGTGTGTGCGTGCATATATGTGTGTGTGTGCATACAAGCCTGGTCCTGCTGTGGTCAATGAGGTCAACATGGTGGCCAGACAGACTTCCCCACCCCCCTCCGTTTTTGTGTGTGTTGGTTTCTTTTTGCTCCCTTCCTCCTCCATCACCTCCTCTCCCTCTCTCTCTCTCTCTCTCTCTGCTCTGAGGGTGAGCGGGTGTAGTCGAGGTGAAGGAGGCGTCGAACGACAGCGTCAGCATCCTTCATGAACTCACCTAACGGCCGGTCTGATCACAGCTGACAGAAAATGAATGCACAGGCTCGCCGTGTGTAGACCAGCATCACATCACATGTTAATGTGGCATCTAGATCTGACAGAGTGAACATGAAAGGTGCATCTAGTGTGTCCCCGTCTGACCGTCTCCACCTCAGAGGATAATGGAGAGACTCAGCACCTTCAGGGGGGAAATGATCGGACCTCTAAATCTAAAGAAAATCTAAAAAACAGTCGTTTATGTTCAGATTCCTCTCTGAAGATGATCAGGTGACGTCCCTCGCCTCTCCGCTCTCGTCTTTGGTGTTTTTTTCAAACACCACCTGACAGTGACCGCCCTCGCTGACCCCTCCGGCCGGCAGACTCTCTGTCTGTGTGGAGGAGGGGGCAGGATGGATGGGATCGAGGGGTCGATGGAGGTCAGGAGGCAAAGATGGAGAGAGATGCACACAGAGGAAGCCTGAGAGGACGCCGCGGCGGCAGCAACAACAGATAATCTGCTTCATGTGCGTTTTCACTCGTTCACTCTGAGAATCTGGTTCTGCTCGAGGTTTCTGCCTGTAGAAGAAAGTGGAGAAACAGTCAGTGTCTCTAAATAATAAAACAAAGGTTGTGTTTTTAACCTGCAGTTTTGAAGATGTTCTCATTTTCTCTAAAGGTTGGCCTTTTCTGTGAAAATGGTGTCAACACGGACAAACCGGCCCTCTGGATACCCTCCCAGTGGATGAACAGTGAACAAAAACCCTGCGATTGTGCACTAAATCTCTCTGGAGGCCCTTTAAGTTCATAAACTGAAAACCTTTCGAAATGCTCTTGCAGTTGGTAAAATGTAAACAAAGTGCCGTCTGAGTTTATTAATAAACTGTAAAAACAGAGCTCTACATAAATGTCATGTAAGTGATTGAATGTAAACAAAGTGCCCTCTGAATGCCTTTCCATGAGATTAGATGAAACGCTCTCTCTATAGTCGTCACAGTGGATAAACTGTAAACAAAGCGCCCTCTTGATGCTCTCCTGGTGGATAAACCGAGCCCTATCAAATCCCTGCAAGTAGGTAAATGTAAACAAAGACGCCTATAAATGCCATTCCAGTTAAAAATATATATAAATTAAGGCCCCTCTAAACACCCTTGCAGTTGGTTAGATGTAAACAAAGTGCCCTATGTTGTCCTCCTGGTGGAGGAACTGTAACTAAAGAGCCCTATCAATGCCCGACAAATAGAATAAATGTAAACAAAGTGACCTCCGAGTTTTTTTCCAGTTAATAAACAAAAAACACAGAGCTCTATAAATAACATATAAGCCGATTGAATGTAAACAAAGTGCCCTCTTGATTCTCTTTCAGTGGATAAACTGTAACTAAAGAGCCCTGTAAATGCCATACAAGCTCATAACGTGTAAATGAAGTTCCATCTGAATGCCGTTGCAGTTGGTGAAGCGTAAACAAAGTTCCTTGTATTGTCCTCATAAATGAAGGGCTTTTTTTGATACTCTTTCTTTGGTCAAAGTGTAAACAAAGTGTCCTCTTGATGCTCTTTGGGTGGATAAACTGAGCCCTATCAATGCCCTACCATTAGATTAATGTAAACAAAGTGACCTCTGAGTTCCCTTACAGTGGTGAAATTGTAAACAGAGGCCTACAAATGTCGTACCAGTTAATTAAATGTAAACTAAGTGCCATCTGAGATAAACTCTAACTAAAGAGCCCTGTAAATGCCATACAAGCTCATTACACGGAAATAAAGTGCCATCTGACTGCCGTTGCAGTTGGTGAGGCGTAAACAAAGTACCTTATATCGTCCTCATAAATGAAGAGCCCTTTTAATGCTCTCTCTGTGGTCAAAGTGTAAACAAAGTGCCCTCTAAAAGCAGATTAAATGTGAACACTCTCCTCTTTCGAAGCCCTTGCAGCAGATAATTGTTAATGAAGTGCCCTCTTAATGCTCCTTCAGTGGATTTACATTTTACGCAAGGTTTTTTTCTTCTTTTTGATGGTGTTTCCACGTTTGCTCTTTAAAAAGCCTGAATTCACCACAGAGCAGACTTAAGCGTATGGACATGATTCAGTCTGCTCCGTTTACAGCCTGTTGTGTAGAGCTGGGTGAGTTTACAGCAGCTGTTTGGAAGTGAAAGCCACAGAGCTGACACGGACTGCCTGAGGAATCCACCTGAAGCAGATGCAATAATCGTTGAGAGGGAAAATGGGAATATTGACCAGTTTACACTGATGAGCAGTGCACTTATTGAACCGGTGGGAGAGGTCATGCACTCCTCATGCTGCAGGGTTCGACTTTCAGGACAGTGAGCAGAGAGGACTACGATTATTTTTAAACCCTAATGTGTAAAAGATGATTTTTGAAGGAGAGGACAGACTGTTCCAAAGCTGAGAAGATCTACTTAAGAGACATCTGGTTGTTAAATTCACAAATCCAAGACAACATCATGAAGTGAGAGGGTTTTATGTTCTCATTGTTTCATATTAGTGTTTAATGGGATGTTAAATGTTGGTCATTAAACAACATCACGCTCAGTGACACAGGCTGACGGCCCAGCTCCTGGATTCGTTTACACTGGAGCACCCTCTGGTGGTTGAACTCTGCAACTGCGTCAAAACAGACTGTACTTAAGTCCAGTTCACCTTCAGACACCACAGGCTGACCTTTGACCTCTGATTTCCTTCAGGTGACATCTGATATCTTCTATTCCTGATGTCATCTGTCACCTTTGACCTCGAGGATACTCAACAATACTGAAAAACAACGTTCGATGGATTCGTTACCAGAGCTGAGTGAAGAAGAACATGAGAAACCTTCGATACAGGAGAGATTTATCGACATGTTTTATGGTATTTATGATTTTTAATATTTAATATGAAACAAAAAGCATGTAGTAATAAATAAAAAATCTATTTTTGTATTTATTTTTATTATTTTGATGAAAGGAGCTGCAGGACTTTTTCTTGACTGCGGCGGTAAACAGTTGAGAGGTTGTAAATGTTTGCTCAGAGCAGTTTGTCGAGTTAAACACGGTGTGAAAAAGAAGAGTAACTCCCCCGGTACAGTTCAAAAGTCAGTCATTCACTCATGCTGGACTCTGCTCCTCCTTTGTTTGTCCCTCCTCACTGGTGATCTCCTCCTTTCTCTCTGGTACTTTTGGTTCTGCTTCCTCCTCCTCCACCGCCGGCGGTAACCACGACTCTTTGTGCAGCCTCTCGCTCTTCTCCACCTCCTGAACTCCAGGCGGGGCTGTGTGCAGCATGTGCCCTGGCAGGTGCTTGAACTCATCCTCGTTCACATCATAGTCCTTCATCTTTGAGTCCAGGATCCACCAGTAGCCCACGAACCCCACATCCAGCACCCGCTGATGCAGCTCCCTCCAGGGCACCGACAGGTTGGAGCACTGGGCCTCGTACAGGGTGACCGCCGGGTCGAAGTCTGCCCGATACACCAGAGAGAGCAGACCCAGGCCGATGTGACGGAGCCGGCCCTCGTTACGAAGCTTCATCAGACTCTGCACGTGGCCGTCAGAGTTGGCGTTTCGGATCCAGGGGGAGAGGAGGCCGAGCTGGTTTGATCGATCCAGTAGGGCGGCCTCGAATGACGACTGGTCAGGTTTGGTGTAAAAACAGGTCACAGCCCCGCCTAGCAGAGTCCCGTACACTGAGGCTTTGATTGGTCGCTCCCACGCACCGACAACCATCTCCCGACACGCCTCTTTGTAGTCGGTCACCAGGCCGCGCAACCACACACCTGCAGACACGGAGAAAGAGACCTTTAGTCTATTCATCTACTGCACCTTTTTGTATTTTTATTGACTTAAACTGACTTTAAAACATCATTTAAGAAATTAGGTTAAACTTTAAAACTTCAGAGGCAGTTATGTTGATTTTAAATCTGCATCATTTGATTCTCAATGTTAATATTTCCTAGTTTGAGCTCTAAATGACTGATATTTGAATAAAAAGTTTGCGACTTCTTGTGCTGATAGCGATGAAACATCTGATAAAATCCAACGTAAGAGTTTGTTTTGGCCACTGATCAGCTACATTTTAATTTAAGTGCGAAGGCTCATTACTAAACTGTTTCCACAGAGACAGACCAATTTTTTGAACCACAAACATGTAACATCTCTTTCGTACTAAAACAGTCATTTTGCCCTTTTTCAGTTTCTGTTGCCTTTCTAGGTGTAATTATGCACTTTAAACTGCACACTTATCTTTAACACTGTAGGTAATCAATATGAACGCATTCAAAAATCTAAATTTATTGCAGTTAATCAGGAGAGTGTTGGGGATGTTTAATGTCTCACTAAAGCAGCTTTTCAATAACTGCTCTGTCTATTAGGTCAACATAAACCGTCCTGAGAGATGATAACACCTTAGATTTAGGAAGAAAAGCAGACTAACTGTAACTTTGAGCTGCCCTGACTGTTTTAACTGTCTCCCCCCTCCTCTCTCTCTCCCTCCCTCCTGGTTGACTCTCATTCTCAGTTTCTCACCCGCTTTGCCGTTTTTCAGTCTCTCCCACCGGCTGCCTGTTGCTGCCGGAGCCGCTGCTGTCTCTGCCGCCGCGCAGAACATCCTCCTGGCTGCTCGAAACGAGGACATTTTCACGGTTTTCCTTCAGGACTTCGGTCACCTTCACCCTGATTCACATCCTGACTGTCAAACCGACTACTGAGCTCACATGGAGCCAAAATGGCGCCCGCGAGGTGGAACGGTGTAAATCTTCCGACTGAAAGATCCGCCACTCGAAGGTTCCGCTCTCTGTCACTTAAACAGACAAAAATACTAACATGACTTTTATTTATTGGTAATCTTACTCATTGATTTACAACGGAGTATTGGGGCCATATAAAAAAAAATAAGACTTCAAGATTAAAGTTATTAATTTATAAGAATAACATCATTGCTTACGAGAATGAAGTCGTAGTAAAGTAATTACATGCAAGAATAAAGTAAAAATAAAGTCCTTATATTCTTACCTGTTATTGTTGAAATGAGAGTACTTTAATATATGTTTCTCAAACAAGGAGATACTTTCTCTTTTGGCACATCAGCACCACATTATCATAAGTATAGTAGTAGTAGTAGATTAAAACTTTATTCTGCAAAGTAATAATTTATCACGACTTGATTCTCTTAAATTAATGACTTTAACCTCTAAGTCTTAATTTTCTCGAAGTCATAATTTATTTTCTAAATGTGGCCCTTATACACTGTCGTATTAATTAAATCATTTATTTCGTTTTTAAAATTTGTCTAATTGTTCACTTTTCAAAGAGCACAGACTTCGAAACACGAGACAAAAATAGGAATCAATATTTACTTCAAATTATTGATTAATTGAAGGCTGTGAAAAACATTTTGATTGAAAGAAAAAATGATTTATTATATATATAAATAAATTAAAACTAAACTCTAAAAAAAGCATACGCGGGTCACGTGACGGCTTTGTTTACGGGGTGACGTGTACCGGAAGACATGGACTACTTGACAGCTTTGCCGTGATCTATGGGAGCTCTACGTTAGCTCTGCCGCATTATTATCGATATTTTCTGTTAGTTTACTAACCCTATAGGACTTGTCTTTTCATTAATAGAAGCTAAACACCCTTACACCCTCAGACATATGTTCGATAAGATTATTTGTTCTGGTTTAGCCGAGCAGGTGGCTAATATTAGCCGTTAAAGCTTCGTGGCAGCTGTCACGCCATCATCACCACGATCAGGGACATCCTGCTGCTGTGGACAGGTGAGTTTAAAGCTTTTCTCTCACAGAAAACAAACACAAGAGGAGAATCTATCACTGACTCTTAACATTATTAAGATAAATAACTGAATATTTAACTGTTTCTGCTGTATCATAGGAGCTTTTTCAGGCTGTAAATGATCATATCTGTTCAGGTCTATATCAGCTGACTTCTGGACTATGCTCAGCTTTGTCGGAGCTGTTATGTGTTAAAATGTCTTTTTACCTCCTCACAGGTGTTATATGAAGCTTCTGTTTGTTCACTCCAGTCATGGCCAGCCCCAATGATCTACAATTTCAAGGTAAGAAGGACTGAGAAAATCTATTTACAGAGCCATGCAGCTGCTGTGTTTGCTGTTTTTTCTGCTCCAGGATGCACAATGTTACTGGCACAATATCAATATCATCAATCAACTGTGTGCAAGTGCCAATAATGGAAAAATATTAACTGATTCAGGGCGCCAGGAGGAGTAAAACAGCTCTTTAAATACTAATTTAATGGTGTATCTGAAGTTTAGTCATCCTGAGCAGTGCCGAGAGTTTCAGCAAAGTAAACAAGAAACTCTGGAGTCGGTGAGAAGCTGTCTAGTCTGCAGACTCTTTGTTTAACAGGTTAATTTGAGGACAGGAGAGACTATAAAACAAATACCTCCCAACTAGGGCTGGGCGATAAAACAATAATGATAGATATCGAAAATTATTTCCCTCAATATCAATATAAAACATGGTCAATATGCTTTTCAAAAGTCATGTTTTGGTAGACTAAACGAATAGCCAATGAAAAGGGGATGTGCTTCGGGTCCACTTTGTGCTGAACCAATCACGCGCTGAATTTAGGGATGTAACGATTACCGGTGAAATGATGGACCACGGTAAAATGTCTGATGGTTAGTACTACCGTTTCAAATTATAACTACTGTTAAAACCGTGTTTGATTGCCACACTCTGGAAAAGCTCACAAACTGCTCAGTGCTGAGAAGAGCCGCCGCGCACATACACATTGCGCAGTAGATAACTTGTAAACATGGCGGAGCGCGGTTCTGCTGACTGTGTTGCAGAGATCTTTCCGCTGTCAAAGAAAACAAAGTCCGAAGTCTGGGCGTATTTCGGCTTCTACAAAGGGTTGCGAGGGTTGCCAGGAAGCTTTTGTGCATCCTTGCAACCAGCGCGCCATCCGAGAGAATATTCAGTGCCAGCATGAACATCGTTTCCCCTCACAGATCATGACTCAAACCAGGAAAGTAAATCTGCTGACATTTTTACAAGTCAGCAGCAGAACCTGATGGTGGAGAAAACAGACAATCAGTTCATTTGATTTATTTACGTATTTTATGTTATTCTAAACACCTGAACTACACATTTGATTACATGTGGTTGTTTTGTTTCATATAGTTGTGTTGCTGTTTTATATTTGTAAGAATAGATTATTTTGGGCACTGAAGATTCTTATAATTTGCACGATAAGGAATGTCATTTTATTTAAATTTTGTTTATTTGTTATTATGTTCATGTTTATACCAATGGCACCATTATATCCTGATATATATCCTGATATATATCGATATCGACTGAGATGAAAAAATATATTGTGATAAACTTTTTCTTGTATCGCCCAGCCCTACTCCAGCCTCCTGTCACTAACTCTTCTGTGCACATCTTCAGAGTTCGAGGAAGCTGCAGAGCTTCTGTCTGCAGACCCTGGAGCCTCCACGCTCAGCATGTCGGCCTCGAACACCAGCAGCACCACGGCACCAGTAGGAGGAGGAGGAGGAGGAGAGGAGGTGAAACTGGACATGTCAGAGGATGAGGAGGGTCAGGAGGAGAGTTCAGAGGTGAGTTTACAGACTCATGAAACCCTGATGGAGGTTTTAGAGTCCTGGTGTCTTAAAGGGCGTCTGTGTTTTCAGCTGTTAGGAGGACAGAAAGCTGCAGGTGGATTCTGGACCTTTGAGTACTATCAGTCCTTCTTTAACGTGGACACAGTGCAGGTAGGATCAATACTTATCCGTTCAATGATTTTAAATCTATGTATTAGTTTGCATTAATCTCCTGTCTTGTGAATTTGGTGCAGGTTCTGGACAGAGTCAAAGGCTCTGTGATGCCGTTACCTGGAAAAAACTTCATCAAGCATCACCTCAGGAGTAACCCCGACCTCTACGGTGAGGAGAACTTCCACCTGGACTTGCAGATGTTGGAGACAGCTCCTGGGAAGTAACGTGATATTAATTTGCTGCCTCTGTGTCCGTCTCTAGGTCCGTTCTGGATCTGTGTGACTCTGGTGTTCTCGGTGGCGATCAGCGGGAACTTGTCCACGTTTCTGAGTCACATGGGAAACCCGGCGTATCACTACAGACCGCAGTTCCACAGAGGTCAGTCCCGCACATGTAGTCTGATCAAACTGAGTCAGCACGTCTTCGTTTTTAACCGAGTCTTTCTCGCTGTTTTCAGTGACGATAGCTGCGATCGTGATCTTCCTGTACGCCTGGCTGGTTCCCATCGGTCTGTGGGGTTTCCTGACCTGGCGGCAGGGGACTGAGAGGCAGGTCGGAGGTTATTCCTTCCTGGAGACCGTGTGTGTTTACGGCTACTCGCTCTTCATCTACATCCCCACCTCTGTGAGTGTCTCTGAGCGGTGATGAGGTTTCTCTGTTACAGTCAATCAAGAGCTGCTTTTCTGGAACTGTTGATCGCTCTCAGCAGATGGAAGAAGAAGATGATGAAGAGGATGATAACGAGCACTTTAAAGGGATATTCCGGCATAAAATTAATTCAGAGTCAAACACACCGCAACAGAGAGTTAGACCCCCCCTCCAGAGATGAATGTTGCCGACCGCTTGCTTCTCTAGTTAAACCAACATAAGTAACGACCGCAGGATAGAAATACAGAGAGCCACACGCTCAACCAATATCATAGTACTAGACACCAAACATCTTTTTAACTTTGACTCATTTCTTTAGCAAAGAGACTAAACACAACTCACCTACTCTCTTCCAGCAGCCGCTTGTTTGTAGAGAGACCTCAGGCCAGTCCATTACGGACTACAGCGGGGTGCCGCAGCTCAAGGAAGAACATTTATGATCATTTCTTCATGGAAATACAATCAGACCGAGACGCTAAGACAGAAGAACTACAGCATCTGCAGTGAAAAATGATTAATATGGTGATTATTACTTCAAAGAAATGATAAAGAAATGATCATAAATGTTCTTCCTTGAGCTGCGAAACCCCACAAACAAGCAGCTGCTGGAAGAGAGAAGGTGAGTTGTGTTTAGTCTCTTTGCTACAAAATGAGTCAAAGTTAAAAAGATGTTTGGTGTCTAGTACTATGTCTGTGACCCTATATGTCCTGTTGATGAAGTTAGGTGCTGTTCTGAGCATTATTTGTGGCTATAGAGTGGCGTTTTGGTTGGGGGCGTGGCTCTCTGTATTTCTATCCTGCGGTCGTTTCTAAAGTTGGTATAACTAGAGAAGCAAGCGGTCGACAATATTCATCTCTGGAGGGGGGGGTCTAACTCGGTGTTACGGCGTGTTTGACCCTAAATTAATTTTACGTCAGAATATCCCTTTAAGTGCTCAGATAAATATGGACATTTCTCTTTTATTTGCGCTGTTTAAGTTCTTGTTATTGAAATAAATGTTCCTCGTCTTTGAATCAGCTAATTAAAGGAAAACACAAAAGCAGGTCGATCCAGATTTCCTTATTTCCAGATCCCTCTCTTGGACCTCAAACCCTCCCTTGGCCACAGGTGGGATTTCTAATCCCTCCAGTAAGTTCTGGGTCGACCCGGTTTGATGTCCGGACCGCCTCGCCTCAGAGAAGCAGCAGTAGTTTTCACCAGTGCGACCCCGTTAACCGTCACTCTAACATCTGCAGGTTCTGTGGATCATACCGGTCGAGTGGTTACGCTGGACGCTAATCATGGTTGCCATGGTGATCTCCGGCTCCGTCCTGGTCCTCACCTTCTGGCCGGTCGTCCGCGATGACACCAGGGTGATGGCGGTGGCGACGGTCGCCACCATTGTGGTCCTTCACACGCTGCTGGCTGTGGGCTGTAAGGTGAGTCAGAGCGGCGAGGACGAAGATGATCATCGTGTGAAATGGCGACTGAAGAGCGAACTCTCTCTCTTCTCTTTCAGATGTACTTCTTCCAGACCGCAGAACATTTACCGACAACGCCCGTCACCACGGCGGCCCCGGCTCACGTCACACTGGTCACCAAACCTCACTGACCACCAGGAAGGAGGAAGAGGAGGAGGAGGATGAAGGATGTTTCTATCGAGACAAAAGACTGAACAGACAGCCGGGTTGAGGCAATACTGATGGTTGCTGTTGTTTGATTGGTGGATCTGAAGGAAGGCGGGGTTGATGGTGGGCGTGTCTGATTGTGGTTCTGCTGCGACTGAAGTAGCACTTTGTTCATCGCAATAATTGTACATTTCCACTGTGATGGTGCATCTCATGAGTCTGACATGGACTTCTTCACACTAGACCCCCCCTCATTTCACAAGGAGCAGGAAACACTCGATCCAGAAGAGTAGACGTTAATGTCGGATTTTAGGAATTTCTGGATCTGAAAAGGTGATCATTTTTAACGTATTCAGGCCGATACTGAAACCAGAACATTAAGTCAACAGAGACACAAAACCCGACAAACAGCTTCTGATCCACCGTCAATAACACGTGTGAAGACTCTGTGATGAGTCTCGTCTCTGTTCCCCACATTTAAAAATACTCCACCAGTCTGAGCTTGTCGTTAGCTGTCGTCATGTTCATATTATCGATGCAGAAATGTTCAGAGATCTGTCCTGATGCTGCTCCAACTACTCTATTCATAGACCGACGCGTCTCGGCTTGTAGTTTCCGTGATTCCATGATCGAGATCCTGCTGATCTTTACCTTCAAGAGTCACAGAAGTTTTAACGGTTTGTGATACTGATAATCAACTTTATAAGCTGTTAGCCGCAAAGATATAATGTGCAGATATTATTGTAGATCCTTGTTTAAGACCCTCATGGAGTCCTGAGTCTTCAGAAACTTCACAGAGCTCCTGAAGGTTCGATCCTAAAATGTAGATAGAAACTGAGATCTCCATTGAATCAAAGTCTAAGCATCATTTTAGAAATAAGAGAGCAGCATCTGAATCGAAACAACCAAATCAGCTCAAATTTTCTGTGTATCAGTTCTGTGAATAGACCTCAACATTTCACATCATCCTGTTACTGAGTTTCTGTCAATTTAAATCCCTTTAACTAAGTCGAAAACTCCCTGATTGCTGCGGTTTCCTGCTGTGATGAATCTAAATCATCTAAACTCAGTTTCAGGACACACATCCCTGTAGAGATAAACTCGGTTCATCCTTTAATGCCCTAAAAATAAACAACCATCAAGTTAAAATTTCACTCAGTCCAATACTCTGAACTCTGACATTATTATTATTAGCATGCTGGGCGTCATAATTGAACCGTTGAACCCGTCGATCTCTCCGAACAGGTGCAGCTTTCAGAAAAATTTGATATCAACTCTCAAAAGTGACCGATTTTCATTTCTGACACTCTAAAGCCTGAACCCTGTGAATGTATCCCATGATGCTTCAGTCAGACGTGTGAAAAGACGCCGTGTCAGACAGTCATGCGGGGTTGTGAATGTGAAAAAGGACGTCAGCTGATGCACCGCGCAGCTTCTCCTCCCTGTAGGGAACGTGAAGAGCCTCCGAACCTTCTCCTCTTAATTTAACGGTGATTTATCCGAAGGTTCTGGAGGTTCGTCTCTGCAGAATATTTATTTCCTACTGTGATGCTTTTGTTGTTTTTTCTCTTTTTGTTAATAAACTCACAGTCTGACTCCTGGTTGTGTTAACTCGTGTGTCTGATCTGGTTTAACTTGGTACAGACTCGTCATCACTGACTCTGAGCTTGACTTGGGCGTGGTCTTAAATGTCTCTAAACTCACGATAGACTTGACACAGGACTTTTTCTTAATCAAGCTGACTGATTACTTTATGCTGACTAGAAATCTTGACACGTGACTTGTTTCAGCTCCTCTGAGTCTTTCCTGGGACTAGTCCTGAAACCCAGATCTGACTTATTGAACCTACCGTAATCCGGCTTAGATTACTGTTACCAAACCTCAGACTTGGTCTTATTACAGGTACCTTTCGAGTTCAAATAGACTCTGACTTGGGGAACTAAACATCAAGTATCACTCACAACTGGAGGCTTGAATTAAACTTGCGCAGACAAATGTGTCCTTGATTTGAGACCTGGTTTTGACTTTGTGATGTAGTTGTAGATCTTTTGACACGATTAAAACTTGAGCTTCTTGAAAAACTTAAACCTCAAAAAGACCTGGACTCGATCTGACTGACTCTGGAGGTCTTCAAATTAGTTTAATCCCAAATTTCCACCGCATCCGGAACGGCAGGGATTTTTGCCGTCCGCCAATTCTTACCGGATCCGTTTGTGAGGCGAATTTCATGGCGAATTACAGACAGTGGTAATCGCGATAACTCACAAGGACCCACGGATTCACGTTCAATCGCACGATAACGAGTTGTCTCTCTAAAGACAGACACATGGACATAGATTGTGTCCTTCCAGAGGAGGAAATCTACTTCTAGACTTCTAGAATCAGCATCTCCTCATCCATGGTGTCATCGGGGTGAAATGATGTCTAAAAACCTTTCACTTGTTCATCTCCGCCTGAAACACAGTGTTTTATTTTGAAAAGAAGCCAGATGTTTTATTTTGTGTCTGTGCCCGACTTCCTTTCCAGCACGGGTTAATCTGTGCTGAATTTATCCGACATGCTCCAGCACCCGGAAAAAATAGAACTCTTGTGATCAGCTGTGGAGTCCGGCGATCCGCAGAGGAACAGAAAGAAGCCGTTGGAAATTGACACGTTAACTTGAATGGTTACGATCAGCTATGATCGGCAGATACAGACTTTTCGTAGTCGATCCGGGTGCGGATGAATTTTGGGGTAAGACTTGAATTTGACTATGGGCTGAGTTGTAAACTCGTCATAAACTTGGACTTGGAGTTCATCACATGCATCTTGACTGACTTGACACCCGATTTTGACTCGTTTGGACTGACTTCAGACTTAAATTGGACTTGAATTGAAGATGAATCTACCGCTATAGCTGCACTTTTTCAGATTTTGCGACATATTTCACGGATCGACTCGTCTCAGTCCAGAATCGTCTCTCCTGTTTGGATGTTTGATGTGCTAAACTGAGAAACTGTAAACCACGCTGGAGTTTAACCTTCTGACTCACGAGACTCGGCACGACTCGAACATCATCCCGACTCCCACCACGTCTGAGTCAGAGAGTCCAGAGGGCTAAACTCGATACAGAACACACAACCTCAACCAAAATGGATTCATTAAACCTGATTCCAGACTTGATCGAGTCCAGATACTGAAGTTAGGAGCTGCTTAAACTCTGGCAACTCACAAAAGAAGAATTAACTTTACAGGCACAGATGTTTTAGGCAGTGAGGGAGCACTTCGGTCTCTTCACAGACCTGGTTTCAGGGGTAAGATTATGTCTCAAGATTTTAAGATTTATTCCAGACCCAAATTAAAAAACTCATTTATCTGATTAATATGTTGTTTTTTTTAGACTGAGGGAAACGCTGGTGAATCATCTCTGGAGATACTGGATGATTCAAGCACCTTTAGGGATCTTCACTGAACACGAAGTCTCTAATTGAAAACAGAACACGACTGAAAGTGCTAAAAACTTACAGTCCCTCGTGGATCCTGCACAAGTCCAGTTTCAGAGCGGTCCCTTAAGAGTACGAGGACTAACATGTTCAGTCTTGTGGTGTTTCTATTCTTATCAGTCTTTACAATAATTTCACAAAGTTTGAAGTTCCTACGTCATAATTCTGCTCGGAACTTGAAGTGAGGACACCTATCCAGAGGGGTTAGGGGTAACCCGATAAAACTTTTTCACCTCCGATATTGTTGCCTTTATTATTGGCCAATACCGATATTATCAGTATGGCACAGATATTATCGATATCGGCCCGCTCTGGCCAATACTGGAGCGGAGTCTGGAATGGACTGCTTGTATCAGAGTGCTGCTACCAGAGATTGTAGATGCAGGCCGATATAATCTGATTTGGTGTTTTTGCTGAAATTGTACCAATATTTGGTATCAATATTGGATATCAGTCCGATATCATATCAGGACACCTCTTGTTCATGTGTTGCAGATGGACAGCAGAAAGGTCATCGAACTTTGACGACAACTTTCAGAGTATATATATATTTTTTTGCTGATATTGGACCAATATTCTATATCGATATTGGATATCTGTCCGATATTGATATAGGACCATTATTAATATATCAGGAACACCTCTATGTCATGTGTTATAGATAGACAGCAGAAAGTTCATTGAAATTTGACAACTTTAAGAGTGCCGATATAAGAGGTTTTAGATGCAGGCCGATATAACCAGATATCGGTCTGATATCATATCAGAAGAGCCTCTAGTTTATGTGTTACAGATGGACAGCAGAAAGGTTATCAAACTTTAACCACAACTTTCAAAGAGCCGATATTAGAGATTTTAGATGCAGGCTGATATAATCAGATATTTTTTTTTTTTTTTTGCTGATATCGGACCAATTTTCAATCTCAATAAAGGATATTGGTCCGATATTGATATTGGACTAATATCAACAGACTAATGTGTTGATATCAGACCGATATCAGGCATCATATCAGGACACCTCTAGGTCATGTGTTACAGATGGACAGCAGAAAGGTCATCGAACTTTGATGACAATTTTCCAAACGCTTCTAGTTCAGCTAACTTGTTTTTTTGCTAATATCGGACCAATATTCAATATCAATATTGAATATCGGTCTGATATTGATATTGGTGATATCAATATCATATTGGAACAGCTCTAGTTCATGTGTTCATATGGACGGCGGAAAGGTCATCGAACTTTGACAACAACTTTCCAAACGTTTCAAGTTCAGCTGGATGTTGGACGGAGAAAGAAAATGTCACCAGAGAGTCGGGGACAGAGAGACGTTCCCCGCCGATGTGAGACAGTGAGAAAGGTGTTATTACTGCTGGTCAACACACAGAAATGACACAACATGACAGACAGTCTTCCTCTTACACTTTCCTCTACGGACTACACAATGATTCATGACAAAAGGAGGAGGACATGATGCTAACAGCCATCTGCTGCTGCTGCTGCTGCTGCTGCTGCGTCTACTTTAACAAAGTAAAATACTACAACACCTGATCCAGGATGGTTTTGGAACTTCTCCACCATATTTAATTTGCTCTCTTTTTTTCAATGTTTCTTGTTTTTTGTGAAAGAAAAAAGAAACAAAAACAAAATAAAGACAACAGAAAGATTAAATCCTACAAAGACACATTTTTCTCTCGGCTCTCCTGAAACTCACTAAACTCAATAATCCCAAAGAAACTGAGTCCAACTGCTGTGACACTGGAAGCAATGCATACGTGTGTCAGTCTGTCTCTCCCGGACCGATCAAAAGGGGGCGGGGTCTGTGGCGGTGGGGGGTATGATATGTTGGAGGTCATACGTAGTGAGCAGAAGAGGAGGGAGGCGGGAGGACTGGCTCCGCCTCCCGCACCTCGACATCGAAGTCTCTGTGCGACAGTCTCTCAGTCTCAGAGGAAAGGGGGGAAGGAAACGAGGGTAGAGGAAGCAAGGATGGAGACCAGGAATTTTCCAGTCCAGCACAGCTCCTCTGGTTCCTGCTGGCAGATGGCTGCAGACCTGGTTATCTGTCCTTTCTGGTTCTGTCTCTGAATCGTCCTCCTCCGTACAAGCGGAGCAGTCTGGCTCAGCAGACGGCTGTCTGCGGAGGAAACTAAGCGAAGACACCGGACGACGGGGGAGCAGCAGGTGGTGCGTTTCAGGTTTACAGGAGCGGCTTTGAAAAACACCAAGTATTTGGCAGACTGAAGCACTGGTCACCTTCTGTGCTGGGTACGAAACACTCGCTGAAATCATCCAAGAGTCCCGTTTATCAGTCTGCACAGAACGGCTGCATCTGTCAATGTTTAGAAAAACAACAACAGCTCTTCGACGATTGTTTGAAGGTGTGAAAGCAGGATTTTCACTTCTTTGTCAGTCCTTTGCAACTCATTTCATCCAGACCAGACTCAGATTTCTCAAACCCAGGCTTCTAAAAATCCACGGCCGATTCAAAGGTTAGCCTTCATGAAGCGGCTTTTTGTTCGTTTCGTCCTCTGCCTAACCCGGTGACCTCACTTTGAGGACACAGATATGAGTTTTAGTGTTAACGTTTTCCCAAATAACAGGACAAAGATCTGGTTTTGATTGTGAGTAAACAGGCTCAGGGATGAACAAGCTTTTTATAAAGAGGTAATCGTTTCCATGGTAACAATGGATAAAAAGGCTCTTAAAGGGATATTACGGTGTGAATTAATTTAGGGTCAAACACACCGTAACACAGAGTTTGACGAGATGAATGAATGCTTCTCTAGTTATACCAACTTTAGTAACGACAGCAGGATAGAAATACACAGCGGTCTGAGGAGCCATAAACAAACCTCAACCAAAAGGCCACTCTATAGCCACAAATAATGCTCAGAACAGCACCTAACTTCATTAACAGGACATATAAGGTCACAGCCATAGTACTAGACACCAAACATCTTTTTAACTTTGACTCATTTCTTTAGCAAAGAGACTAAACACACTTCACCTACTCTCTTCCAGCAGCTGCTTGTTTGTGGGGTTTCGCAGCTCAAGGAAGAACATTTATGATCATTTCTTTATCTTTTCCTTAAAGTAAAAATCATCATATTGATCATTTTACAGACGCTGTAGTTCTTCTGTCTTAGCGTCTCGGTCTGATTGTATTTCCATAAAGAAATGATCATAAATGTTCTTCCTTGAGCTGCGGCACCCCGCTGTAGTCCGTAATGGACTGGCCTGAGGTCTCACTACAAACAAGCGGCTGCTGAAGGAGAGCTAAAGAAACGAGTCAAAGTTAAAAAGATGTTTGGTGTCTAGTACTATGTCTGTGACCCTATATGTCCTGTTGATGAAGTTAGGTGCTGTTCTGAGCATTATTTGTGGCTATAGAGTGGCGTTTTGGTTGGGGGCGTGGCTCTCTGTATTTCTATCCTGCGGTCGTTACTAAAGTTGGTATAACTAGAGAAGCAAGCGGTCGGCAACATTCATCTCTGGAGGGGGTGTCTGACTTGGTGTGTTTGACCCTAAATTAATTTTACGCCGGCATATCCCTGTAACTCGTAAAGCCTACAAATCTCATTTCTTCGTGTTTTCAGCAGCAGCAGGCGACTGTTTTCAGAGTAAAAGCTCAAATTTAACTTCAGAAACAATCGACAACAAGATTCTCGATATTTAAGAGGTAAAAGTCAGAGGGACACAAGACCTCAGCTCATCTTCATGATTTTATCCCTCATATGCCCTCAGAGGCGGGGTTTGAAAACTTTGTTAAAATGACACATCGTACTGTGAGCGTGTGCGAACACAGCGCCCTCTGCTGTCACTGAGCGTTCTTTCTAACCCAGCAGGTCAGGAGGAGGACCAGTGCGACAGTCTGCTGAAACCTCCGCTTCAAACACATCAACACCACATGTCAGGTGGTCACGGGCAGAGGTGGAGACTGTCCATGTCCCGGTAAAGCTAATTCCCAGAATCCTCAGCGGGGTGTCTCAGCGTGTCCATGGCTTCGGTTTTCTGATATGTGGACCTCGGCAGATGAGAGTGCATGAGGTGAACTTTTAGCGGGTTGTGATTTGAAGCGACTGTTCGTCCGGCATGAGTCAGTCTGTTCGGAGAGAAACGGCGAGGTCTCAAGAGTCTGGATCGGATATGAAAAAGCCAAGATGGCCGCCCAGAGATGAGTTCTTATGATAATAGTGTCCTACTGGTCTAAGGAGAACCTTCCTTTAGGATCGGGCTGATATCTGGAGACAGGCGGATTCTTCTAGAGGAGACCGTGTGCAGGAACACTGGGCTCATTATGACACACACAATAATACAAAAAATAAAGACGGGGGCGGGTACATGTCAAAGGGGGAGGGGGTGATAGCTGCAGTGCGTCTCTGTGCACGTGTTACAGTCCCATAAAGTCCAGGAGGAGGGGCGGGAGGGTTCGTCTGACCACGAGACGAGCGTGTGGACGGATACGAGAGCGTTCCCCGTTCAGAGAGTGATGGACTGAATCGGACCAGGACAGGAGGAGGGAGTTCCAGCTCAGCACTGGTTTTGGTATACTGGTTTTGGCTGCGGTTGGTGGTGGCGGCGGGTCGGTCGGGGTCGAAGGATGGGACGCAGGAGAAAGGGGGCGGGGGTCTCTTGTCATGCAAGGGGCGGGGAGGACGAAGAGGTCTCGGCGAGCTCTTCGTCTTAACTGCCGTAATGCATGGTGTTGCTCGGGATGACCATCGGCGAGGCCATGGAGATGGCGGCGCCCCCCATGGTGAACTGGTTGGTGACGGGATAGTAAGTACCACTGCTGCTGGGGCCGGACTGACCCGTGGTGGCTCCTGAGAGGGGGAGAGAACAGCGTTAGGGACCAGAACCAGAACCTTCAGGAACAGATGCTTGGGTTGAGTAGGGTCGGAAAATTTCCAGTAAATTTCGGTTAAATTTCCAGAAACTTTCCATGGGAATTATTTTAGCCCCGATTTTACAGAATTCCTGTCAGTTTTAGAATTGATTTTAAGATTTTATTGATTACTTTAAAGCACTCAAAGGACTCGCTCCAAGCTACATTTGAGAGCTTTTATGACCTTATGAACCGACTCGCAGCCTCAGATCATCCGGCGAAGGCCTCCTGGTCGTTCCAAAGTCGAGACTCAAACTAAAGATGATCGATCTTTCTCCATCAGAGCTCCTCGACTTTGGAACGACCTGCCAGAGGAGATAAAGTGAACAGCAGAGACAGACGCTTCTTTTAAGTCCAATTAAAAAACTCACTTTTATAGACTTTTGTGTGATGCCGATTTTCCCTCTTTTCCCTGTATCTAATTTTGACTTGATGTCCTTTTAGCCTTTGTTTTATTTTACCTTTTAGGCTTCTTATTGATTTTATTGTTTTTTTTCCTGCTCATTTTTGTTATTCCATTTTATCATAAATATTACCATCATTATTTTATTATGATTTTAATATCATTATTAATATTCTTTTTATATTAACCATCCTGTTTCCTGCTTTCTACCCACCTATTTTATTACAATTCTTTTTCTTACCTATTTTATGTTTTTATTTTGATCCTCATGGTCTCATTTTATGCTGTAGGTTGTCGTATTTTCTGGGTTCCCTATGATAAATAAAATTGGCCTTCAATTCGGAGGACTTGTTTTTAACTGAGCTTTAAAGAATAAAGTTATTATTATCATTACTATTATGGGAATTAACTGGAAATTGGGGGTAATTTAAACAAACTGTATCATATCCAAATATAAATGTAAATATTTTTGTTTTGTCATACGCAGACATCCATGCAAAAAATTTAAATTAAAATACATGACACACATCAGATGGTGAACATGGAATTTTTCTGTAGAATAAAATAATGAAAAGGTTTGTATAAACACTGATGCAATGGCATAAACAGAAATATAGTTGAATAAACGACTGGAATGGTCTTAAAATATTTGACAGTTGATGTATAAATTATAGTTTGGTTACAGAAAACACATCATCACATTTGAGGTCGCTACTAGGGGTGGGAGATTTTTTGCTTTACAATTTTTAAATGGATTTTTATGTTCAAAAATCTTTTTTTTTTTAATTTAAGAATAAATCTTAAAAACTCACTTGCATGTGATGTGTGTTTTTTGGGGAAATATGGTTCCTGAAATAGTCAGTAGACAATCATAATCATTTAACTGAGTCACTGGAGTTAAAAATAAAGACTAAATATAGAGAAAATTTACAATATCGTAGAATCGCAATTTAAATCGAATTGACATCCAAAATATCATAAAAGAATCGAATCAGGAGAAAGTCGTATCGTCTCGCACGAGTAGCTCCCACCACCATAATAAGCCAGCCCCTCAAATGTTCAATGAAATGAAAAATAGCTTCAATTTAGCACCTATTTTTCATTTTTGCAAGTCAAATATGAATACTATTATAAACCAAAGATATTTACCCCATAATATCATCCAAACTTACTTGACTTTCTATTGTCCGTGCGCTCAAATGTCTTGTGCTTTGGGCTCAAAAGTGTGGCCTGCAGGGTTCAAGAAATCATCTGTGAATCATGTGATGGAGGAGTGCACTTGTATTAAATCTGGTTGTATATATATATATATATATATATATACAGTATATATATATATATTTTCACCAACTATGTTTAAGTTCCCTGATGAGGGCCAATCTTCAATTTTGCAAAGTTCAGATTTATTCCCGTTAATTCCCATGAAAAGTTTCCAACTTTGAAAATTCCCGGAATTTTGCAACCCTAGGTCTGAGGGTGTAGGGATTTGGGGGGTCTGTGTGGTGTGAACGTACCCTGGACGATTCCTGTGCTCATGATGGAGCCCATCCTGGAATGGGTGTGGTTTACAATTCCTGTGTTCACTGTGACCAATCAGAGAGGAGAGCAGAGTTAATGATACGTGCGGCGCCGCGGCCGACTTAAGCTTGTTGACTGTTGACTCCTGTTTGTAGCAACAAAATCCCTCTCTCACACACACACACATGCACACACACACACACACACACACACACACACACAATCTGGTGCAGCAGCTGAGTAACCAGGAATAGTGGAACATCCTGTGACTGTCAGACGAGCAGATGGCCGAGACTCTGATTCAAACACTCGAGCGTCTTTTATGAAGAGCTCTGCTGACATCACTCAAACTGACATGGCCGCCGCTCAGGCTCGGCTCGCCAACATCTACTGTTATTATCAGCGCTTCCTTCCTCTCTCTGCGTTCTGAGACTCTGATCAGTGAGGATGAGCGTTCTGCGTACCCAGGGGTATGAGGTTGTTGTGAGACACCGACGGGCCGCTGCCGATGACTGTGCTGAGGTCATAAGCTGCAGGCATCCCTGAGGGGAGACACAGGAAGCAGAAATATCAACATTTGTGATCGCATTCAGCCCTCTCATCAGAAATGGCGGCGGCGGCCGAGGTCGACCGCAGCGCTGGAACAGATGAGGATTAAAAGCTTCACGTTAAAAACGGAGCGAGCTCTCTTTTACTTACCAAACCGATCTGAAGGATTACAATAAAAAACATGAAAACATGACAGAGAGGGAGGAGGAGTAAGACTGTCCCTGATGAACCGAACGCTGAACCACAAGGTGAACTCAGGACCCCCCTAACACTCAAACCTTCACAATCCACGTCTTTAAAATGTCCAAACAATGACTTTGTTTCTGTGCAGGTGTGTATTACAGACATTACGGTACATTTCTGTCAAACAGACAGTTACAGCTGCAATTTCATTCAAACTAAATCTAACTAAATTCACTTAAAGCTCCTTTCCCTAAAACTGCTCGATTCAGTCATTTTTAAAAGATGTGCAACTAAAATGCTGCGTCAGAAGTTGGAGCTGAAAATGACGTCACACCCGAGTTCCAAGCGTTTCAGTTATAAAGCCAAAAAAACAAAACAAAATTGGAGGACTGAAATAAGATGGCTACGTCTACAGAAGTGTTTTTAGCACCCGTCTTATATTCAGACAAGGCAAGCGCTAAAATAACGTTCGTAGATGTAGCCATCTTGTTTCCGACTTGGTGACTGAAACGCCGGTAACTCGGGTGTGACGTCATTTTCAGCTCCGAGGTAACTCAAAGTCAGCCCACTAAAAGCACTGGTTTCTGTTGCAGCCTGGTTCAGATTGTGTTTTTTTAAAGTCTGAGAACATAACGGAGGAGGATCTGTACAAACATGGACCTGAATGAGAAGACAGGTTCCTACGCAAGTTTGGAAAAGTATGGAAGTAAATTGATCAATTTCCAGCTCTTAGAAAGTACGGTAAATGAAAACTAAAGAATGGAAAATTATTTAGGTTTCCAGACTATAAACACAGTAAAAAACAAATACTGATTTCTAAAATAAAAAATAAGTTTTTTTTTCCAAGAATAATTCTAAAAAGTAGGTTATGGAAAAGTTCAGAAACTCTACCTGTGTAGGAACCCTGAGATGAGAAGGTGCAGCCATCAGAATAACAATCAGAACGTTTACATGACACTCGAGAAAAACGAATTATCGCCTTATTCCGATTAAGACCGGACAACTGAAGTGCATGTAAACATCTTAGTCTGACTATAATCGGAGTTTGAGAACTCCGATTAAAACGCCCAGATAATGCGATTGGATGTGCACCACGCCCCCGTAACCCCGGAACAAAAACACCAGAGAAGAAGTGGCGCTATCATTTCGAGAACTTTAGACTCGGAAGCAACTGAAATAAGGCTAAAACACAAAGAATGTCCACTTTTGGAACGACGAGGAGAGCGCCGTTATGCTTTCCCTCCTGACAGAAATGGAGATTTTGAAGAATATAGACGGTCGCAAAACGAGTGAAGGAGACATCTTAAAAAAAGCGCAGCTGAAAAGACCTGTATCGCCCCCTAGTTTTGGGGAGGAGGACACGTTCAAGTTAAAAATAAAATTTTCTCAGCTGCATGTATGAAAAAAAAACGAATCATGAGCTTAGTTCGATTAAACTGTGCATGTAAACACACTGACTTGACTAATTTTCACCTCACAGAAGCTGCTGGTCGACTTTGTGGACATGATGTTTTAAAGGGACAGCTTTGACACAACGACACACTGATCGACCAATCAGGTTGTTTTGATTTCAGGTCGCGCGTCTTCCCCCCCCCCGTCTGAAGTCTTTCAGACTCTGAACGCTGCGTAAATGTTTGTTTAAAAGATTCAAATATATATTTACCTAACTGTGTTTACACAGGAAGTGGGAGGCAAACTTGTACATCTACCTTTCAAAATAAATTGTTGTTTATTTCAAATTAAGAGCCTGTAAACGTTGACTTTGACACTCATATCTCAAAGTGGTCCCTGTCTCTTAAATTAAGTTTCAGAATATCTGTTTTCTTTTTTCGGACCCGTGTCTCTGTGTGTGTTCACCTGATACAGCCATCCCCTGACTCATGCTGTAGGCCGCCCCTGTGTTCCACATGTTCTCGGACGGGGAGGTGTAGTGTGAGCCAGGAGGGGGGTTTGGGGTGGTGCCTGTGTACCTGCGCGGACAAACACACACATTTAACTCCAGGAGGACAGACGGCGCTCCCTCCCTCCCCCTCAGTAGACCGCTTCATGACGGTCTGCAGGTTTACGTGAGTCACCGAAGAGGAGGAGGAGGAGCTTAAACTCACCTGAAAAAGGGGTTCTTCAAGTCCAGCAGGTTGCTGGACTTTGATCCTGTCTGGTCCACCTGGGCAACAATACTGATGTCGTAGCTTTGTCTGTTGGGAAGGAGATGGAAAGTTATCTCAGAACCAGAAAACTCAGACCGGATCCTCCTTACACGGACCAGTTCCCGGAAACATCAGGTGACCCCTGAACCAATCGAAAAGGACTACGTTCAGTGACCTCATACCTCTTGTTGGCCACCAGCAGAGCCGTGCCGGACAGCGTGTCTCCAGCCTTGGTGAAGAGAGGAGACTGCAGCAGGCAGCGGACCTGGTACCAGTGGGTGAGCGGCTCTGTGGGCGCCGTAGACAGCCAGACTGTCATCCTGCGGAGAGGAGTGGAGAGGAGAGGGAGGGATGAGGCCGAGCTGAGAACCCGTTTAAAACCGGGTCAGAAGAAACCAGACCGGCTGACTTACACTGATCCCATGAACGCCACGTCAAACCAGAAAGCCAGACCGTGCACCAGACCTGAGTGCATCATGTGGAACTTAAAGGGAATCTCTATCCTGGAGGAGGAGAGAGGAGCGGGGTCAGTGAACCCGGGTATCAAACAAGGACACACACACACACACACACCCTGAACACACACACACACACACACACACCTGTACAGATCCTCTTCTTTGGTTTCCAGGAAGTTGACTGTGTGTTTGACGGACTTGGCCATCAGGATACGGATATCAAACGTGTCCTGAGGAGGAAACAGCTGATTAGAGACGACAACACACACACACACACACACGGTTAAATAAAAATGTGTGTGAGAGAGAGAGAGAAATGGAGACGTACCACGATTGGCTGACGGAAATACTCGTCTACTGCTGCCCCCCGCAGGGCAGAGAGGTCCACACCGTGGAAGGAGGGCTGGTACCTGAGAGCAGAGAGGAAGTCCTTTAGATTCTCGGAGGTCTCTACTTCAACATAGGGCTGGGCGGTATGGGATAAAGTTCATCACTATATATTTTTTTCATATCAGTCGATATCGATATATATCAGGATATAAAAATTTTAATTTAACAATGCTTATTGGTAAGTTACATTGGGATTTACAGTGAGTTTTCATTTGTCCTATGCTCATGAACGCACCATAGATGTACCGACGCATTCAACGCACCACACCTGTGTGTGTGTGTGTATACCTTACCGCTCTACACCCAGCTAAATCTCAGAGAACGCCCTTTTCTCCTTTTCAATGCAGACTATTAACAAAGCTTATCAACCATGTTTTATATCGATGTCGAGGGAAATTAATTTTTCGATATATATTGTTATCATTTTATCGCCCAGCCCTACTTCAACAGCAAAGAAAAAAAAACTTTGGAACTGCCGTTAATTTAATCTACAGAGACAGGAACTAGTCAGAACCTGAAAGATACAGATTTACTGAGTCAAAACCGTGACGGATGCAGAGGTGAGAGGAACTTCTAAAAGTCCAGACAGGTTTTTATAGGTCCGGACTCCAAGTCTTGGACCCCTCCTTACCAGAAGTTGGCCTTGGTGAACTGCTCCATGTAGAGCTGCTCATCTGTGAAGGGAGCCAGGTGGACGTCTCCGATGGTGGGGAACATTTTACCTGAAACACAAAAACAGGAAGTTAGCAGAACGTTGAACCAGACTCTGGAGGTCACCTAACCCTGACCTTCACCCCTCCTCTGTCCTGTGAACCCGCTCACCGTTGGGTTTGAGGAACTTCTTGGCGTGCAGGTAGCTCTCCAGCATGCGCTCATTGAAGAGCATGTATCCCATTGGCTCTGAGATGATGATGTCGACCTGCTCGGGCAGCGTCACTTCCTCCACCTTCCCTGGGATGACGACCACGCGCTCCCCCAGACGGTTACTGTTCACCAACACCTGTAAGGCAACGATCAGGGGTTAGCCGCAGCCGGGTCCTACAAACCGATACCTGACGTTAGCGCGGATCTGGTCGCACCTCTGCGTGCTGCGCCATGGTGCTGGCCTCCACAGCGTACACCTTCCTGGCTCCAGCCTGAGCTGCGAAGAAGGACAGGATCCCTGAGCCGCAACCCACATCCAGGACCACCTGAGGCAGAGAGGGGGAGACTCAGCGGGACATCCTGAGCAGGGAACGGATCGTGATACCTTTGAACCGATCCGCTTTAGTTACCTTATCCTTAAAGTCCGAGTGGTTCTGGAGAATCGCCCGCTGGTAGGTTCCTGTCCGGACGTAGTCCTGCATCATGTTCTGTTGCTGTGAGAGGTAGCCATAAAACTGCAAACAGAGAAATGAAGCGAGGATGAAAAACTGACCCATATTTCCAGACACAGGTGGGCTCCTCGATTGTGCCGCTAACGAGCCGATCGGCCAATGAAAAACGAGAAAAAACAAGAGAACTGTTCCCTGACAGCAGGAGGACGTTTACCGCCAAAAAAAGAGACATTCAAGTGTCTCCAAAAGATGTTTTTGATGAAAAGTGAGGAGCTAAAAATAGAGCGGAGACAGACTGACAAAGAGACGACTGTTCAGGAACCTGAAGTCATGAAAATATGAGGAAACTGAAGCTGCAGAGAGACTCGAACCTGAGCGAAAAAACATGTAAACTATTTGATTTGATTCTGTTTATTTCGAAGACGCAAGAGAAAGTCAAGAAAAACAAAACAATGAACAATTCAACTCTCACGCCGCTGACTGAAACACAAAAACTTTTCCTGTTTGTACGTTAAAATCCGTTTAAATTTAAGTTACTATTTCCCCTCATGAATACTAAATAATTCCTTTATATTTCTTGGTAATAGATTCTTTTTAGCTTTGAACATTGAGCTGTTTGATAGTCCACAATGTCTGTAAATTTTAACAGTTTGGGTTATAGGAATAATAAATGTGTGTGTTCTTGATATCCCACGCTGTGAATGATCCGTATTGCTCTTTTTTGGACGATGGTTAGTGGCTGTAATGATGTTTTATAATTGTTTCCCCAAACCTCAGCACAGTAATTCAAGTGTAGTGAGACAATATCTCTGCAATAGTTCTAGAGACTTTAGTTTGCACATGTTTGATTTCCAATTAATTCTGTCCTCTATAGTTACCCCCAAAAATTGGATTTCATGAACTCCATCTATTTTGACTACTCCATCTATTTCCAAACATTGTTATTTTTGTCTTGTTTAAATAAAATTGAACCATGATCAGGGAAAATCAGCAACAGGAAGTTGGACCTCTCTGAGCGGTGTGTGTGTATAAGTGTGTAAGTGTGTGTGACCCTCTCTCTCTCACCTGGAAGTACTGTACAGCAGAGGACTCCTCTGTTCTTTCGCTGAACGCCGAGCGCTCGTTGGAGTGCCCACGACTGTTCTTCAGGATGTTATAAAAGGACTGAAAGTCTGAACAGAAAAAAAAACACACAAACACAGAAACAATTAAAGGTCAACACCGATACTGGACCAGAGAGACTCGCGGCTAGTCTGGAGGGAGCGGATGGTTTGAACCTGCTGTGGGCGGGAAACAAAAACCAGGAAGATGGAGTCAAAAGAGCCGAAAAAGTTTGAAAAAGTCGGATCAGGTTACAGCCGATAAAAACGTGCTAAAGTGGGATTAAAGCGGCTGGATTTCTACGCTGACTAAGTCCTGGAAACCACTACAGCCGAGGGTCCAGAAGTGTTCGGAGTGTGAGTGGAGCTCGTACTGTGTTTCTCTGTGGGGTAAAGCTGGTGCCGCCCGCTCCACACTCCAGGAGAAAAGTGCATCAAGTGTGTGGGAAGAAGCGGCTCTCTGATTATGTAACGAACTTTAACACTCGGAGGTTCAGAAAGTGAAAAACGACAAAAGCTGGAGTGATTCTGGAGGACGGAGTTCAAACGTTCGCTTTAACGTGAAGCTGGAGGGGCGGAGTTTACACTTCCTTCAGTGTTTGAGTGACGCCGTCCCTCGTGGTCATTGTAGTTTTGACCTGAACAGCTGATCCTACGGCAGGTGGAGTACGAGTGTGTGTGTGTGTGTGTGTGTGTGTGTTTGTGTACCTGCAGGTGAGGAGAACTGCAGCAGGACGCTATTACAGCCCAGTGTGATGATGAATGACTGCTTCCCCACGCGGCTGCACTCCGTCTCCTTGGTAACCGAACACTTGAACATACTCGCCTCCTCTCCTGGAGAGAAAGAGAAGAGGATGGAAGATCGAACATGTGACTGCAAACATCGACAGGAATAGAAGAAGAGTAAAAAAGTGCAGATTAACGTTTTCTGCTGCGGGGCTGAAAACAGGATTCTTAAATTTAGAGAATCACAAGACTGAGAAAAACAAAAAGTTCTCAAAGTGTTTCAGGACTCGACTTGTTCTGCGTCTCCTCGGGGTTTGTAGCCGCATAAATTAAAACTCTTTGTTGTTTTTTTTCCCTTTTCTACGCCACGACATGTAAACCACGAAGAGTCCCAGTTAAAGGGCCGGAGGGTTCGCCCAGAACAGCTGGTGCAGTACCGATATTCATCGATAATCAACAAGTTAGTCGGAACAAAAGGAGAGGAGGGGAGATGGTGTGAAGGCAACAGCACCTGGTCCGGGAAACACTCGGCTCCTAGTCCGAGCTAATCCAGCTGAAATTAAGGGATTGAGATCAGCGCTGCGCAGAAACACACGCACACACACCTCAGCTGTGCTGCTCATGATGAGGAAACACAACTTTAAATACAAACAGCTGATGAAGACATCTATCATATCTGCAGACGAAGAGAACGAGGAGTATTTCCTCTCACTCTGACCTTCAGCAGACTTACACAAGTACAGCTGAGGAAACTAAAACTGTCACAGAGTTCAGACCGGAGGGGAACCAGTCTCTGATTAAAAACTGCTGTTTCTGCATCGCTCTAACCTCAGCTCTCTAACCGACAAAAACTAAAGTTTCTGAGTTGGTAAAAACTTTCTTTTTTATCAGCTTAGTAAAGATCTGTGATATAATCCTACAGACTTCACTGTAAATCACAAACACGGCCAGGGCTCGACAGTGCGACCATTTCACTCGCATTTGTGCCAAAAAGTAGGTGTGTGCGAAAGTAAAATGTATTTAGGAGCACATGTGCATAATTTTTTTTTTTCCTGTAAATACGGCGGTGAGGTTAGTTTTAGGTTGGATATCTGACGGACATTCACTGAGGATCTACCGGTGTCTTCTCACTCTCCAAAACCGTGAATAACAACAGCAGCGCGGTTAAATCTACTCGTCGGGTGTTAAATAAGGGACCGTCATTAATATACCGGTTGATGTTCTCAGGAAAGGATGTTTTCCTTCAATAGCTTCCATGTCATGTGACCAAAATCTATTTCAAATATTAGTACTAAGGTCGGACAATAAGACACACCTTTTTTTTTTTTTTTTTAATTTGACCTCTCAAAAACTTTGTGTTAAATTTAATGGTAAATTTTGAACCTTTCCTTCAAGAGCTTCCATGTCATGTGATCAAAAGACCTCAAATTGATTTCAAATAATAATACTTATGTCAACCAATAAAACAAACGTTGATTAATTAATTTTCATTGTGCCGCTGAGGTTCTTTGTGTGCTCCTTACTTTCTCGACTTAGGAGAACATGCGCTCCTTGTGAAAAAAGTCAGTGTCGAGCCCTGACGTCATATCGATCCCCCTGATATCACATCAGCTGATCACAGAGACCTCTGCAGGACGCACACGGCTCTCGGTAACTCTGATGAGGTCGTTTATTTGTTTATAAGCGTCGCTGACGGAGGTGATCGTTCAGACTGAGTGACTCGAATGTGGCGCAGACGCCTGTTTTCTCTCCTTCTTCTGTGCGGGAGTCAGAGCTGCAAAAATGGGTTTTTCAAATCTTAAATAATTAATGTAGGATTTTTTAAAAAGCTTTTCAAACCCTGAATTTGAAGGATTTCCTGGAGTTTTACTTGTTGGATTTTTACGTTTAAATCAAATTTTTTGACCTCCAGACTTCCTGTAGTAATCCGGCCTCGATGGTTGTTTTCCAGAAGGCTTTTTACTCAGTCGTGGCGAAGAAGAAGAGCGAGGGAGGTTATTATATAAGTGCTTTCACATGGCGGCGAGTGTAACTAACAGTGACAACTAAACTGACCTACATTTGTAAACTGAGAGTGGACATCCTGTTTGATGACTCAGCGGGATCTTTTCTCTTCAAGAACATCTACGCCTCATCAAAAGCATGAGTCAAAGGCGGCACTGAGAGGCCAAGGCCACGCCCCTCTCTCCTCTCACTTCCTCTTTTCCATCAGGGGAGGGGGGGACGACGACACACATGTCCGTCATGATGATATTTGGACTAAATGAATTGTTGCAGCTGTCAGGTCCGAACGGGGTCACTAATCCGTTTAGTGATTTTATTCCTGTCTCGGTTAAAGTGTGCCATCATGGCAGCTCAGCTGTCGCTCAGACAGACAGACAGACGGACGCTGTGATTGGTTCAGCTGAGTTACTTCAGGGTTGTTTGCCCCAAACACAAACCCCTGATTAATACTCCTCCTCCTGGTGTTGGTAAGTCAAAGCGGCTCTCCTCTGGACCGCGTTGAATCATTTATACGAGCGCTCACTTTAACTGCGCCTCACAAACCTGTTTCCAATCTCTCCTCTCGCTCCGTTTTAGAGGGCTTCCCACCGCGCTGATGTCATGTTTTCATCGTCTCAAATGGGAGGTCAAATCCAGTCAAGGTAACTCTGACCTTGTTTGGTTTGGATGAGGTAAGCGTTCATAAAAATGGAGGAGAGTAAATCTCTGCCCGGGCAGGATTAGACCCCACAGCGAGCCTCGGTACGAGCCCACATCGGCTCAGTTTGACTATAAGATGACAGCAACCTGATAAATAATTAACTCTCATGCAGGGATTTCATGTTATGTAAGCAGAGCATGTCTATAATGTTAGCCTCCTCTTTATTTTTAGCACACTTGCAGGGATTCAGGACTGAACTTGAATCACAATGTAGATGTCCTCCGAAAAAAAAAGCACTTTTAGCAGCACACTGTGGATCGTTCGGGTTAGAAAACTAAAAAGGCTGAAAGTTTACGAGCTCCTCGGTTAAAGCAGAAACAGCTGTTGAATTTCTCTCTTCAAAGACTCCGTTTACAAACCCAGTCTTTGGACCTCAAAGAAAAACCGAGGCAGCTGGTCTACGAGAGGAAAGCACGGTTTAATCGGACTAAGCTCATAATTTGTTTTTTTTTTCACCAAATCAGACTTCGGACTCGAATTATTGACGTGAACGTGTCCTCCTCCCCAAAACTAGGGGGCAATATGGGTCTTTTCAGCGGCGCTGTTTCCGACCCCATACAACCGTCAACAACAACAGCAGGTCGGTGTCAGACGTCAGAAGTGTCTACAACTGCTGCTGGACATTTTGGAGAAACAAGAGGATGGAGCATCGTACAGGGTTGTTTTTGTCCTACATGATGGACGCGCTACTTTTTCTAAAGATGAGACGAACGCTACTCCTCTTCTCTGGTGTTTTTGTCCGATCATTCTTCGACTACGCCGGTTACATGGTAGAGAAAGTTGAATTCCAGTCGCATTATCTGGACGTCTTAATCAGAGTTCTCAAACTCCGATTACAGTCGGACTGAGGTGTCTCCATGCACCTTAGTTGTCCTGTCTTTATCGGAATATGGCGATAATTCGGTTTACTCGAGTGGCATGTACACGTACTGAATAAGACATCCAGACCAGCACCTCCTGACTCCTACCAGGTCAAGTTTAGAGCTGAGTAGCAAACAGCTGTTTCCGGTTTAACTAAAAAAAATTATGTGTTTTTTCTAAGAAAAAAAAAAGTATTTCCCAGCGAGGATCCTGTCTGTGTCCTTTAATAACCTCTTTCTTCAGTCAGTTTACTTTTAATTGGACCATCTGCACCAAAAACTACAATGCATAAATGACAGTCTGTCTCATAGCTGCAGGCCAGAGCTAATCCAAACCCGTTTGTACCCTCCAGTCACTCAGGGGTCAGGATTTCTAAAAAGAAAATTTAACCATCAGAGGAAACGGTTTCTCTTTATATCATACGCAGTAGTCAGAGAGAAGATATTTTAGTCAGACGTGCACACTCACACAAGCTCACACGCTCTGATTTTATGTGGCTATCTAAAGCGGTTATGACTCACATTACTTTCATTATTAATAGCCTGAATTCCCACACTGAAGAATAAAACAGCATCTTTTCAGCGCCTGACGACGTTAAAGATGTGTTGATGCAGAGCGCCTCAAAAGGTCCACATTGAATGCGGGCTCTTTTCTTTCACCGGAGCATCCCAGCAGAGGAGGTCTGCTTCTTTTCAGCGGGACACCCCATTGAATAAGAAAAGCAGCAGCAGCAGAGCGGCTCTGATGCTGCCTCCTCACAGGAGGGCAGGAGGCGGCGGGGTCCCGGCCATTGTTCCAATGAGAACAAAGCTGCATAAGTAATGAGGGCTCGCTCTTTCTAGACCCCTCCAAACTCAAAGACCGCGTTTTTCCAAAAACAGATAAATAAAACCTCGAAGAGAGTCTGTCCACGGCTCCTTTATGAGGCAGGACCGCTGGCTGAAATACTGAGCCATAACAGTGACAGCCGGCCGGACCACGGCGCACAGTGGCGGGTCAGGAGCCATGCCCTCTGCTCCTGGCTCTTAAACTAGTGATGGGTCTTTTCTGGACGAGTCAGCTTAAAGGGCTGACTCCTGTAAGGGAGCAAGGGGCACACATACAGCAAAACTATACATGGTAAATCAAATGAAATGTGTCCTTGACAAGTTTTAAACCACATTAGTTAGAAGTGGTGTGTTTCGGTGGTGTTGGAAAACCACATTTTCCTCTTTATAATCATCCCTGCAGCCTGTTATTCTAACTTTTTACTGAAGAATCATAATGAGAAATGTATAAGCTGCTAAATGGAGTTTTTAACAAAGAAGTTTGTTGTTCAAAAAACAGTAAAATATTAAGTGTGAGGTGACTATATTAAATAGTTTGCATACATACAGTGATAGGAGTCTGAAGTGGTGATATAGACAGTAGTTCAAAAGTTTAGATCCCAACACTAAAAAGAAACAGCTAAAATAAACAATCTGTACCAAATTTATTATACAGAAATCAACTGTCAGTCAGTTTTATACATGTGATACAAATACCTTTCTTAACAAAAAAGTTTATTTCATTCAAAAAACAGTAAAATATTAAGTGTGTGACGTGACTATATTAAACAATTTGCATACATACAGTGGTAGGTCGTAATGTTGGTGGATCTAATAGACTATCAAATTAAATGTGCAGAAATCATCACTGTCAGTCAGTGTCATACACATGACACAAATAGTGACCGTCACATATTCTGGTGATTACAACTGTTTTTCTTGTGTTTTATCTCCTTATTTTTATTTCTTTTAATTATTTATCTCTTATTTTTAACATGCTTTATCTATTATGAATTGCCTCTTTCTACTTTATTTGCTCTGGAGCTGCTGTGACTAATACCAATTTCCCCTTGGGCATATTTACAGTATTTCTGATTCTGTATTTTAACACAACTAAGCCCAATACTAGCACTAAACAGGCCACTCTGGAACTGAGCTTTTAATTATTAATTAAATAAAGACAAAACTACTAAGATACAGTATTAAAACTATTCCAGATTAAACTATTTATTTAAATAAAATCAAAAAATAAGTTCACAGCAGTCTTCACCCTGACCTGAGTCAAATGTTCTGATCACTGAAAAGAAACGGATTTCCCATCCCTGTCCCAAACAGTCCGGACAGGCTAATCCAGGAGCTAAAAAAGGTAAAATAACACCATCAGGTCGTTTTTATGCTCGTGGATGAATGTAAAAGTATTATCGGTGTTCATGTGTGACACAATAACCGTGAATGAAGCACGAAGGACAGAGCCGTGGATGTGAGCCGTTAGCGCATCACTGCCGGAGCCGGGCTCCACTCATTGTCTCACCGCTAACGCTGCTTAGCTGCCCCGGTTATTTATGGAGCCAACAAAGCTCCAGTGTCGGTGTTATTATGACTTTTAAAAGAGACTCTGAGACGGAGAAGTCCCGTGGAAACCGTGGGTCTGTGATAAAAGAGCCTAAATGAAGTATCCGAATAAGAAAAATGAGGAGTTTAGGGGCTCCTCGTGATGAACAGGGGGAGAGCTGTTAGCTTCTTCGCGGCTAACGCCAGATTAGCTGTGTTAGCATTAGCATAAGCTACAGGCCGATGGTCCGAGCAGCGGCAGCGGGAAAGGTCAACTCACCATTGGAGAGATTGATGAGGGCAGCATCCTGTGTGCTCTTCACCTCTAACCGCAGGGGCTGCTGCTCGGAGTGCCGCTGGATGTCTCCGTTCGCGTCTCCGATGGAGAGGAGCCGCACGCCGGTGAACACCGAGACCGCCATCTTCGATCTGGAAGTAGAGACGGGTCTGTGGCGCTCACATCCAACCACGCACTGCTCTCTGCTGGAGGAGGAGGAGGAGGCAGCCGCTGCTCGGGCATCAACAACGAGGATCCGCCGCCGCAACAGCGACACCCAGCGGCCGAGAAAGAGAACGACGTAAACACAGGCTGGAAACACACGTCATGGTTTCACACCGTCCAGGAGCTCCTCTTTTTATTATTTCACAGCATTTTTTTACATTACATTTAAACTTCCTACTGTACGACGGAGTATAAGGGCTACATTATGAAAAAAAAGACTTTGAGAAACATTAGGAAATCGAGATTAAAGTCATTAATCTACGAGAATAAGTCACAACTAACGAGAATGAAGTTATACTAAAATCATTACTTACGAGAATGAAGTTGTAATCAAATACTACTATACTTATGATAATGTGGTACTGATGTGCCAAAAGATGAAGTATCTTCTTGTTTGAGAAATACATGTTAAACAGGTCGGTGCAGACCCTAACACAGGAGGGGGGTTAAAGAGAAATTCAGCAAATAGGAAAAAATATGACTCAAACTATACAACAAAATAAACAACATCAAAAGACAGGCCAGACACAACCAGGAAATATCCCAGAAAACAGTGAGAGATAAACACGACAGGAGAAAATTACTGTGTAGATCATTTATTTTGTTGACACCTGTTTTTTTTTAAGATCTTAGCATAAAAGGTTAAAGAGATAAAAAGAAACATGTAAATTGTATAAAATATAGTTTGAGGAGTTCATCCAAACTCAATGTTATGAGGATAAAACATCTGTTACTTACACACAGTTCACTTTTCAGCTTTTACATGAATACAGCGAAGTAACTCGGGGTAATTTAACATTTATCTGTACTTAAATGAACACAAACATCATCAAAACAATGATTTTTAAGTACAACAAACAGGATTTTAACTGATATTTACAGTGAGGCAGCTTTTAATCTTACTGCTTAATAATAAAAGAGTGATTAAAACAGCAAGAAAAGGGGTGGAAGTTACCTGAGATGCAACCAGGAATTCTAATATCTAAAAGGCAACTACTAAAGCGTCATTATTATTATTATTATTTTGTAATCAAAGTGTCAAACAAAACCTCTTATTTGGGATTTACTGCTTTTCTCATGTTACATGTAAAGGGTCTAATTGACAATCGGTTTCAATATTTCAACATCTCTTTCAGCGCAAAGTTAAAAGAAACCAACATTTCTTCACACTTTTCAACATTTCAAGATAAAATAATTCATCTGTCAGTTTTAAGAATAATCATTGATGAAACAGGAGGATTATTTAACTGAAAGGTATCTGCTGGTAATCAGAATCGAACCAAACTTTGTCTCTGAGTGTGCTGTTAAGAAAGAAGTAATAAAATGAGGGGACAAAAAGGCCTCTGTCTGTTAGTGTAAATAATCACATGCGCACAGATTGGATGTTTATTAAAAGCATGCGCAAAAGGAGAAAAAAACCCACAAGGAATCCAATATTTTTAGACCGGCTTCAGGCGTCGCTCCCAGGCAATCAGTTAGGAATCTGCCAGTGTGACTCTCATGAGACCTTCTAACCACGCTGTCATCAGTCCAAAGCTTCTTTTATTACCGTTGACAACATCATACAGCAGCAGAAACCAACATCAAGTCATCAAACATGGTCCACAGAACAGACAAGTCCAGAAAAAACAACAACAACTGCTTTATTAACAAGCATCCTGTCAAAGTATGCACAACATATCAATCCTGTCTTCAAAATGGATTGTTCCACATCGGTCCTCAGCTGCTCCACTGACCTCTTTGTCTTTGTCTCTGGATCTTCAGAGGATCACTGATAAAGCATTTGTGGATATTTCCCACCACCCTAAAAAACGAGAGGGAGCAGATTTAGCTGGTAGTGACGGGTTTTGTGTGATGTGAAATCAAACAGGGTCATTGTTGAAGAAAAGAGAAGAGCTGCACTCACCTCAGAGGAGAACACATGACTTAGGAGGTCTGAAAGGGTTATCGCTGGACGGGACTCCAGTGAGGAGGGGGTCTTTATGAGCATTCTGCAGGCAGAAGGTCTTCAGCTCTGCGGCAGCCTGAGAAACCTGAACAATAAGTGACAGATCACTTTGTTTGGTTTGTGGCTTCAGATTTATTTGTCATTTAAAAAGAGCACCAAAACAGATCCATGAAACAGTCCATGAAGAGACAGAGTGTGCTCAGAAGAGTTATTTATCACCGTCCTTCTCTAATCGAGACCTTAATAAAACTAGCTTCTTCAAAAGAAAGGGAACATGTACTTTAGTTGAAAACAAACATTCAGGAAAGAAATACCAGGTTCTTCTATTTAATAATCCATCATCATCCCTTTTCTAGTATAAACTCGTTTAAGATATGGTATCACTCCACCTGAAGTGAACTACCTGACATTGTTTTATGTGAGCTCCAGTTTTGCATTAGGGCCTGTGTCCACTTACTGCAGTTAGGGCCTGTGTCCACTAACTGCAGTTTTTGCATAGGTAGTGACTATTTTCTACTCAAAAGCACAGTAGCACCTTTACTATGTCCTTTTTGTCGCTTGGCTTGCAGCAGATGAAAACACTTCACACCCCCAAACGACACCACCTCATGATTATCTCTTTCCTTTGTTGACCAATCAAAAAAAAGAAGGGGTGGGACTTCTGCTATCAACTTCTTCAGCGACATGGTAAAGGAGGGACACACCAGACTCCAGGTTTAGAGCTGCACGCCAAAATGTTTCTTTTTTTTTCTGTTTTAGTGTTTTCTTTTTCACTTGTCCCTGAATAACAGCGAGTATTAAACATGAAAAGTAATTTAAAACAGACCTAATTAACTCTACGAAGGAAAGCAAAAGTGTCATAACTCATTATTATGTAACCTGGCTGCAAGGGTAAAAAGTTCTGTGGCATTAGGATTGAGGAAACTGCAACCACAGAAAAAACGCAGCCAGTGGACAGAGGCCCTAAAATAGGACGGATTAGCAAATGAACACACAAAGAAACCCTTACAACACTCAGTGTGTGCTCGCTCTGAGGTGTTTTTTCTCCTGACTGGAGGATTCATCAAAAAATAACCCAAATAGCTGCAACTTGTGCACAAATTCTGAGGAGTTTGAACACCATGAGTCTTGACCAACACTGTGTTTATCACGTTTAATCACGTGTCCTGATAAACTACCTGTTGAACAACTTTGCCTCTCCTTCCAAAGTCTTGCTCAACTCCCTCCAACAGCAGCAGTTTCAACCTCGATCGAATGTGTTCCAGCCACTCTGACGTTGAATTAAAGTACTGAGTTTGGTTTGTTGTCTGAGGGCTCTACCTTTTAACACATGTTTAACTCATGAGGAATTTCTGTGGTTTGTCTCTCCGCTCACGGCTCACTGCTGAGCTGTTGAACACAGACACACTTGAAACTGGTCTGACTCCTGTTCTAAATCAATCACAGCAGTCTGCAGCACACTCAACAAAGATCCCACTGTGCTGCACTCGCACACAGACGTCTGTTTGCTACCGTTTCACTGTGATACACAGCACACCAGGATTCTAACATTTCACTCACTAAAGCACAAACCTTTTATTTATTATTCTAATGTTTTTCCTATTTTTTGCCCAGAGTTTTTGACACTATGAGCAGGTTTTTAGTCTCCGAACATAAACAGTAACGTTCTAAGTCAGAGCTAAAGGACAGTGCTGTGAGCTTAAAGTCAACATGAGTGTTTTCAGTGTGTTCTCAGTGTGCGCGTACCTTGATCCTCCTGACGCTGGCCTCCAAACGAAGCTGCTTCACGGCCTTCTGAGCGAGAGCTAAGCTGCTGCTGGCGGCGCTGTTGTTTGACATGACTGAGACAGAGACACGAGGAGTCAGTTCTGTTTCTGTGCAGGGCGCTAATCACACACAAAAAGGCCATTCACTCACTTCTTTATACACCCCACACCCACCCACCCATCCACACACCCACCACCCTCACGTGCACAGACAGACAGAGAGACAGAGTTGAGTTTTTTCTACAATTGTTTTATCCTTTAAAATTTCTCTGCGATTACATGTAGATTTTAAATTATACAGTATTTTCTTACAGTATCATATAAAATAAGTGCTTTAATATAGAATTATGGTGTTTATTAAAGAAATCTTGTCTGCATTACTCATTAGGACTGTATTAAAGTACATTTTGTAGAATTTGTACTTTAGTGAAGTTTTTCAGGGGGAGCTTACTTCTTTCACTCGGCTAAACACCTGAAAGGCAAATATCACACTTGTTAGTTCACTATGTTTCCATTAATGGAAATATGTACCTTGGAGGGACTTTTTCCAACCTACATTTCAGAGCTTTTACTACCTTATGAACCAACTTGCAGCCTCAGATCCTCTGGCTAAGGCCTCCTGGTCGTTCCAAAGTCGAGGTCGTTCCAAAACTGAAGGTGATCGATCTTTCTCCATCAGAGCTCCTCGACTTTGGAGCGACCTGCCAGAGGAGATAAGGCGAACAGCAGAGACAGTCGCTTCTTTTAAGTCAAGTTTAAAAATTCACTTTTACAGACTTGCTTTCATGTAATGACGACTTTTATCTATTATCTGTCGTCTCTTATCTCTTTTACCTCTATCTTGTTTCGGCTTTACTGTCTTTTTAGCTTTTGTTATACTTGTACTTTTTTCTTAATTAATCTTTTAGGCCTTTTATTGTTTTATCTTTCACTCATTTCTGTTGCTCTATGTTATCATTACTATTATTATCAATATTACCTGTTATTATTTTATTATCATTGTTGATATTCCCTTTTATATCTACTATCCTGTTTCCTGTTTTAATAATAATAATAATAACAATATTATTATTATTATTATTATTATTATTATTATTATAAAATTTCTCATTATTCTCTTTTTTGTCTGTTTTTCAAATAATGTTTTTGCCTTTATTATTTATTATGGCCATTTGGAAATTTAGGAATAGTAAGCAAGGAAAAACACACAGCAAAGAGTCACGACTGGGATTGAACTAAATACATTTTAGTCAGGGTTTTTTAAAAGGAACAGCTTGACTAAAATTAAATGATTATGTATCTATTTATTTACTGGAAAATTAAATCGGTTTTAGTATGGTTACCGTCTGTAAAAAACAAACCAAAACTGTCCAGCAGACGGCGCTAATACAACAAACTAGGCGTCTCTCCTCATAGGAAGAAGAAAATACAGGTCAAAGGTCAGAGGAGAACTGTTTCCGGTGGATGTTTAGGTCTCACACACACGGGGGGAGTGAAACCTTAACGACTTTAAAATGCTGCTCAGAGTGAGTATGAACGTCTTTTGATTCCAAACCTTCTTATCGGTGTGTGTTTAAATATAACTCAGAGTCTGATAAAAGCGCGTGCTCGTGTTGTTATGGCAGCAGATGGTGTTTAGCGCGTTAGCTCGCAGTTAGCTTGTGTAACGTTAGTTTATGTCATCACCTCTAAACCTGACAGCTGCTCACCTCACTAAAGAGCAACTTTATAACATCTTTTTACTGCATTATAGGGTTCATTTATACGGAGAAAAGACGCTAAACTAACTATAAATATTAATGTTCTTTGGGTTTTCTCCAAACGGTGTCGTTTTAAGGATGATAAGATAACCTCTAACCCTTATTTATATTTGTAAATGAACCTGTGCAAGAATTTAATGAAGCCATGATTAGACAGAGAAAACCTGCACAGATTGATAACAACAACAATAATATCTTTATTTTTATAGCACTTTTAAAAACGGAAGTTTACAAAGTGCTTTGACAAACAGTCGTAAAACAAATAAGAAACCCTGACAATACAAGAACCCTACAACATAAACTGAGACCATGGGGACCAAAATAAAAAGATAAAGTAGGTAAGAAAAATAAATGTAATAAAAAAGGGGGAAAGAAAGCAGGAAACAGGATAGTAAGTATAAAGTATAGAGTATAAACGAGGATATTAATAATGATGATAAAACATAGATGGTAACATTGATGATAAAGTGGAACAACAAAAATGAGGAGGAAGATACAATAAAATTAATAAAGAGGCCTAAAAGGTGAAATAAGAAAAGGTTATAAGTAAAGGGTCGGTGAGAAATAAGGGTTTGCATCATGAGTAATTCAAAAAGGTTTTAATAAATTGTTTTAAAAGTTTGCATTAAGTTTGCAAAGATGTATATTTTGTATCTCCGTTGGTTTCATATAATTTCAAACAGCATTTTAACCTTTTTTTTTTAAAACGAATGATGGATTTCCCTTGAAAATGTCAAGTGGGGAAATATTACATACTTATTCCCACCTATAGTGTATGCAAATGTACTTATAAGAAAAGTTACTACATCATAATGTAGCACTGTTAAATTTCATTTTTATATCATGATACATATATTGATATTTGCTGATATGTAAAAAATAAATCGTGATAAACTTTTCCCATATCACTCAGCCCTAGTGTATATAAAAGATCCAAACTGATAGACAGCATCATGTGCAGTGGTTGTCATCACCTAGTTTTTGCTGCAGAGTGCGCTCAGACTCCTTATAATCTTGTTTGCAGTGTTTGCAGCTCATGCAGCAGAGCATCTCAGCTGAGCAGACTCTAGTTTACTTTGAAAACAATGTGCAGTGAATGTGCATTTATATATATGAATATAGATCTGGTATGTTTGCATTTGTTTATCTACAGGACGGTGTGTGAAATTATATTTATGTTACCTCTAATGATCCGTATTTCTGACTTTCAGAGGGCGTTACACATTGGAGGCTTGACACTGAAACACTGCAGGTCCATCCACCACAGTCCCGTATGGAGGAGTCCTCTTATACCCATAGTCGTAGAGCAGACGGTGAGTCAGGAAGGCAACGACTGTTTTCAATTCTATCATCGGCTAACAGCCGGTGTGCAGAGCAGGAGGCAAGAAAGAGACAATAAAGATGAGACATGATCACGGTCAACATTGATGGTCCCTCTCACAGTAAAGATGTGATTTTAATGCTGGAAAGCTGGTTTACCTAACAGCTAGTTGAGATTTCATAGTCACAGAGGAATGAAAACATCAGCAGTGTGTGAGTATTAAACAATATCTGTGAAAAATCAATGATAAGAGGAGTGTAAACTAGATATAGATAAGCTTCTTCCCTTGTGCGCAGTGATGAGTTCATAATATACGTTAAAACCGAACTGTGCAAAATGTTTGTGCTGCGATACTCTGTGGTTTGACGCAGCGCTGGATAAAGTGTTTGTGTTCTTAAACTTGAAAACAAATCTGTTTTTTTTTCTCTGTTTGTGTCCAGGGGAGAGGAGAGCGGGCGTATGATATCTACTCTCGCCTGCTGAGAGAGAGAATCATCTGTGTGATGGGTCCTGTAAGTGTCAGGACGCTGCAATCATCCCAAAGTGGAGAAATAAAGGAGTTTCAGTTTTGAATTCGTACTCTTTCTCCTCTGTTTAGATCGATGACTCCGTAGCCAGCCTGGTAATCGCCCAGCTGCTCTTCCTACAGTCAGAGAGCAACAACAAACCAATCCACATGTACATCAACAGTCCCGGTAAGTCCAAGGAGAGAAGGAGAGCAGAAATTATGAAGTCATCCTTAATGTGGGGAAGAAATCACAGAATTCAAATGAAGCAGAACCAGGGAAATGAGACATGCTGTAAACCCCTGCATTATTTTGTCTTGTAATTTCGACTCCTGCGTACGTATGTGTGCTAAAAATGACTACATTCATGCGGTTTCTCCTTTCTTTCCTCCTCCAGGCGGTGTGGTGACAGCAGGCCTGGCCATTTACGACACCATGCAGTACATCCTTAATCCCATCTCCACCTGGTGTGTCGGTCAGGCAGCCAGCATGGGCAGCCTGCTCTTAGCAGCAGGAACATCGGGCATGAGGCATTCCCTGCCCAACGCCCGCATCATGGTCCACCAGCCGTCAGGAGGGGCCAGGGTAGGGTGGTCTGCTCCGAGCGTCCTTCAACACTGATCTGAAGTGAAGAGCGACAGGAATAACAAGTCTGAAACTATTAAAAGTAATGTTGAATAAGAATCGTGGTTCTGTGTGTGTGTGCAGGGTCAGGCCACAGATATCGCCATCCAGGCCGAGGAGATCCTGAAGCTGAAGAGACAGATCAACAACATCTATGCCAAACACACGGGGCAGCCGCTGGAAACTATTGGTGGGTTTGAACAACTTTCTGCTGCCTGAAAAAGAGGAATATCTCTCTTATTCCTCTTTTTCATGCAGCACACTTCTTCATGCTCATTTGATGCAAAGGAATCAGAAACTTAACTTTGAAGAGTATATTTACAAATGTATTTTATTGTGTCTGTTATTTTTACCGGCGGCGCAGTGGTGTAGTGGTTAGCACTGTCGCCTCACAGCAAGAAGGTCATGGGTTCAAATCTGGCTCAGGGCATTTCTGTGTGGAGTTTGCAGGTTCTCCCTGTGTCTGCGTTTACCCTGGGTACTCCGGTTTCCTCCCACATCCCAAAAAATGCCTAAATGGGGTTAGGTTAATTGGCCACTTCCAAATTGCCCTGTAGGTGTGAATGTGAACGTGGATGGTTGTTGCCCTGTGATGACCTGGCGACTTGTCCGGGGTGTCCCCTGCCTTCGCCCAAAGATGCTGGGATAGGCTCCAGTAGAAAATGGATGGACGTTATTTTTACTTTAAATGTAAGTCCTAAATGGCGTCTCTTTTCTCTCCTCCCTGCAGAGAGCGTGATGGAGAGGGATCGCTACATGAGCCCCATGGAGGCGCAGGATTTTGGTATCATCGATCGGGTCCTTGTCCATCCACCCCAAGCCGGCCAGGATGAACCAGAGCTGGTTCAGAAAGAGCCGGCATCCACAGCCAGTACCTCCCCACAGCCTGAGTCCACGGCTCCAGAGACCTCCTCCCCTGGGACTAACCCCCCCTCCTCATACAAACCTGAGCCATGAAGGCACCGACCGCAGCACAGCTGACTGAAGCTCCTGAAGCCAAACCTCCACGGTCGTCTCACTGGCTTATTTCCACTGCAAAGTCCACACCTGCGAGGACAGATGCAGATAACCTCATGTTTGTTACAGGTTTTTAAAGTGCAGTTTCAGGTTTTGATTCCTCTGGTTATTAAAATTACAATGTGATACTAAAATAACATTTTTGTATCACAGCCGAGTGGGTCATCAAATGCACAGTTCCATGACATGTTTTCCTTTAGTGTCTTTAAGGAGGGGGAAGAACTTCAAGACTGTAGAGCCGTGTTTATCTGTGCCCCCTGCTGCAGAAACTGAACAGTGGAGAGGACTGTCTACCCTTAATTGAACTCATATTTTTAATAAATATGATCACTTTGACCACAAAATAACATCCGCTTCTTTTTCAATCATTAACTCTGTGTTTGATCCTGACCCCTGCAGTGTTTAAATCCAGAATAAATCTGATCAGCAGGTCGCTGACACATTAACATTTCAAACAACACTCCAGGTTTTTACCGTCATAAAGTCTAGATGAGGTATTTCAATTGAGCGGATGATGCAAATTTTTATATTGTGTTTGTGCAAGGCGTGGAAAACAGACAAACATCACAAGGAAGGGTTTAACCAATAAAAATAAATGATTCTGGGTAAACTTGAACAAGGGCAACATGCAAACATTGATAAGAAAACAACTGAGTAAATGTGACGTGGTCTTCCAAAATTTCAAGGATGGTCAAGTGCAGCTTCTTAATTATTAGAAACTATTTTGAGACATTTTTCAAGATTTTTTTTTCCACTTTACTTGTCATGATGCCTTCTACAATTTGATCATTATTAATGAAACGATACTCGGTTGAATCCTCTATCCACCTAAATCCATTATGTTTAAACGTGTCCAACATTTATCCACCTGTCTTAAAGAAGGCTCACTGTTTTGACCATTTACCTGTTTCATACAAAACTGTCATCTATTGCTTCATGACTGACTCTAATGCCTTCCTCATTATAAGCATGTTCGAGCTTGTACATTTTATCTTGATGTGAAATCTTTTTTAACCATCCTAGAGTGTACGGCCTGCATGTTTTGACAAATGTTCGGTTGAAAACTCGTTTTTTTGCGTGGGACATGTAACTGCCACTGAATTTCCCTGGAACAGGACTAGAGATAAACCTTAGTGGAGATGTGTCGCAACAGAAGAGTCAAAGGGCAGAGCTGTCAGACAGTGTCTAACCTTATTCGTACCTGAGATCAAAGATGAAACCACGCCCAAATATGCGGGAAATGCAAGTTTGAGTTGCAGTGATGTCTCTATAAATAGTGGTCTCTGCAGCTCTGGCATCATACGACAACATGGAGAGAGCGATGACTGCATCTGAGGTGAGTAATGCATGATTAAGATTTATTAGTACCGTGATGGGCATAGATGAATCATAGATATTTCAAACCCTCAAATTAACACTCTATAACGCTGAATAGGAGGTGACCCCACCAGCTGTGAAAAGGAGTCTTGAGAGCAAGAAAATTGTCCAAAAACTGGAAGGTTTCTGCCGTATGCTTAGTCTGTCAGTTGTGTCCTTGGGCAAGATACTTAACCCACCTTGCTCCCAGTGTGTGTCCTCCACTGGTGTATGATTGTGAGTGATGTGTGGTGGTGGTTGAGTGGCTGTGGATGCAGATTGGCAGCCACGTGTCTGTCAGTCTGCCCCAGGGCAGCTGTGACTACTGTGGTAGTTTACCACCACCAGGGTGTGACTGTGTGAGCGAATGAATGATGTATCCAAGTGTCACTGATTCTCTATAAAATCTGATGCAGTATTATTATTATTTTTGCATAAATCATTTTCCCATAATGAGTCAAACCAATCAGAAAGCAGGAGGTGATTTAGGTCAGAGCAACATATGATTGATAATTTACAACCGTTCTACACGATCACCTCTAAGAAAATATTTTGAAAAATGTCAAACTTTTCCTTTTTGTTCCAGAAGTCCATCCGTGATACTCAGCGTGTGTGTGCCGGAGAAGAGGAGTATGTTCACAAGAGGAAAAAAATTGTCCTGGAGTCTCTCAGGAGTCTGGGAATCAATTGTGCCGAAGTAAGAAAGAAAGAAAGGGTTATGTATCACATCTTTAAATGAACTTGAGATGGGTTGTTCGGCTGCAGATTGTATGTGTTACCTCATGCACTGGTATCAATAGGCAGAAATGGCACTTGTACAAATCTGGGTGTGTCATTGAGATCAGGCGCCAGGAAAAATGTCAAACCCACATGCTGTCATTAAAAGTTGGATCATAAACTGGATCCTCCAGAAAAGCTGTACGGTAGCTTTGTAGTAGCAGCTTCTGGGTTTACTGAAAATCATTTTCCAACAGAGGGACAGAAGCCTAAAGTGACGAGAAATACCCTCTCTAAAATGACAAAATAAAAAACACAATATTCTCCTGTTTAGATAATGTTCATGATTATTCCCATCAGGACTCTGTTCCTCGTATCGCTGTGCTGGGTTCAGGTGGAGGTGAGAGAGCAGCCATGAGTCTGTTGGGTTCCCTCCACCAGATGGAAAAAGACGGTCTGCTGAACTCTGTGCTCTACCTGGCAGGAATTTCTGGGTCAACATGGTAACCACAGTCACTCACACAAGCACCATACAGTAAAAAAAAAAAAACTGTGTAAAAGCAATACTCAGGAGGTTGTATCGGAACCATGACTGCTGGCAGTGAGCTAACAGTGATTTATTTATTGGATAAGAAGACAGGAAGTTCTTCTTTTGCTCTTTACTCCCCACATTTCCCAGTCTTTCTTTATTCGTCCTTTTTCCTTTAAACTCCTGTGGTCCTCTGATCCACATACAGATCATCATGGTAATCTCAAAGTTTTACATTTATGCACTTGAATACTACTTGCAATTAAGCAAAAAAAATTATCTGCCCTGTATGTATGCTGTCAACTTAGAGTATGAGGCATTGAGCCTTATGAAACTGAATTACTGCTGAGCTGAAAAATAACCAATTTTTTCATCAAGTGTCCGTCTGAGTTCTCTGAGTTCATTTGCGTGCTGCCTGGGGCAGACTGAGGCTCTGGGTTGGGGTTCAAGTCAGAAGGTTCTGTGTGTCCTGCTTTTACAAATGTGAAGTAATGTGTTATGCGGATGATATCCAACTATACCTGCCTTATTTGTCGTCTGTCAGGTCCATGGCCTACCTGTACGGTGACCCGGAATGGAGCACAAAGATGGACAAAGCCATATCCAAGCTGCTGGACTCGGAAGTAGATGTGCATGAGGCTCTGGTGTGGCTGAATAAAAGAGTGGATGATGAGGACTTCTCCCTAACTGATATCTGGGGGTTGGTTACCTCTGCTGGAATCATGAAACAGGTCCCAGAAGAAACACACAAACTTTAACCGACTATAACCGATTTAATGCAACACATTTTGGAAGTATGTATGTGTCCTTGAAAAGGTGTCTATTGTTTTATCAGATGGAGCTGTGGCATCCTTCTGATGAGGTCTACAAAAAACCAACCAACCCCTACCCAGTCTACTGTGCCATCGAGAAACACTTCTATAGAGATGGACCACCAGAAGGTACACATGCACCTTTAACATGTCATACAAAGACCTGCAGTCACTCTGAGTTATGCTGTTGACATCAAAGAGCCTCTCTGTCTCTCAGGGAAGTGGTTCGAGATGAGTCCTCATGAGTCCGGTTTCACAGAGCTGGGTCTCTTTGTTGAAACTTCTCTCCTGGGCAGCAAGTTTGAGAGTGGGAGGCTGGTGGAGATGTTACCTGAGATGGACATGGTCAAACTACAAGGTGTGTAACAACAGCAGAAGAACAACTACAAGAGCGGTGTTGTGCAGGTTCACTGTGAGAATGAGCTTCCTGTTTATGATTAATAATTGACCTTTAATACGCCCATGGGCTCACTACCAGTAGGAGGAGCCAAAGGGGTTGGTGCAATGTTAGTTGGGAGGTAGCAAAAGGCAGAGACCTTGGCGGTCTGACCCTCAGCTGCAGAAGTTAGGTCCCCTCTCTGATTCCCTTGTTCTGCTGGGAAGGAATGACCCCCCTGATCTGAACCCAAGCGGTGCTTTGTTATTAGATTTCTGTGCACGTCACAGATTCTCCATAACAAACACCATGTTCAGACATAAGGGTGCCTGTACGTGCGCCAGGACACCCCAGGCCGCAGTTCGATGAACAACTTTACGGTCGTGTCGTCAGACTTACGGCCTCATGTCTTTTGAGAGTTTACACACAGTATAATTATTCAAGTAAAATAGAGGGGACCCCTTCAAAATTGAAAGAAGCATGAAAAATCAGCAGCTTTGCAAATGTAGAAATACATGTACAGCTGTGGTTCTGCGGAAGAATATTTGGCATGAATGTTAACAGATTATCATCTTCAAACTGTGCAGGTATCCTGGGCTCTGCACTGGCAAGTGAAGGGAAGATCAGAGAGTTCATCTACAACCACAGTAAATCACTCTCATTACAACATGCATATCCATATTACAGCACGGTCTCCACATTTTTACTGGAGATGCAGAATTTTCTGTTTTTTAAGTAGAAAGGACACATTCATTCACAGTTTTTGTGTTTCAGTGCAGAAATATGTGCATGAAGCGCACGAGTCTGTTCACCACGCCTTCCATAAATTCACCAGTATATTCAAAAGCCTCGTCGCAGACTTGAAAGCTGTGGTTCACCTGGGGGAGCAGACTGAAAGCAACGGTAATGAAGATGAACTCCTACAAAACAGACCTTTATTCACTGAATCCAGTTTCTCTAGAAGCTGCAAAGTCAGTTCAAGATCCCAGCTTTCCAGTTTCAGACATAAACATTATCAGCTGCTTCTCTCTTTCTTATAAAGCAGCAGCTTAAATGTCTTATTTAACATGCCATACTGTCCTCATCCATCTTATCTCCTCTAGATGTTGTAATGGAGGTCCAGTCAGGGTGTTTGGATGACAAGGAAGCTCATTACCATCAGGAGTGCCAGAATCTGATTTGCGTGGTGGAGGAGCGGAAGGAGAATCTGGAGGAGGGACATCTGAAAAGTTTCTGTCAGTTACAGGCTGATTAAACAAAGACAAACAGATTAATTTAACCTAAATGAGTGTAAACACATCTGTGCATTTCTGATTCCTTGCAGATGTCTTTGTAAAGAAGGCTCTTCATCTGATTATGAAGTGGGAGTGGGGAACCACCAACAACTTCCTCTACAAATACCAGCGTAAGGAGACAGACCCTCCAGAGTTACTCTCTGTAGATTTCTCAGATGAAAATATTAACCCCAACCGCCAACACGTGGTGTTGAGTCATGATGTAAAAATGATTAAAGAGGCTTTGAAGGATAATAAAAAAAACCCATGATCAGGTAAATAAAGGTTTTGTTGAATTAAAATGTCCTGATGTTGTGTTGCCAGACTCCAGCATGCCCAAAAAACTAACTTCTATGGAGGATATCCACCTGATGGATGCAGGGATCCTGATGAACGTCCCCTACCCCCCATTTTTGGGAGAAAAGAGAGACATCGACCTCATCATCGCTCCAGAGTACAGCGCGGGGAACCTGTTCGAGGTACTGAGAGCGTGCATGTATTATCAGCAGAGTTTTGTTGAGTTAAACAAAGATTAAGAAATAATATTCTGTTTACATGGATGCAGTTGGAGGTTATTTTAGAGCCCACAGCCAGTGTCTCCCATAAACAGCTGCAAAAGGCTGCAGTGCAACGTGACCTGAACTTCTCCAAACAGGTTTATTTTCAAGGGTTATGGTAAGCAGACAGATGACGACTTCAAACGTTCAAACATAAGTACCTGCCTTTTGCTGCGGGGTGACAAGCCTGTATTTTCACTGATGGGGTGTAGCATTATTTTGATATCAGTAATTAAACCTGAATTTTTTTCATCTTCAATTTTAACTGGATAATAAAAATAAGTTTACAAGGCGATTTAATTTGTTCATTTGTTTTGCATCTGGGAAAGTTCTCGTCCTTTTCCAACAGAGGGTGCAGCTGCACCTGCAGCAAACGCAGCTATGATGTCAACATTTCTCTCCTCCAGATGAAACGACCTACTTGTCTCACAAACTTGACTTTAAAAACAACATTTCCTGACGCTAAAAAAAGCACTTTTTAAGAAGTGATGCATCCTTCATTATCAAGATTTAATGATTGCTCTGACTTTTCTCCAGAGTGAGTAAACTATGAAACAACTTGCACACTCTGCTCTCTGCACAGACTCTGACTCTGGCCAGAGATTATGCAAAGGAACTGAAGAAGCCTTTTCCAGATATACCCGATAAGGTCCTGGAGGAGAAAGATTGGCCGAAGGACTTGTACGTGTTTGATGGTAAAGAGAAGGCGCCCACCATCGTTTACCTGCCGCTCTTCAACAACAAAAACTGCAAAGGTCTGCTTCAAACCATGAAACTCTCTGATAAAGAATTTTTCTGTCAAAATCTTCCTGATTATGAACATCTTTCTATTCTGGTCCAGATGCAGACGAGATCAAAGCCAGGATGACTGAGTTCTCCACCTTCAGGGGTCCCCTCAGCAAGGATGAAATCAGGACCTTAATCGAGACATCGAAAGAAAACATAAAGAGAAACAAAGAAAACATCATGGAGGAGATCAAAAAGGCCGCTCAACGCAGAAACAACAAGCAGAAATGAAAAAATATCTGAACAGATATACAACATGACCACGTCTCTTTCTGCTTTCTTTTTCTCTAACAGAAAATCAGTGCTACAACAAATCTAGTCAGCAGGTCTTTTCCTTAAATGAGTGAAATCTCTTGATGATTATAACTATGTTAGAGTTGATCAGGGATTGAAATGATGATTGATTTTGCTACTGTTGCTTTGGTAATTATTCAATCAATGAAAAGGTCGACTTACTGATGGTGTCACCTTCTGTAGACCTGTCTTGTGTTGTACTTACTCTCAGATAATCAATGCTTTGGACAAAAATGTCTGCTAAATGAAAGAGTTAAATCCTAGGTAAATGACCGTGTAATGTGATCATGTTTGCTGAAATAATGTGTTACACTGGGGCATGTGCTTAAAATAAAGATGCATTAAAGGTGTTTGTCTTGGTAAAACAGGAGTTTCTGTCTCTTTGTGTCTGGACAAATGTGAGTCAGACATCTCATAGTGCGCTGTTTAAACTTAATGCTGCAGCAGAAGTCCAACCTCAAGACTGCTTGCAGATTACTTTTCCGTTCAGTAACTAAGGAATGATAAGTGGATTCTGCAAAGGGGTGGGGCACAAGTGGCAAATGGAGGTACAGAGGGAGGGACAAAAGGTGTAGAAACTTAAACACATCGCCAGGTTGGCATAGCTCATTCATGTGGATGTGGTGAGAATGATTCATGGTAAAATGTCAAACCACCCCGGATCAATGATTCTGCCCTCTTTTGTTTGGTTGTTTAAAGGGGTTTTAGGGCCACATTTTAAAAGGGACTTTCTAAAAGAGACATACTGTTACAAGAATAAGCTTTTAGTAGAGCGATAATATTACAAAAATAAAGTAATGTAATGAGAATGGAGAAACAATGGGATGAGAATAAAATTGCTGTTTAAAAAAACCTAAGGAATGGTGAAAAAAGTTGACTAGATTAACAAATATAATCCAATAAAGGAACACAATCACTTTATTATTGTCATATAATTACTTCACTTTGTTCCTGTGATGTTCTGAAGTTATCACAACCTGATCCCATGATCTACCCAAAATCGGTATCCGCCCTAAACAGCAAATATTGGTCAACCCCAGATGGTTATAGTAATGATAATTTTAAATGGTGAGTAACTGAAGTGATGAAATAATAGGATGTAAGTGACATGGGGGTCATTCCATGTCAATTCAACCAAGGATCTCCACTCACGTCACAGATTTTCATGAAATTTGGTGGAGTGATTTGCCTTCAGGAGAAACTGTCAGAGCTCAAATATTTTTGTTCAAAGTTGTGTAATTAGTGAGATAGGGGCTAATGAACACTTTTGCTAACTAGCATGACATGCGTTACAAAAGTGTTCATATCTCTGGAAATATGGCACCTAGAGAGCTGATTCAGGTGTCATTTTAAAGCTCTCCTCAAGTTCTATCTTTTTGTTCATAACATTTTTTCCCAAATTGAACCAGAATAAAATTATAAAAGACCAAAAACTTAAATTGGAAATAGCAAAAAACGCGCGTCCTTCAATTTTCTTCATATTCATACTAAAGAAAGACTATCATGTCCACTAGCATCCCTGCAAGTTTCAGGATGGGCATTCCATAACTTTTTGAGTAATCAGTCAAAATGTGTGGTACGTTAGGTGGAAAATCGCCATATTTGGCACATTATACAGTCCTGACCTCATCTGGAGTCAGCCCCACTTGCCTGCTTGTGTAAAATATTACTTCCTCATAGTGCAAAATGCTTTATTTGAGTTTTTTCATTTGTATGTTATCCCATATTTATATGAAAAATGGCTAGAATAGCTTATTTTTGCTCAGTTTTCCATCACATTTCATTTCTATTTGCACCTTTATCCAGAATATGAATGATCTTAGCTTCATGGGAGAATCATTTGGCCATACCTGCATGTCCTGGATCCTAGGGTTAACAAATAACTTCTACCTATGCACCCTGAAATTTTGTTGCTGGTTTCCCCGTGAAGTATTCCAGGCTATTTATCCTGAGCCCTTTCAACGTTTCCTTTATACTATAATCACTCCACCAAATCTCATCACCAAATCTGTGACGTGAGTGGAGATTCTTGGTTGAATTGACATGGAATGACCCATGGGCCTCACAGAATGAACGGTATGAGGAAGAGATCACTTTTGGTTGTGTAGTAAAAATGATTTTGACGATGAATTCATGATCTCTTAGTTGTATTGGTCATCAACTCTTTATCTCTGCAAACATGTTTAAGTCGTGGCTGTCTTACTTGGAAATGCCTACCAGGAAACTTTATCTATGAGAAACACAATAGCAATGGGTAAAAAGATTAAACTGTCTAAACTGAAAAATAAAATTAAAAAATGTTTGTTCATGGTTAATCGTGAGATCAATAATCTACTGTATGTGTAATCTTCTTTTTGGCACAAGTCCTTCCATCATTCATCACTTGTTTGCACAGGCAGTGCCACTGAATTTCTCTGGAAAAGGGAGAGTTACGAAACACAGTGGAGCAATGTCACTTTAGATGAGTCAAAGGGCTGAACTGTCAGTTTGATGTGTTTCTAACTTTGTTTACACCTTTAATTTACGATGACTACACACCCACATGCCCAGACCAGAAATACAAGTTATAGTTATGGAGGTAAGGCTTTACTTTATATGAGGATTAACACAACTTTGACATCGGGAAGCAACATGGAGGGAGAGAAGGCTGCATCTGAGGTGAGTTAAGCGTGATTAAGATTTATGATTAACCAGTACCATGCTGTGCCAAATCTACTATCGTGTGATTATTTTCAACTCTTGAAAACAATGTTGTCAAAGGTGTCAAGGAAATGAGTGACAGCCAGCTGCTGTAACAACTCTGGCTCTGGCATCACTCATCTGCTGTTCATAAAACGGTGCTCTTAAAAAGCTACATGTATAGTCAGGTCCTAGCGCAGACTGAAACCTGAATGAGACTGAAAACACTGCAACATCAGCAGCCCTACTATGTTTTTACACACTCCTGTGCTTTGTGTTTGACCTTAAAGGGAGATCTTTTAAAGTATCTTGGAGAGGAGAAGTGTCTGAACCACATTGCCTTTCAACAAGGGTCCCTCAAGGATCAGTGCTTGGCTCCTGTCTTTTCTCTATGTGCACCATCTCACTCAGGGCAATAATCCCATCTCATGGGCTCTCATATCACTGCTATGCAGATGATACCCAGCTCTTCCTGTCATTCCCCCCAGATGACACAGCTGTCTGAATCTCATCATGTCACAGTGATATATCTAAATGGATGAAGGAACGCCACCTTCAGCTCAACCTGTCCAAAACTGAGCCTGTCATTCCAGCCCATCTCCACCAACAAACACAGATTAGTATCCATCTTAGAGCAAATAAACATGTGCCCACTATGTCTGCCAAGAATCTGGGTGTCGCGATTGATGACCAGCTAAACTTTAAGGTTACCAGGCCTCTCCGCATGCACAGCTTGGATCATCTGCAGATGATCTGAAACCCTGCAGCCCATCTGGATTTCAACCAACCCAAAACAGCACACACTCAGCTGTTCGTCTCCGGTCATTGGCTTCCAGTAGTAGCAGCCAACATCAACCAGAAAGCCTGAGTTTGTGCCTGTGAAACTGCAACAAAATCAGCTCCTGCTTGCAGTCCCTCATGCAGGTCTACACTGCCTCCCACAGTCACTATCCAGACTCTTCTCCTCTGTTTTTCCCAGAAGTAGAACGACTGAAACAAATAGAAATCAAGAAAATGGCAAAAATGTTAAGCTGTTTATTTTTGTTCCAGAAACCTGTCCGTAATACTCAGCTTATGTGTGCTGGTGAAGAGGAGTATGTTGACAAGAGGAAAAAAATCGTCCTGGAGTCTCTCAGCAGCCTGGGGATCAAATGTGCTGAAGTAAGTGAAAAAGAAAACAATGAAGTTTCATTGCAGATCATTCTTTCCTGAATCATTTAGATCTCAGTTACTTCTTTTCCTTTAAAAACTGTTGTTTTTTTTTATGTATCACAACTTATAATGAACTTCAGATGGATTGTTAGGCATTTATACAAATCTGGGTGTCACTAAAAGATCAGGCCCCAGGAAAAATAGAGTGTCAGAGGAAAAGTCCTATTTGTAAAAGTTGGATAATAAACTTGATCATCTGGAAATGCTGTACGGTAGCTTTGTTGTAGTAGCTTCTGGGTTTATGGAACATTGCGGTCAAACAGAGTGACAGAAGTCTAAGTCACGAGTGATGCCCTCATTAAAAAGGTGAAATAAAAGCAACAATATTCTCCTTTGTAGCTAAAGTTAATGATCTCCTCATGATTATTCCCATCAGAACTCTGTTCCTCACATCGCTGTGCTGGGTTCAGGTGGAGCTGAGAGAGCAGCCGTGAGTCTGTTGGGTTGCCTCCATCAGATGGAAAAAGACGGTCTGCTGAACTCTGTGCTCTACCTGGGAGGAGTTTCTGGGTCAACATGGTAACCACAGTCACTCACACAACAGTCATACGGTAGAAAACAGTATAAAAACAATACTCAGGAGGTTACATCATAACCATGACCGCTGGTCTAAGCATTTCTTTTATTTCCATGAATACACATAATAATAAAAATACAGACCATTTTAGTGTAAATGTTATATTCCAACAGAAAATCTTATCATTCAGTCTATTAAACATACCTATGAGCAGTTCTTTCCTGTTTGCGTCCAATGATTTATGACTGAATGTGGGTCCTTACCTCTAATGGCAGGAATTCTTAATCAACTGTAATCTGGTGTGGAAGACTTACATTGTCCAGTCAATGGGAGAACTGTTGATCATAAAGGCAAATGATGTGGGTGGCTTGACCTAGTTTGAACTGAGTGTTGTTTAGAACCTGTTCTCAGTTCCCATCCTTGGTGACAGTAGCATGCCCTGCAGTGAAACAAAAACAGACAGACAGACAGACAGACAGACAGAATGACTGTCACTCTGTTTTAGGTGAAACAAAAACTGGTTGGTCCAGATGTAACTGCAAACACTTCAGGACTGTTTGTCCTTATTTCTCCTTTGTCAGGTCCATGGCCTACCTGTACGGTGACCCGGAATGGAGCATAACAATGGACAGAGCCATATCCAGGCTGGTGGACTCAGACGTGGACCTGGGTGATGCTCTGTCCTGGCTGTGCAAAAGAGCAAATGATGAGGACTTCTCCCTCTCTGATATCTGGGGGTTGATAACCTCTGCTGTAATCATGAATCAGGTCTTGGAAGAAACATGCAAACTTTTACTGATTATAAAGAATTTAATGCAACAGATTTGAAAAGTATGTTTGTGTTCTTCAAAAGTTGTCTTATGTTTCATTAGATGGACGTGCGGCGTCTCTCTGGAGAAGCCAGTAGAGATGCTACCAACCCCTACCCCGTCTACTGCGCCATTGAGAAAAACTTCTTTAGAGATGGACCAACAGAAGGTACACATGCACCTTTCACATGTCATACAAAGACCTGCAGTCACTCTGAGTTATGGTGTTGATCGTCTAAGAGCTTCTCTGTCTTTCAGGGAAGTGGTTCGAGATGAGTCCTTATGAGGCCGGTTTCACAGAGCTGGGTCTCTTTGTTGAAACTTCTCTCCTGGGCAGCAAGTTTGAGAGTGGGAGGCTGGTGGAGACGTTACCTGAGATGGACATGATCAAACTACAAGGTGTGTAAGAATAGCATAAGAACTACAAGAGCGGTGTTGTGCAGGTTCACTGTGAGAATGATTAAGAATTGACTTTAAATACTTGCATTCAGTCTATTTAATGACATTATAACCACCTTATGTTTAAAATTGTTTTTTAAATTATTAAGATCTCAACTACAAATTATTTTGTTTCATTTTTTTACTTTCATTTATTCATTGACAAGTGGGAGTAACCTATTAATGGCTTGGAAGACAACCACACCCAACAGACCTTTTGATGTTTAGGGATAATTAGTTTGGCTGAAACCAAGCAGCATAACCGAAAAGGTCATTATTTGTTTCTATGAGGGGAGTTGCTAAGTCTCTATGGAGGCAAAAAGTTTGGTTACATCTGCAAAAAGTAGAGGGATTATATTTTTTGATAGTAAAGCTTTATCATTGATGTAAATCAGAAACAGTAGTGGCCCTTATTTGGATCCTTGAGGTATGCCATATTGAACAGTTGTTCTTGTTGACTCATTACAGTTAATAAGTAAGAATCACTTTCTACTTTGAAGACGAACCACCTATGGACATTACCCTGAAATCCATATTTATGCATTTTAGCTAATAATACTGAATAGTCATTAGTATCGGATGCCTTTAATGGGTCCAAAAATATGCCTACTGTGAAAACATACTGTTTAAGACGGTGTATACTCTGTCAGTAAGTTTTAAAAGTGCCATAAAAGTTCATTGATTTTTGCAAAACCCAAAGTGATGATTATACAAAGTATTACACAACATTCTGAACTGTTACTGGTACTGAATGTAAGATTAGGATTCATATTAAGTATTTAAGACTCTCGAGAGCACAGGCAACACATGCAGTTTGGGATGGAGCTGTCGGTCTAAAAAAACTTGGATTAAATCTGTCAACTGACAGCTCCAATTCTTTGGAGGAATATTTGGCATGTATGTTCACAGATTATTGTCTTCAAACCGTGCAGGTATCCTGGGCTCTGCATTGGCAAGTGAGGGGGCGATTAGTGAGTTCATCTCTAACCAAGGTAAATCCCTATAACTACAACATGCATATTTAAATTAAAGCACGGTCTGTTTTTCCAAGTATAAAGGAGACATTCATTTAAAGTTTTTGTGTTTCAGTGGGCAAAGTTATAGATGCTGCGCACGAAGTGTACGTGCGTGTTTACACTACCATCCATAAACTCATCAGTCTGATCAGAAAAGTCATCAAACAGGAGAGTGAACTGCCTCATCTGGACAAGCTGCTGAAACTTATAGGAGACAGCGGTAATGAAAACAATCTCCTGCAAAACGGACCTTTATTTACTTAATCCAGTCTCTCTAGAAGCTGCCAAGCCTGTTAAAGATTGCAGCGTCTCTCTTTTAGACATAAACATCATTAGCTGCTTCTTTTTTTTTTTTTTTTCTTATAAAGCAGCAGCTTAAATGCCTTATTTAAGATGCCATGCTGTGCTCATATATCCAATCTCTTCCAGACGAGAAACAACAACATGAACATGCAAGGCTCCAGTCAAAGAGTTCAGCTGAAAAGGAAAGCTTTTACCATCAGGAGTGCCAGAATCTGATTTGTGTGGTGGAGACCTGGAGGGATGATCTGGAGGAGGGACCTTTGAAAAAATTCTGTCAGTGAAGTTCATACCGACAGGCTGATTAAACAAAGACAGACAGTGTAATTTAACCTAAATGAGTGTTAACACTTCCCTGCATTTCTGATTCCTTGCAGTCGTTTTTATAAGGAAGGTCTTTAACCTGATTATGGATTGGGAGTGGGGAACCACCAACAACTTCCTCTACAAATACCAGCGTAAGGAGACAGACCCTCCAGAGTTACTCACTGTAGATTTTTCTGAATAAAATATTAACACCAACCGCCAACATATGGTGGTCACAATGTAAAAATGATTAAAGAGGATTTGAAGGATAATAAAAAAAAACATGATCAGGTAAAAAAAGTTTTTGTTGAATTAAAATGTCCTGATGTTATGTTGCCAGACTCCGACATGCCTGACGAACTAACCTCTATGGAGGATATCAACCTGATGGATGCAGGGCTGTTTATCAACATCCCCTATCCCTCGTTTTTGGGAGAAAAGAGAGACATCGACCTCATCATCGCTCTGGAGTACAGCGCAGGGGACATGTTTGAGGTACTGAGAGTGTGCATGTGTTATCAGCAGAGTTTTATTGACTTTTGAAAGTGTCTTGAGTTTAACAAAGGTTGGGAAAAATGTTATGTTCATATGAATGCAAAAAAAGCACTTTTGAAACAGCAATGCCTCTGTTATTAACAAGATTAAGTTACTGCTTCAACTGTGCTGCAGAGTGAGTACACTATGAAACAACCTAAACACTCTGCTCTCTGCACAGACTCTGACTCTGGCCAGAGACTATGCAAAGGAACTGAAGAAGCCTTTTCCAGAGATAGATGAGAAAGTCCTGGAGGAGAAAGAATGGCCCAAGGACTTCTATGTGTTTGAGGGGAAAGAGAAGGTTCCCACCATCGTTTACATGCCGCTTTTCAACAACAAAAACTGCAAAGGTCTGCTGCAAACCATGAAGCTCTTTCATAAAGAATATTTCTGTATCAAAATCCTAATGATCATGAACATCTTTCTATTCTGGTCCAGATGTAGACGAGGTCAAGGCCAAGATGACACAGTTCTCAACCTTCCGGGGTCCCCTCAGCAAGGAGGAAATCAACGACTTACTGGAGACGGCAAAAGAAAACATGAAGAGAAACAAAGAAAACATCATAGAGGAGATCAAAAAGGCCAGTCAATGCAGACACAACAAGCAGAAGTGAGTCCAATTGTTTTTGCATGAACAGATGAAAAAGTATCTGAACAAATATCCAACATGACCACTCCTCTTTCTGCTTTCTTTTCCTCTAACAGAAAACCAGTGCTACAGCAAATCTCAGATTCTTGTCTCTTTGGTTTGATTTGATCCAGAAAGTGCCGTGTCCTCCTGGTGATAAGTCTTTTCCTCAAATGAGTGAAAATCTCTTAGAATAGATGATGATAGTAACTATGTTAGGGTTGATCAGGGATTGAAATGATGATTGATTTTGCTACTGTTGCTCAGGTTTTTATTCCATCGACGAAAAGTCCACTTACTTGTGGTGTTACCTCCTGTAGAACTGTCTTGTGTTGTACTTACTCTCAGATAATCAATGCTTTGGACAAAAATGTCTGCTAAATGAAAGAGTTAAATCCTAGGTCAGTGTTGTTTTTGGCAGGCATTTTAGATTTAGTTTTAGTCTTAGTCATTTTGACGAAATGCTTCTTCGTTTTAGTCCCATTTTAGTCATTTCTATCCTTGATAGTTTTCGTCTAGTTTTAGTCCGACGAAAACTCAAAAGGTTTTCGTCTAGTTTTAGTCGACGTAAAGGTGCCTTTTGAGGTTCGTGGTGTTCTTTCCCGACAGTTTGAAGCATGAGGAAGCTGTGGCTCCACAACTGTCGTCTGTCTCGTCTCCCCGTCCCGTGTTTTATTGTCACTTTTATTTTATTGTCACTTGGACTGTATCTGAAGTAGGACCAAGAATCATCCCTCTTTTTTCGGCCACCGGGCACCGCTGCTGTGCCTGCCGCCACGGTGTGTGTGTGTGCGCGCCTCGTCCACCTGCCGCTCTGTGTATGTGAATGAGTGTGTGCGCGCAGCTGTGCGCGAGCGAGGCTTTTGGTGCGTGTGTGATGGGGGCGTGACTGTTAGGACAAAAAAAAGCATGTTTTGAAACTTTGTTCGTCCACCTAATAACAATTTAGTCTCGTCTCGTTCTCGTCAGACGAAAATGAATATAATTTTCGTCACATTTTAGTCTTTACAGAGCTTTGGTGACGTTCGTCTTAGTCTCATTTTCGTCAAGGAAAAAAGGGGTCTGACGTCGTCATTTAAGTTTTCGTCCTGCCTGACGAAAACAACACTGTCCTAGGTAAATGACCATGTAATGTGATCATGTCTGCTGAAATAATGTGTTACACTGGGGCATGTGTTTGAAATAAAGATGCATTAAATGTGTTTTTCTTGGTAAAACAGGAGTTTCTGTCTCTTTGTGTCAGGACAAATGTGAGTCAGACATCTCATAGTGCGCTGTTTAGACTTAATGCTGCAGCAGTAGTCCAACCTTAAGACTACTTGCAGATTTCTTTTACGTGAAGTAACTGAGTATGAATGACATATTTTAACTCAAAACCTGTAAGTGGATTCTTTTATCCGTTAATGGAACACTTTATTCTTGTAATGTAATAACTTAATATAATATGATATGATATAATAACTTATTCTCTGTGCTTGGTTTCTGTTAAAAAAATCTGTCTCACAAGTCTTCCCACGCCAAAGTGTTAGGCATGTGTCTGTCCTGGCAGCGCCAATGATGTTCTCAGGAAGGAAAGTTACGAAACAGCGAAGAAGAACAAAGGAGTCAAAGGGCAGATCTGTCAATATGATACTAAAAATTGACCTTTATTCAAATATGGCTCCACACCCAAATTTGGTGACAAGGAATGCAACATGCAGGGAGGGAAGGCTGCATCTGAGGTGAGAAGGGCACGATCAGGCTTATTGGTACCATGATTTGCCAAATCTATCATCATATTGTTCTTTTTCACTCCTGTAACAAATAACGTGTGAAAGAAGTAAGTAAGAGCACCCTGTCCAAATAGTTTTAGTAAACAAACAAACAAACAAACAAAAAGCAAAAAATATTCACAGTCAATGATTTCATTCAAGACTCTGGCATTCCTGCGCCCAGACAACATACCAGATTGTGTACTAAGAGACAATGCAGCTGAACTCACATACATCTTCATGGACATCTTCAACACCTCACTGAGTCAGGCTGTTTGTCCCCACATGCTTCAAAGCAACCACCTTCATCCTGGTCCTGAAAAAGTTGTCTCCTGCTTCAATGACTATCGTCCAGTGGCACTTACCCCCATCCCGACAAAGTCCTTTCTCCCTCTTCCCTGAACCTCAACTAGTTTCCATATAGGTCCAACTTATCAACCAGTGATGCCATCTCCATTGCCCTCCACTCAGCTCCAACACACCTGGACACTAGGGACTCTTAAGTAAGAAGCAGGAGGGACAAGACAAGATAAGACCTCCTGGCTCTGTGTACCTTAAGACTTTATTTCTGTACCTGGATTGAATTTGGCATCTGTTCAAAAAATCTGTCTCACTTCCGATCATGTGAAATCTCTATTGGTACAAATCTTCCCATGCCAAAGTGTTTAGGCATGCATGGGTCTGTCCTGGCAGCACCCAAAAATGTCTCAGGAAGGAAAGTTACGAAACAGCGAAGAAGAACAAAGGAGCCAAAAGGGCAGACCTGTCAACACGATACTTATTACATTTTTTTTTTGACGTTTAATCAAATATGGCTCCACACCCAAATGTGGTGACAAGGAATGCAACATGTAGGGAGGGAAGGCTGCATCTGAGGTGAAAAAGGCATGATTAGGCTTATTGGTACCATGATTTGTCAAATCTATCATCATATTGTTCTTTTTCACTCCTGTAACAAATAAAGTGTGAAGGAGGTAAGTAAGAGCACCCTGTCCAAATAGTTTTAGTAAACAAACAAACAAACAAACAAACAAAAAGCAAAAAATATTCACAGTCAATGATTTCATTCAAGACTCTGGCATTCCTGCGCCCAGACAACATACCAGATTGTGTACTGAGAGACTGTGCCCTTACACACCTGGACACTAAGGACTCCATCACCATCACCCTGAACACAACGGTCCCCCAAGGATGAGTGTTAAGCCCCCTTATCTTCACCCAGCTGACTCATGACTGCACACTGATGCACAGCTCTAACTTATTCGTCAAGCTTTCGGACGACACAACTGTGGTGAGTCTCATCAGCAGCAGAGATGAGATAGACTACAGGAGCGAGGTGAGCCGCCTGGCTGTGTGGTACAGAGACAACAATGTAGACAAAACAAAGGAGATTGTTGTGGACTTAAGGAGAGTGCACACTTAGCATGCTCCTCTGAGCATCAATGGTGCTGCTTTGGAGAGGGTAAGTAGCAGCAAGTTCCTGAGAGTGCAAGTCATCGAGGACCTCTCCTGGACCAACAACAGCTCATCACACACCAAGAGAGCTCACCCGGCACTTCTACTTCCTCCACCAGGAAACTTTCTTTATGGGTAAAAAGATTAGGTTTCAAACTGTAAAAAACTTTGTCTCAACTCTGTGGGAAAACTTTTTTTTTTGGCACCAGTCTTACCATGTCAGATTGTTAGGCATTCATGTATTTGCCCGCAGCACCACTGAATTTCTCTGGAAGGAGAGTTATGAAAAAGGGGAGACGTGTCAGGACAAAGAAGTCTTAGGGCAGAACGGTCAGCATGATTTGCATATAACCTTGATTACACTTGTAAGCAAATATATCTCCACACCCAAGTCTGCTGACCAGAAATGCAGGTTTTAGTTGCAGTGATATCTGTATAAATTGTGATCTCTGCAGCTTTGTCATCAGACAGCAACATGGAGGGAGCTGAGGCTGCATCTGAGGTGAGTAAGGCATAATTAAGGTTTGTGATTAATCAGTACCATGATGTGCAAAATTTACTATCATAAGGTTCTTTTTAACTTCTGTAACAAATCGTGTTTCGAGTAATGTAAAGCCTGCTGCCATAACAGCAAAAAAAGAAAAAAATGTAGCAAATATATTCTAAGTCAATTATTTGATTTCTGACTCTTGAACCACCAATCTGCAGTTAATAATAACAGAATTTATCATTTCTCTTACAAAGTTACATGATATTCAGGTCCTAGCCAATACTCAAATCTATGTGAACCCTGAAAGCACTGTAGCTCAAGAAGCCGTCTCTATTGATGCGCTGTGTTTCACACACTTCTCACTCTACTGGACCAGGAGGTGGCACAGGCATCCCGATTTCCAAGAATTTTAGCAAGCTCTGGGTGTAGCTAATTCCCAGATACTCCCCAGTGAATCTGGGAATCTGGATGTCATGACTGATTGCTTTTGAGACACTTTGCCCAGGCATCTGTTATTATTTCAAGACTTGGTGCACCTATAAGGCTCACGCTGTTTTGCGGACACCACCTCGACAGCCAGCAGTTGAATGATGAGATACGGCTATACACCTCGTCACTGCCTGATCAGGCAATTGACCAGAGAAAACTATGGAGCCCAACATAATTATGGCATATTCACACAACGATTCCACATTTCATTTAGTGACTAACGTCGCCAGGAGTAATTAACGTCATGTCATTAACGACATGTATTATGGTCTTTTTTACATTTACGATGAGTCTTTCCCAGCAGTTTCAAATTAGCTTCTATGTTGCCCGCTCTGGCCTTCCAGAGGTACTTAACTATGGCTGTGGACTTCGCTAACTTCACATTTCAGATGACAGAGTCTCCATTAACTCGAGCAACAAACTTTGTCTCAGCAGGTGTGTTGCCAAGAAGGGCAAATTATTTTGACATGTGAACACACTGGTCCTTTGTGGGCTTCCTCAGCTGGCTGCTATGCTTCCCTTGCACAGTAACCCAACCACTACTACATCCCAGCTGCTCCGGATCTGCAGGGGGGAAGCCAAGTCCCTTTGTACTTTTGAGACACTTTGCCCAGGTCTGTGATAAAAATTCAGGACTTGGTGCACCTCTTGATGATAAAGACAATGTTGACAGGGTTATTGTGACTGTATATGATTGGTGATTCACTCAAGTTGATGGGATGATGATGAAAATATATTACTTTGAAAAAAGTGCATACCCCTAAACAACGCATGGCAACACTTTGCCTATTTGCACCTTTGCAATGCATGATGATGTTGATTTTTTAAATTGTGGTCTATGAGTCAAACATCAGAAAGCAGGGGGTAGCTTAGGGGAGGGCTACCTGTGATGTTTAAATTACCACCGCATGGTGACACAAGTAACGATCCACCTCCCTGTCAAAACATGATCCCCTCTGCTTTATATATTCCAAGAAAGTTTTGGCAAAAATGTTAAACTGTTGTTGTTTGTCCCAGGTACCTGTTCATTATGTTCAGCATGGGTGTACTTTGAACCACCTGCTAGCTGTCCAGGGGTTAAAATCCAGGTATCGAGATCAAGTAAGTAGGAAAAGAGAATCATCAAACCTCATGGTAGATTATTCTTTCTGTTTCATTTGATTTTCAGTCACTTATTTGTATAAAGATAGAAAGATAGATTCTTGATTTATAACAAAGGAAATTCAGTTGCACAATCGATCATCAAACTTCATCAAATCAATTTATAAAATAGCGCATAGTGTGAAGAAAAACGATGAAAATGAAGAATTTGAGTAATTGGTAATAAATAGTAAATGATAAAACAGAGATTGACAATAAATAGCTGATGATACTGGGGTAGAAGGTAAAAGCAGAGTGCAAAGTGCAGAGTGAATACATGTGCAGAACATCCCACTCGCCCCTCATCCCTCCCCTCCCCAGTGTAACAGCCAAATGGCTCTCAGTAGAACGGACATTCTGAGTCTGTAGGAATCCTTGGCCTCCTTTATGCAGTCTTCAAGCTCCCTCTGTCCTCTCTTCATCTATTCTGGATCTTTTCTTGAACGCCCCTTTTCTTCCTGTGAAGTACAGATTTTACTTCCCTGGTCATCCAGGGTTTGTTGTTTATAAAACATTGTCCTGTTTTAACAGGAACTACTGCATCCAAACAAAGGTTTAGATAGACTGTGATGCAGTGAGTGAAGCCCTCAATCTCCTCCCTGAAAGATTCCAGCAGAGCAAATGTTGACAAAAAAAAAAAAAAATCAAAGTTCATTTTTTATTTCAGGACCATGTCCATTATACTCAGCGTGTGTGTGATGGTGAAAAGTGGTATGTTGGAGAGAGGAAAAAAAACATCCTGGAGTCACTCAACAATCTGGGAATCGAGTGTGCTGAAGTAAGAAAGAACACAATCAAACATCATAGCAGATAACTTTTTTGTTTCTTTTAAGTTACATCTTATAATAAACTTGAGATGGATTGTTAGGCTCCAGATTGGATGCACTGGTATCAAGACAAATTAAAGCAACAATTTTCTTCTTTGTAACTCAATTTAATGATCGTTTGATGATTATTCCCATCAGGACTCTGTTCCTCACATCGCTCTGCTGGGTTCAGGTGGAGGTACGAGAGCAGCTGTGAGTCTGATAGGTTCCCTCTATCAGTTGGAAAAAGATGGTCTGCTGAACTCTGTGCTCTACCTGGGAGGAGTTTCTGGATCAACATGGTAAACACGGTCACTCACACAATATAATAATAATAATAATAATTTTATTTATATAGCACCTTTAAAAACAGAAGTTTACAAAGTGCTTAGACAACAGTTGTAAGCACAGAGCATCAGCACATTGAAAATAAAAACACATAAAAACAAAAGCTCAGTTAAAAAACAGGCATCTGAATTGTAGGCCTGTTTCACTTTTCGTAAGAAACCCAGGCAATACAAGAACCCTACAAAATAAATGGGACCATGAGGACCAAAATAAAAGCAAAAAAAAAGAAATAGAAAAGGAGGGAAGAAAACAGGCTAGTAAGTATAAAAGAGGATATTAATAATAATAATAAAATCATAATAAAATAAAATGATGGTAATATAAATGATAAAGTGGAATTAAATATATATATATAAAATAAAGGAAAATGAAAACATTAAAATCAATAAAAAGATTATAAGTAAAACAAAGGCTAAAAAGGCAGTAAGTCTAAATAAGAAAGAGGTGAAAGAGGTAAAAGAAAAAGGAGAAAAATAAAAACGGTAAAAGGCAATAAAAGATGAAAGATGGCATCACATAAAGGCAAGTCTGTAAAAGTGAGTTTTTAAAATTGACTTAAAAGAAGCGACTGTCTCTGCACGCCTTATCTCCTCTGGCAGGTCGTTCCAAAGTCGAGGAGCTCTGATGGAGAAAGCTCTATCACCTTTAGTCTTGAGCCTCGACTTTGGAACGACCAGGAGGCCTTCGCCAGAGGATCTGAGGCTGCGAGTTGGCTCATAAGATATTAAAAGCTCTGAAATGTAGCTTGGAGCAAGTCCTTTGAGCGCTTTAAAAGTAATCAATAAAATCTTAAAATCAATTCTAAAGCTGACAGGAAGCCAGTGAAGGGAGGCTAAAATTGGGGTGATGTGATGCCGTCGACTAAAACCAGTTAAAAGTCTAGCTGCTGCATTCTGAACTAGTTGGAGGCGAGAGAGTGATTTCTTGTTTAGACCAGGGAGGAGAGAGTTACAATAGTCCAGTCTTGAGAAAATGAAGGCGTGGATTATCTTTTCGAGATCTGGTGGGGTGAGTATTTGTTTAATCTTTGAAATGGAGCGCAGGTGAAGGAAACAGGACTGGGCAATCTTGTTGATATGGGTGGAGAAGGTGAGGTCTGAATCAAAGGTTACTCCCAGATTTCTGGCTGTTGGTTTGATGATTACTGAGTGTGGACCGAGACAAGACTGAATGAGGGGGGAGTTTTGTATGTTACAGAGAATTATTTCAGATTTTGAATAATTTAGCTGAAGGAAATTTTGTGCCATCCAACAGTTAATGTCACTTAGACAGTCCATGACAGCAGCTAGGCCTCTTGGGTCCTCAGGTCTCAAAGGAAGGTATATCTGTGTGTCGTCTGCATAGCAGTGAAAGGAGACTTTGTGGCGCTGAATTAATTGGCCAAGGGGCAGCATGTACATAGAAAATAAAATTGGACCTAAAACTGAACCTTGCGGAACACCACAGGCGATAGCAGAAGTATACAACAGTCATATGGTAGGAAACAGTGTAAAAACAATACTCAGGACGTTACATCTACGGGGCTATATTTTAGTAAGTGAGATGGAAAATACCTATGAGATGGCACTGAGAGCACAACAGTACTCTCACACATATTACAGCAGTCTGGATGGCCCATTCAAAATGACCTCCTCTACTTCTTAGCTGTGTTCATGTTGACTGTTAACCGCGATGCATCCCATCATAGTTTTACATGGCACACAAAACCAAGTGGAAGGCATTGATCGGGGAACTGTTGAGCATAAGGGCAAATGATGTGGGTGGCTTGAGCTAGTTTGAACTAATAATTGTTTAGAACCTGTTCTCAGTTTCCATCCTTGGTGACAGTAGTATGCCCTGCAGTGAAACAAAAACAGAGAGAAAGGGAGATGTCTGCCGTTCATGTTTAGGTGAAAAAAACAAACAAAAACTGGTTGGTTCAGATGTAACTGCAAGTACTTCATTACAGGCTGTCTTTATTTCTCCCCTTTCAGGTCCATGATCTTTCTGTACCAAGATGTAAAGTGGAGTCTGAACATGGAAGAAAACAAATCCAAGATGATGGACTCGAACATCCACTGGACTGAGAAAATGCACTGGCTCAGAAAGAGAGTGGATGATGACGACTTCTCCCTGACTGACCTCTGGGGGTTATTGACCTGCTCCAGAGTCATGAAACAGGTCCCAGGAGAAATACATACACTTTTACTGACTATGACCAATTTTAATCCAACAATTTTGAAAAGTTTATGTGCCCTTCAAAAGATGTTTATTGTTTAATTAGCTGGACCAGCGGCATCTTTCTAAAGAAGCCTGGAGAGAAGCCACCAACCCCTATCCCATCTACTGCGCCATTGAGAAACACTTCTTTAGAGATGGACCACCAGAAGGTACAGATGCACCTTTAACATGTCATATAAAAACATGCAGTAACTCTGAGGTATGGTGTTGATCGTCAAAGAGCTTCTCTGTCTCTCAGGGAAATGGTTTGAGATAACTCCTCATGAGGCCGGTTTCACAGAGCTGGGTCTCTTTGTTAAAACTTCTCATCTGGGCAGCAAGTTTGAGAGTGGGGAGGTGGTGGAGAAAACATCTGAGATGGACATGATCCATCTTCAAGGTCTGTAAGAATAACTTGAGAACTGCAAGAGCGGTGTTGTGCAGGTTCATTATAAGAATGAGCTTTTTGTTTGTGATTAATAATTGACTTTAAATACTTGCATTCAGATTATTCAAGGACAAACTTAAAAATACACGTACAGCTCTGATTCTTTGAAAGAATATTTAGCATGAATGTTCACAGATTATCATCTTCGAAATGTGCAGGTATCCTGGGCTCTGCATTGGCAAGTGAACGAAAGATCAGAGAGTTCATCTTTGACAAGGGTAAATCACAAAAATTACAACATGCATATCCATATTACAGCACCATCTGCACATTTTTACAGAAGTTGCAGGATATTTTTCTGTATTTTAAGGAGAAAGGAGACATTCATTCATAGCTTTTGTGTTTCAGTGAAAAAAGCTGTGGAAGCGGCACAGGAATATTGCATCCGTGTAAACGACGCCATCTGTGGTTACTTCAATACAACCAGAAACTTCTTCAAAAGGTTGATTGGTGCGGACGATGGAGTCCGTGGTAATGAACAATCTCCTGTAAAACTGACCTCTCTGCAGCTTTATTCACTTCATCAACTCTCTAGAAACTGCAAAGTCAGTGAAAGACTGCAGCTTCTCAATTTCAGACAAACATTATCAGCTGTTTCTTTTTTCTTATAAAGCAGCAGCTTAAATATCTTATTTAAAATGCCATACTGTCCTCATCTTATCCATCTTATTTCCTCTAGTTATTCATATGGAGTGCCATTCATTGAGTTTGGATGAAGATGAATCCCAGACGGAGGATCTGTGGGAGGGATATGTGAAAAAATTCTGTCAGTTACAGGCTGATCAAACAAAGACATAAAGATTGATTTGATCTACATGAATGTAAACACATCTGTGCATTTCTGATTCCTTGCAGTCGTTTTTATAAAGAAGATCCTTTTTCTGATTATGTACTGGGAGTGGGGAACCACCAACAACTTCCTCTACAAATACCAGCGTAAGGAGACAGACCCTCCAGAGTAACTCACTGTAGATTTTTCTGAGTAAAGTATTAACACCAACCGCCGACACATGGTGTTGAGACATGATGTAAAATTATTAAAGAGGCTTTGAAGAAAATGATCAGGTAAATAAATGTTTTTTTGAATTTAAATGTTATGATGTTGTGTTGCCAGACCCCAACATGCCCGACGAACTAACCTCTATGGAGGATATCCACCTGATGGATGCAGGGCTGATGATGAACCTCCCCTATCCCTCATTTTGGGGAGAGAAGAGAGACATCGACCTCATCATCTCTCTGGAGTACAGCGCAGGGGACATGTTTGTGGTACTGAGAGTGTGCATGTGTTATCAGCAGAGTTAAACAAAGATTAAGAAATAATATTCAATTTAAATGAATGCGATTGTAGGTTATGTTAGAACCCACAGGATGGGGTCAAAAAGAGGCTGGGAAGCATTGTAAAGGCAAGTGAAGTATTGTAAACCAAGACCAAGTACTTGACTTAACAGTTCAGGGGTCATACACGGCAAGACAGTCAGCAAAGGCAGAAAAATCCAAAAGGGCAAATCCACAAAATCCAAATCAACTGATGATGTGTACCCTTATTTGATATCACTCATTATTTGATATAACTCATGATTTAAAATTAAACATTACTTTCTTGAATAAAAAGAAGTTTAAAAGGTAGTTTAATTTGTTCATATACTTTACATCTTGAAAAGTTGTCATCCCTTTCCAACAGGGGTACTGCAGGCACTGCAGTGCCCACTTACTTCCCACAGCTGTGCCAGCACTCGTACTGACAGTTTAGATCTCATCTTAAAATCCTTGCACCTGTACTGTCTCACATTAATGCATTAATACAAACATGTTTTATTCCTGAAAATGAAAGAATCTGCTTGCCTTACAAACATTTCATGACATAGAAAAAAGCATTTTTCATTAAGCGATGCCTCATGAAGATGAAATTATTGCTCTGACTTTGCTGCAGAGTGAGTAAACTATGAAACAACCTGCACACTCTGCTCTCTGCACAGACTCTGATTAAGGCCAAAGAGCACGCAGAGGAGCTGAAGAAGCCTTTTCCAGAGATAGATGAGAATGTCCTGGAGGAGGAGAAAGAATGGCCCAAGGACTTCTATGTGTTTGAGGGGACAGAGAAGGTGCCCACCATCGTTTACATGCCACTGTTCAACAGAAACAACTGCAAAGGTCTGCTGCAAACCATGAAACTCTCTTAAAAAGAATTTTTCTTTATCAAAATCTTTCTGATCATGAACATCTTTCTATTCTGGTCCAGATGTAGACGAGTTCAAGACCAAGATGGATAAGTTTGACACCTTCAGGCGTCCCTTCAGCCCGGAGGAAATCAAGGATTTACTGGGGCTGGCAGAAGAAAACATGAAGAGAAACAAAGAGAACATCATGGAGGAGATCAAAAAGGCCGTGACACGCAGAGAAAAGAAGCAGAAATGAGTCTGATTGTTTTTACATGAAAAGATGAAAAAGTATCTGAACGGATATCCAACATGACCACTCCTCTTTCTGCTTTCTATTTCTCCAAATGAAAATCAGTGCTTTAACAAATTTCAGATTCTTGTTTTTTTCGTTTGATTTGATCTAGAAAGTGCCTTCTCTTCCTGGAGTCCAATCTTTTCTCCAGACGAGCGTAATTTTTCAGAATAGATTATAATGATGATGATGATTTTGAGGTTGACCAGGGATTGAAATGATGATTGTTGTTGCTGCTGTTGCTTTGGTAATTATTCCATAAATGAAAAGGTCTATTTACTGGTGGTGTTGCCTTCTGTAGAACTGTCTTGTGTTGTATTTACTCTCAGATAATCAATGCTTTGGACAAAAATGTATGCTAAATGAAATAGTTATATGCTAGGTAAACGGCCATATAATGTGATCATGTCTGCTGTATTAATGCTTTACACTGGGGCATGTGTTTGAAATAAAGATGCATTAAATGTGTTTTTCTTGGTAAAACAGGAGTTTCTGTCTCTTTATGTCTGGACAAATGTGATTCAGACATCTTTTAGTACACTCTTTAAACTTAATGCAGCAGCAGTAGTCCAACCTTAAGACTGCTTGCAGATTTCTTTTATGTGTACTAACTGAGAAATGATGATATATTTTAACTGTAAACCTGTAAGTGGGTTCTGGAAAGGTGTAGGGCACAAGTGCAAGATGCACTGCCAAATTGGCACAGTTCATTTATGTGGAGCTGGTAAGAATGATTCATGGAAAAATGTGAAACAAGCCTTGCTTGAATTGTGTGCCTGAACAGGATCAAAGATGCTGCCCCTTTGTTTGGTGGTTTTGAGGTTTTTGAGTATTAGGGCCAAATTTGAAAAAAAAAGAAGACATTTTAAAAGATTTTAAGAAGAAAAAGTTGTTATATTACAAGATAAAAGTCATACAATTATAAGAATAAGCTTTTAGAAAATTCTGAATCAAAACCTGATTGTACAAGGCACTGGACACAGAAGCAGAAGATTCGAGACAAGATTAGACCTCCTGACTTTGTGTACCTTAAAGGAATATTCCGGCATTGAATGTTGCCAACCGCTTGCTTCTCTTGTTATACCAACATTAGTAATGACCGCACAATAGCAATACACAGCGGTCTGAGGAGCCATATACAAACCTCAACCAAAACGCCACTCTATAGCCACAAATAATGCTCAGAACAGCTCCTAACTGCATCAACAGGACATATAGGGTCACAGCCACAGCACTAGCCACCAAACACCTTTTTTACTTTACCTAATTTCTTTAGCAAAGAGACTAAACACAACTCACCTACTCTCTTCCAGCGGCCACTTGTTTGTAGCGAGACCTCGGGCCAATCCATTACAGACTGCGGCAGGATGACGCACCTCAAGGAAGAACATTTATGATCATTTCCTGATGGAAATGCAATCAGACCGAGACGCTAAGGCAGAAGAACTACCGTGTCTGCAGTGCAAAATAATTAATATTATTATTATTACTTCAAGGAAATGAGCGTCATCACAGCGACTCTTGGTGACTCTCCCGCCGAATGCGTACATTGCTGCTGCGCAAGTGGTGGAGTGGGTACAATGCTACTGCGCAATGTTGGTTTCAGGAAATAGAGAAAACGTGGAATTACTGAGAGTTTTTCGGCTTCAAATCTGTATAGTGGCGGAAGGCGGAACCACGTTGCCCATGGTATATACAGCCTATGGTTGGACCCTAAATTAATTTTACGCCAGAATATCCCTTTAAGACTTTCTCTCTGTACCTGATTTGAATTTGGCATCTATTAAAAAACACAACTCACAAGTCTTCCCATGCAAAAGTGTTTAGGCATGCATGTGTCTGTCTTGGCAGCATCAATGAATACCTCAGGAAGGAGAGTTACGAAAGAGTGAAGATGAAAGGAAAAAGCTCACCCAGGGCTTCTACTTCTTCCACCAGGAAACTTTCTTTATGGGTAAAAACATTAGGTTTTAAACTTTAAAAAACTTTATCTCAACTCTATGGGAAAACTTTTTTTTTTGGCACCAGTCTTACCATGTCAGATTGTTAGGCATTCATGTATTTGCCCAGGCAGCACCACTAAATTTCTCTGGAAGGAGAGTTATAAAACAGTGGAGACGTGTCAGGACAAAGAAGTAGGTTAGGGCAGAACGGTCAGTGTGATTTGCATATAACCTTAATTACACTTGTAAGCAAATATATCTCCACACCCAAGTCTGCTGACTAGAAATGCAGGTTTTAGTTGCAGTGACATCTGTATAAATTGTGATCTCTGCAGCTTGGGTGTTAGACAGCAACATGGAGGGAGATGAGGCTGCATCTGAGGTGAGTAAGGCATAATTAAGGTTCTTTTTAACTTCTGTAACAAATCGTGTTTCGAGTAATGTAAAGACTGCTGCCATAACAGCAAAAAAAAAGAAAAAAAGAAAAAAATGCAGCAAATATTCTAAGTCAATTATTTGATTTCTGACTCTTGAACCACCGATCTGCAGTTAATAATAACAGAATTTATCATTTCTCTTACAAAGTTACATGACATTCAAGTCCTAGACAAGACTCAAATCTATGTGAACCCTGAAAACTATGTAACTCAAGAAGCCGTCTCTATTGACGCTGTGTTTCACACACTTCTCACTCTACTGGACCAGGAGGTGGCACAGGCATCCTGATTTCCAAGAACTTTAGCAAGCTCTGGGTGTAGCTAATTCCCAGATACTCCCCAGTGAATCTGGGAATCTGGATGTCATGACTGATTACTTTCGAGACACTTTGCCCAGGCATCTGTTATTATTTCAAGACTTGGTGCACCTATAAGGCTCACGCTGTTTTGCGGACACCATCTCGACAGCCAGCAGTTGAATGATCAGATGCGGCTATACACCTCATCACTTTTCTGATCAGGCAATGGACCAGAGAAAACTATGGAGCCCAACATAATTATGGCATATTCACACAATGATTCCACATTTCATTTAGTGACTAACGTCGCCAGGAGTAATTAACGTCATGTCATTAACGACATGTATTATGGTCTTTTTTACATTTACGATGAGTCTTTCCCAGCAGTTTCAAATTAGCTTCTATGTTGCCCGCTCTGGCCTTCTGGAGACACTTAACTATGGCTGTGGACTTCGCTAACTTCACATTTCGGATGACAGTGTCTCCAATAACTCGAGCATCAAACTTCGTCTCAGCAGGTGTGTTGCCAAGAAGGGCAAATTATTTTGACATGTGAACACACTGGTCCTTTGTGGGCTTCCTCAGCTGGCTGCTATGCTTCCCTTGCACAGTAACCCAACTACTACTACATACCAGCTGCTCCGGATCTGCAGGGGGGGATTCCAAGTCCCCTTGTACTTTTGAGACACTTTGCCCAGGTCTGTGATAAAAATTCAGGACTTGGTGCACCCCATGATGATAAAGACAATGTTGACAGGGTTATTGTGACTGTATATGATTGGTGATTCACTCAAGTTGATGGAATGATGATGAAAATATATTACTTTGAAAAATGTGCATACCCCTGAACACCGCATGGCAACACTTTGCCTATTTGCACCTTTGCAATGCATGATGATGTTGATTTTTTAAATTGTGGTCTATGAGTCAAACATCAGAAAGCAGGGGGTAGCTTAGGGGAGGGCTACCTGTGATGTTTAATTTACCACCGCATGGTGACATGAGTAACAATCCACCTCCCTGTCAAAACATGATCCCCTCTGCTTTAAATATTCTAAGAAAATTTTGGCAAAAATGTTAAACTGTTGTTGTTTGTCCCAGGTACCTGTTTATTATGTTCAGCATGGGTGTGCTGATGACGATTTTCGTACTTTCAACCACCTGCTAGCTGTCCAGGGGTTAAAATCCAGGTATCGAGATCAAGTAAGTAGGAAAAGAGAATCATCAAACCTCATGGTAGATTATTCTTTCTGTTTCGTTTGATTTTCAGTCACTTATTTTTGTAAAGATAGAAAGATAGATACTTGATTTATAACAAAGGAAATTCAGTTGCACAATCAATCATCAAACTTCATCAAATCAATTTATAAAATAGCGCATAGTGTGAAAAAAAACAATCAAAATGAAGAATTTAAGTAATTGGTAATAAATAGCAAATGATAAAACAGAGATTGACAATAAATAGCTGATGATAGTGGGGTAGAAGGTAAAAACATAGTGCAAAGTGCAGAGTGAATACATGTGCAGAAAATCCCACTCGCCCCTCATCCCTCCCCTCCCCAGTGTAACAGCCAAATGGATCTTTTCGCCCTTTTCTTCCTGTTAAGTACAGATTTTACTTCCCTGGTCATCCAGGGTTTGCTGTTTATAAAACATTGTCCTGTTTTAACAGGAACTACTGCATCCAAACAAAGGTTTACATAGTCTGTGATGCAGTGAGTGAAGCCCTCAATCTCCTCCCCAAAAGAATCCAGCAGAGTAAATGTTGACCAAAAAAATCTTTTTTTGTTTCAGAGGGCTGTCCATTATACTCACGGTTTATGTGATGGTGAAAAGTGGTATGTTGGAGAGAGGAAAAAAATCATCCTGGAGTCACTCAACAATCTGGGAATCGAGTGTGCTGAAGTAAGAAAGAACACAATCAAACATCATAGCAGATAATCTTTTTTGTTGCTTTTAAGTTACATCTTATAATAAACTTGAGATGGATTGTTAGGCTCCAGATTGGATGCACTGGTATCAAGACAAATTAAAGCAACAATTTTCTTCTTTGTAACTAAAGTTAATGATCGTTTGATGATTATTCCCATCAGGACTCTGTTCCTCACATCGCTCTGCTGGGTTCAGGTGGAGGTACGAGAGCAGCTGTGAGTCTGATGGGTTCCCTCTATCAGTTGGAAAAAGATGGTCTGCTGAACTCTGTGCTCTACCTGGGAGGAGTTTCTGGATCAACATGGTAAACACAGTCACTCACACAACAGTCATACGGTAGGAAACAGTGTAAAAACAATACTCAGGAGGTTACAGCTACATCTTTTTCTATAGTTTTGTAAGTGAGATGGAAAATATAATATATGAGATGGCACTGAGAGCACAACAGTACTCTCACACATATTACAGCAGTCTGGATGGCCCAGTCAAAATTACCTCCTCTACTTCTTAGCTGTGTTCATGTTGACTGTTAACCGCGATGCATCATATTATAGTTTTACATGGCAAACAAAACCAGAGGAAGGCATTGATCGGGGAACTGTTGAGCATAAGGGCAAATGATGTGGGTAGCCTGAACTAGTTTGAAATAATAATTGTTTAGAACCTGTTCTCAGTTTCTATCCTTGGTGACAGTAGTATGCCCTGCAGTGAAACAAAAACAGAGAGAAAGGGAGATGTCTGCCGTTCATTTTTAGGTAAAAAAAACAAACAAAAAAAAACTGGTTGGTTCAGATGTAACTGCAAGTACTTCATGACAGGCTGTCTTTATTTCTCCCCTTTCAGGTCCATGTCCTATCTGTACCAAGATGAAAAGTGGAGTGTGAAGATGGAAGAAGCCAAATCCAAGCTGATGGACTCAGACATCTGCTTGACTGAGAAAATGCACTGGCTCAGAAAGAGAGTGAAGGATGAGGACTTCTCCCTGACTGATCTCTGGGGGTTATTGACTTGCTCCAGATTCATGAAACAGGTCCCAGGAGAAATACATACACTTTTACTGACTATGACCAATTTTAATCCAACAATTTTGAAAAGTTTATGTGCCCTTCAAAAGATGTTTGTTTAATTAGATGGACCAGCGGCATCTTTCTAAAGAAGCCTGGAGAGAAGCCACCAACCCCTATCCCATCTACTGCGCCATTGAGAAACACTTCTTTAGAGATGGACCACCAGAAGGTACACATGCACCTTGAACATGTCATATAAAAACCTGCAGTGACTCTGAGGTATGGTGTAGAGAGTCAAAGAGCTTCTCTGTTTTTCAGGGAAGTGGTTTGAGATAACTCCTCATGAGGCCGGTTTCACAGAGCTGGGTCTCTTTGTTAAAACTTCTCATCTGGGCAGCAAGTTTGAGAGTGGGGAGGTGGTGGAGAAAACATCTGAGATGGACATGATCCATCTACAAGGTCTGTAAGAATAACTTTAGAATAGCTAACAGAAAAGAATAGCTTTTTGTTTGTGATTAATAATTGACTTAAAATACTTGCATTCAGAATATTCAAGGAAAAACTTAAAAATACACGTACTGCTCTGATTCTTTGGAAGAATATTTAGCATGAATGTTCACAGATTATCATCTTCGAAATGTGCAGGTATCCTGGGCTCTGCGTTGGCAAGTGAAAGAAAGATCAAAGAGACCATCTTTGACTATGGTAAATCACAATAATTACAACATGCATATCCATATTACAGCACCGTCTGCACATTTTTACAGAAGTTGCAGGATTTTTTTCTGTATTTTAAGGAGAAAGGAGACATTCATTCATAGTTTTTGTGTTTCAGTGAAAAAAGCTGTGGATAAGGCACAGAAATTTTGCATCGGTGTAAACAACGCCATCTATGGTTACTTCAATGCAACCAGAACCTTCTTCAAAAGGTTGATTGGTGCGGACGATGGAGTCCCTGGTAATGAACAATCTCCTGTAAAACTGACCTCTCTGCAGCTTTATTCACTTCATCAACTCTCTAGAAACTGCAAAGTCAGTGAAAGACTGCAGCTTCTCAATTTTAGACAAACATTATCAGCTGTTTCTTTTTTCTTATAAAGCAGCAGCTTAAATATCTTATTTAAAATGCCATACTGTCCTCATCTTATCCATCTTATTTCCTCTAGTTATTCATATGGAGTGCCATTCATTGAGTTTGGATGAAGATGAATCCCAGACGGAGGATCTGTGGGAGGGATATGTGAAAAAATTCTGTCAGTTACAGGCTGATCAAACAAAGACATAAAGATTGATTTGATCTACATGAATGTAAACACATCTGTGCATTTCTGATTCCTTGCAGTCGTTGGGATAAAGAAGATCCTTTTTCTGATTATGTACTGGGAGTGGGGAACCACCAACAACTTCCTCTACAAATACCAGCGTAAGGAGACAGACCCTCCAGAGTAACTCACTGTAGATTTCTCTAAGAAAAATATTAACACCAACCGCCGATACATGGTGTTGAGTCATGATATAAAATTATTAAAGAGGCTTTGAAGGATAATAAAAAAAAAATCATGATCAGGGAAATAAAAGTTTTGTTGAATTAAAATGTTCTGATGTTGTGTTGCCAGACTCCAACATGCCCGACGAACTAACCTCTATGGAGGATATCAACCTGATGGATGCAGGGATCCTGATGAACCTCCCCTATCCCTCATTTTGGGGAGAGAAGAGAGACATCGACCTCATCATCTCTCTGGAGTACAGCGCAGGGGACATGTTTGAGGTACTGAGAGTGTGCATGTGTAATCAGCAGAGTTAAACAAAGATTAAGAAATAATATTCTATTTAAATGAATGCGATTGGAGGTTATGTTAGAGCCAACAGTCTTGAGTCATAAGGAGGCTGGGCATTGTAAAGCATTGTAAAGACAAGTAAAGTATTGTAAACCAAGACCGAGTACTTGACTTAACAGTTCAGGGGTTATTCACGGCAAGACAGTCAGCAAAGGCAGAGAAATCCAAAAGGGCAAATCCACACTCGTACTGACAGTTCGGCTCTCACCTTAATATCCTTGCACCTGGACTGCCTCACATTTCTCAATTAATGCAAACATTTTACTCCTCCAGATGAAAGGATCTGCTTGCCTTACAAACATTTCATGACATAGAAAAAAGCATTTTTCATTAAGCGATGCCTCATGAAGATTAAATTATTGCTTTGATTTTGCTGCGGAGTGAGTAAACTGTGAAACAACCTGCACACTCTGCTCTCTGCACAGACCCTGATTGAGGCCAAAAAGCACGCAGAGGAGCTGAAGAAGCCTTTTCCAGAGATAGATGACAAAGTCCTGGAGGAGAAAGAATGGCCCAAGGACTTCTATGTGTTTGAGGGGACAGAGAAGGCGCCCACCATTGTTTACATGCCACTGTTCAACAGAAACAACAGCAAAGGTCTGCTGCAAACCATGAAACTCTCTTAAAAAGAATTTTTCTTTATCAAAATCTTTCTGATCATGAACATCTTTCTATTCTGGTCCAGATGCAGATGAGGTTGAAGCCAAGATGAATAAGTTCAAAACCTTCAGGCGTCCCTTCAGCCGGGAGGAAATCAAGGATTTACTGGGGCTGGCAGAAGAAAACATTAAGAGAAACAAAGAAAACATCATGGAGGAGATCAAAAAGGCCGTGACACGCAGAGAAAACAAGCAGAAATGAGTCTGATTGTTTTTGCATGAAAAGATGAAAAAGTATCTGAACAGATATCCAACATGACCACTCCTCTTTCTGCTTTGTATTTCTCTGAACAAAAATCAGCGCTTTAACAAATTTCGGATTCTTGTCTCTTTGGTTTGATTTGATCTAGAAAGAGCCTTTTTTCCTGAGGGTAAGTCTTTTCCTTAGATGAGTGTAATTTCTCAGAATAGATAATAATGAGGATGATAATTTGGTTATTATTGCATCAATGAAAAGGTCTATTTACTGATGGTGTTGCCTTTTGTAGACCTGGCATGTGTTGTACTTACTCTCAGATAATCAATGCTTTGGACAAACATGTATGCTAAATAAAATAGTTAAATCCTAGGTAAATGACCATTTAATGTGATCATGTTTGCTGAAATAATGTGTTACACTGGGGCATGTGCCTGTAATAAAGATGCATTAAATGTGTTTTTCTTGGTAAAACAGGAGTTTTAGTGGAGCAGACAAATGCATAATATAGCCCAAATCGTTCACTTTGTCATACAAGCATAAAATTTGGTACATATACTCTTCAAACCCCACTCTTTACAAAAATAGCGTTAGCCACGCAAAATTCCAAGATGGCGGCCCCAAAATCCAATATGTCCGCCCAAAAATGTGTTTTTTCCTTTATCACTCAAAATGCCTTGAAATTAAGCCCCACACATATATTGAAGTTGAATATATAGTTGGGTATTGCAGACATTTTGGTACCTAGTACATCTCTGTATCCATTACGGTTCTTGAGATAAGAATGGATACATTCTTATCTTGGTGTCCAAGATTGGCAGCATCTTGGTTATCGAATTTCATGTTATAACCCTAATCAAAATAACAGATAATAGAAATGATATTTTCATATAACCATATGCACGTGACAACAATCGGTGTTACAAATTTCTCACTCTGCCAATTCTGTACAAGTATCTATATGCTGTATCTCAAGAACCGTAATGAATACAGAGATGTACTAGGTACCAAAATTTCAACTTTATATTCAACTTCAATGTATGTATGGGGCTTAAAATCAAGGCATTTTGAGTTATAAAGGAAAAACCACATTATTGGGCGGACATCTTGGATTTTGGGGCCGCCATCTTGGAATTTTGTGTGGCTAACGTTATTTTTTTAAAAAGAGTGGGGTTTGAAGAGTATATGTACCAAATTTCATGCTTGTATAACAAAGTGAACAATTATTTCCTTATCTGCTCAGCTATTTCTGCCTCTTTGTGTCTGGACAAATACGAGTCAGATATCTAACAGTACGCTGTTTAAACTTAATGCTGTAGCAGTAGTTGTTGTGGAAAATCCAGCATAAACAATGCACAGCAGACATAGTCCAACCTCAAGACTGCTTGCAGATTGCTTTTATGTGCAGTAACTGAGAAATGATGACATATTTAAACTCAAAACCTGTAAGTGGATTCTGGAAATGGGTGGAGCACAAGTGGCAAAGGGGAGGTGCTGAGGGAGGGACAAAAGGTGTAGAAACTTGAACACATCGCCAGGTTGGCATAGTTCATACATGTGGAGGTGGTGAGAATGATTTATGGTAAAATGTCAAACCAGCCCGGATCAAAGATGCTGCCGACCTCCTTGTTTGGTGGTTTAAAAAAGTATTAGGGCCACATTTTAAAAGGGACTTTCTAAAAGGTTTTAAGAAAAAAAAGTCACTATGTTACAAGCTTAGAGACATAGTGTTACAAGAATAAGCTTATAGTAGAGCAATAATATTACAAAATTAGTTATGTAATGAGAATGAAGAAACAATGGTATAAAAATAAAATTGCTGTTAAAAAACACTAAGGAATGATAAAAAAATTTACAACTTTAATCCAATAAAGGAACACAATCACTTTATTCTTGTCATATAATAACTTTACTTTGTTCCTGTAATGTTCTGAAGTTATCACAACCTGATCCAATGAACTACCCATGATCAGAATTGGCCCTAAAAAACAGATATTGGTCGACCCCAGATGGTTATAGTAATGATAACTTTTTAAATTGGTTATATATTAAAAACAATTTTAATGATGAATTTGTGATCTCTTAGCTGGATTCGTCATCAAGAGACAATTGCCATGGGAAAAAAGATTAGGTGTCAAATTGTCTCTAAACTGTCATGAGTTAAAGAAAAATATAAACACAAAACGAAAACTACAACAAAATAACTTGATTGCACAGACAGTAAAGTAATGTAACAACATAATTGTACAAAACACTGGATACAGAAGCAGAAGAGTCGAGACAAGATTAGACCTCCTGGCTCTGTGTACCTTAAGACTTTATCTCTGTTTCTGGTTTGAATTTGGCATCTGTTTAATAATCTGTCTCACTTCTGTTCATGTAAAAACTTTTTGGCACAAGTCTTCCCACGCCAAAATGTTAGGCATGCGTGTGTCTGTCCTGGCAGCACCAATGAATTCCTCAGGAAGGAGAGTTACAAAACAGCAAAGCAGAACAAAAGAGTAAAAGGGCAGACCTGTCAATATAATACTTAAATAAAACATTTATAAAAATAAAACATCTTTGATCTTCAATCAAAGATGACTCCACACCCAAATGTGGTGACCAAGAATACAACATGGAGGGAGGGAAGGCTGCATCTGAGGTGAGTGAGGCATGATCAGGTTGTTCAGTGAGATGATATGCCAACTCTATCATCATATGGTTCTTTTTCATTTCTCTACCAGATCAAGTGTAAAGGAGGTAAGTAACAGCCCCCTGTCCTTACAGCCTTGGTAAAAAAACAAACAAAAAACAAAAAAATATTCACAGTCAATGGTGATATTCTAGATTGTGTACTGAGAGACTGTGCAGCTGAACTCACATTTGTCTTCATGGACATCTCCAGCTCCTCACTGAGTCAGGCTGTGTCACCTGATGATTCAAACCAACCACCATTATTAAGGATAATTAGGTCAGAAACAGAAGAGGCAAGATTAGATAAGACCTCCTTGCTCTGTGTACCTCGAGAGTCAGAGTCATAGTCATTTATTTGCCATTAGCAGAAAAAAAACACATTAGAAAGCATTTGCGAGGGGACACTAAAGACAAAGTAATTTACGTAGAAACGTTGAATAAGGTGAGTTAAAATTAAAGTTAAATATAGAAGGACACTGCAAGTAATAATAATAATAATTATTATAATAGATAATAATAATGATAAAGATAATAGTATTTAAAAACTTCTACTTGACCCTAAGTGCTCAGACACAACATGAAAATAAGTACACCCCTGTGGCTAGAGGTTATTTAGACTGTGCACAGCACAGGAAAAGATGCTATCTGAAAATCGGGAGGTAAAGCATTTGATTGAGCAGTACAGTCTACCGTAGGGGAGAAGAACAAAAAGGCTAGAGGCAGGGTGACTCGTGTGACTCACTATTTTTGAAGCCTAAGCCAGGAAACTTGAGTTAAAAAGTGTATCAAGTTTGGGCAGGTAAGTGCCAATAATTTTCTGAGCCAGATTGACAATTCTGGTCAGAGATTTTTGGTCCTGTACAGTGAGGTTACTAAACCAAACTGTGTACAAAGGAGTAAGAATACTTTCAATGATACACATAAAATAGTTGATTTAAATCTGGCAATTAGAGGAGAAATCTTTCATTTTACAAAGGAAGAAAAGTCATTGCATAGTAATAGTGAAACCAAGAAATTTGCAGCTACTCACCATCTCAACCTCAGTGTTGTTTATAATTAGAGGGAGTAGTTTTTCCAACAAAAGTCAATTATAATCTACTTCACTTAGTTTTGGAGGCATTTAAAATAAGACTGTTCTCATCATTATTACAATTTATTTTCCCGATGACAGTAGTGTCATCAGCGTACTTGACTTGTGATGGGCATAGCAGTTCTTTTAGATGTACTGAACCACTAAAATCAGTTCACCAAAAAGATTTGTTCAAAAGATTCGTTCACTGAATCATTAAGCGCTTGGTGGGAGGGGCCTGTGACTCCGACCTCCTGAACTGATACACAGCTAAACGGTTCAGGATTCAGTTTAGTTCATGGCTTCTGGGTCTGGGAGACGAGTGTTTGGCTGTGTTGCTTTGACAAACACATTTGAAAAAAATAACTTGTTTATAAATCATGATGTTATAAGTGCACTGTTCAATGGTATTTATCTACCCGGTAAATTGGGCTTCAGTGAGTGATTCGTTCACTGAACATTTCAAAGAATTCACACTGAACATGCACTGTTCCCTCGCAAAGCGCTGCAATGATAGGATGCTGCATGTTTTATGCACTACTCGTTTCATGCTATGTCCTATTGTATACAGGTTGTTCTGGTGGCAATTTAGCAGTCAAAAAAAAAAGTTCATTTTGTCCGACAGAAGTGATTACAGAGAGTGTAGTTCAATGCGTGATTCGTTTAACAAGTGATTCAGGTGTCGGGGCATGCGGTCCCTCATTCTCCGACTGCTCGCCCAGCAATGCTGCGTGCTATAGCAGCTGCATTGCTGACAGCTCAACTTAAGTGAGAAACGAAAGAATCACTTGTGGAAGTGATTCAGTTCAGTGCGCTCACTTAAAAGATTCAGTTCTTTTTAACGAATCGTTTACGAACGACACAACACTATACTTTACAATCAAGTTATTATTGTAAGAAGCAGTACAGTCAAATGTACAGAAATGGAAAAAACAGACGACTGAGGATACTTCTTTCGGGAGAGCCGGTGCTGACTTCGGACTTTATCTCTGTACCTGGTTTGAATTTGGCATCTGTTGAAAAAAAAAAAAACGGGTCACCTCTGATTATGTAAAATCATTTTTTGCACAAGTCTTCCCACGCCAAAATGTTGGGCATGTGTCCGTCCTGGCAGTACCAATGAATTCCTAAGATAGAAGAGTTATGAAACAGTAAGGGAGGTCACGGTACAAAGGAGTCAAAAGGCAAACCTGCATAAAACATTTTTTTGTCTTTTATCAAAGATGACTCCACACCCAAATGTGGTGACCAAGAATGCAACATGGAGGGAGGGAAGGCTGCATCTGAGATGAGTGAGGCATGATCAGGTTGTTCATTAGGATGATTTGCCAAATCTGTCTTCATATGGTTCTTTTTGACTCCTGTACCAAATCAAGTGTGAAGGAGGTAAGTAACAGCGCACTGTCTTTACAGCTTTGGTAAAAAAAAAAAAAACAGCAATAAATATTCACAGTCAATGATCACAACATACCAGATCGTGTACTGAGAGACTGTGCAGCTGAACTCACATATGTCTTCATGGACATCTCCAACACCTTACTGAAACAGGCTGTCCCCCACGTGCTTCAAAGCAACCACCATCATCCTGGTCCTGGAAAAGTTGTCTCCTACATCAATGACTACTGTCCAGTGGCTCTTACTCCCATCCTGATGAAGTCCTTTCTTCCCCTTCCATGAACCCCTACTAGTTTGCATATCGTTTCAACTGGTCAACTGCCATCTCCACTGCCCTCCACTCAGCACTCATACACCAAGACACAAAGTACTCTTAAGTCAAAATGCTTCTTTATAGACTTAAGCTCAGCATTCAACACCATCATCCCCCAACAGCTTATTTACAAACTGGTCTGGCAAGGGGCTCAACACCTTGCTGTGCAACTGGCTGCTGACCTTATGACACAAGCAGTTCGGGTTAGCCGCAGCACACCCAGCACCATCACCCTGAACATAAGGGTCCCCAAAGGATGTGTGTTGAGCCCCCTCATCTTCACCCAGCTGACTCATGACTGCACACCAAAGCACAGCTCTAACTTCTTCATCAGGTTTTTGGACGACACAGCTGTGTTGGGTCTCATCAGCAAAAGAAATAGGAACCTGCTCCTGTGGTCTATCTCTCTGAGAGTGCACTAACCCAATGACGTCTCCTGGACCACCTTGGCAGAAGTCTTACCATGTCAGATTGTTAGGAATTCATGTATTTGCCTGGTCAGCACCATTGAATTTCAGTCTCAGGGCAGAACAGACAGCATAATGTGCATCTAATCTTAGTTAGACTTTTAAGCAAAGATATCTCCACACCCAAGTCTGCTGACCAGAAATACAGGTTTCAGTCGGAGTGACATCTGTATAAATCTTGATCTCTAGAGCTCTGACATCAGAAAGCAACATGGAGAGAGAGGAGGCTGCATCTGAGGTGAGTAAGGCATAATTAAGGTTTATGATTAATTAGTACCATGGTGTGCAAACTATACTAAAATACATTTTTTTAAAATTTTCTATTTATTTTTTTTACTTCTGTAACAAATCGTGTTTCCAGTAATTCATAGCCCACTGCCATAACAATGAAAAAAAAATGCAGCGAATATTCAACGTCAATGATTTGATTTTTGGCTCTGGAACCACCGATCTGCAGTTTATAAAAACAGACTTTGTCATTTCTCTTACAAATTTACATGATATTCAATTCCTAGCCAAGACTCAAATCTGTGTGAACCCTGAAAACACTGAAACTCTACTGGACCTGGAAGTGGCACAGGCATCCTGATTTCCAAGAATTTCAGTAAGCTCTGGGTGTAGTCTGTCTTAACAATGTAAGACTTGGTGCGCCTATGAGATGCACATATGCTGTTTTGGTGGTTCACTCTACTTGATGGGATGATGATGAAAATATATTACTTTGAAAAAAGTGCATACTCCTAAACACCGCATGGCAACACTTAACCTATTTGCACCTTTGTAATGCATGATGATGCTCATTTTTTAAATTTTGTTCTACGTTTGAGTCAAAACTCGGAAAGCAGGGGTAGCTTAGGGGAGGGCTACCTGTGATGCGTAAGTTGCCACCGCATGGTGACATGAGTAACTATCCAGCTTCCTTTCAAAACATGATCACCTCTGTTTTAAAATATTCTAAGAAAATTTTAGCAAAAATGTTAAACTGTTGTGGTTTGTCCCATGACACTCAGCCTTTGTATGCTGGTGAAGAGGATTATGCTGACAACTGGCAACAAAATGTCTGGGACCCTTCTAGCAATATGAAGTTCGGGTATTCTGAAGTAAGTAGTAAAGAAAATGATCAAACTTCATGGTAGATCATTCTTTCTCTCTTGTTTGATTTTCAGTCACTTCTTTCATTTACCTGCCAGTTAGATGCAAGTTTGTATTATTGCCTTTTTTTTGCCACCACTTTCGAAAACAAATTCAACATACTGGCTCATCCATAGGCTCACTTGCTGCCCTCTGTGTGTGCATGCCAGTGGCCCCATGTCACCCACAGAGACAAAGAGACTGAATGACTGACAACAGGGTTCACACCATTCATTCCTTTATGGAGCAAATGTGCCCAAATGCTGAGGCCAATGCGCAAAGTGAACCCTCTTGTCAACCATCCTGCTTTGAGGCAAGAGACAGGAAAACAAACACTAATGCACATGGAAGTATATTGGGGCCAGTAAAATTATTGAGTTTATTTTTATTTATTGCACATTGATTTATTTATTGATTACCAGCCCAGGTGTAACTTAGATTAAGTTCTTCTCCTCTGTAGAACCCAGTGTTAGATAGACTGAAACAAATGACCTGAACAGTCAATCAATCACTTGACCCTAAACACTGCATGGCAACACTTACTTGCACCTTTGTAATGCATGATAATGTTTATTTTTTAAATTTTGTTCTACGTTTGAGTCAAAACTCGGAAAGCAGGGGGTAGCTTAGGGGAGGGCTACCTGTGATGCGTAAGTTATCACCGCACTATTCAGCTTCCTGTCAAAACATGATCACCTCTGTTTTGAAATATTCCAAGAAAATTTTAGCAAAAATGTTAAACTGTTGTGGTTTGTCCCAGGAATCTCTCTGTGATACTCCGCCTCCGTGTCCTATAAAAGAGGATTATGCTGACCACTGGCAACAAAATGTCTGGGACCCTTCTAGCAATATGGAGTTCAGGTATTCTGAAGTAAGTATTAAAGAAAATTATCAAACTTCATGGTAGATCATTCTTTCTCTCTTGTTTGATTTTCAGTCCCTTCTTTTTGTAAACGTAGAAAGATACTTTATCTATCATGAAGGAAATTCAGTTGCACAATTTATCATCAAACTTCAACAACAAATCAATTCATAAAATAGTGCATAATGTTAAGAAAAACAATTAAAATGAAGAATTCAAGCAATTGGTAATAGAAGTAAATGATAAAAAATAGTGAGTCAACCTGTCAAACCTGTTTAAGATGTTAAATTCATTTGCTCTCTCTGCTCCCCTCTACAGCAACCTGCCTGACTTGCAACCAGTGATTGTCCTTATCCCCTTCCAAACTTCCCACATTTTGTTGGCCTGTAGTTTTCCTTTTAGCTTCTGCCTGTAGGAATCATTGGCCTCCTTTATGCAGTCTTCAAGCTCCCTCTATCCTCTTTTCATCTCTTCTCTTCATCTTTTCTTTAACACACCTTTCTTCCGGTTAAGCACAGATTTTACTTCCCTGGTCACCCAGGGTTTGTTGTTCATAAAACATTTTCCTGTTTTGACAGGAACTACTGCATCCAAACAAAGGTTTACATAGCCTGTGATGCAGTAAGTGAAGCCCTCATTGTCCTCCCTGAAAGAGTCTAGCCAGTCCAGGATCTCTTTGTTCTCATTTTTCCACTTCCTGATAGAGCAATGGGCTATCTTTTAACCAGAGGTGTCTACAGGGGTATCAGGTTAATCAAGGTGTGGTCAGATGGTCAGGTGCAGGTCTACACCCCCTACCAAAGTCACAAACCAGATCCGTCTCCTCTGTGTTCCCAAGTGGTAGAATAACTGAAACAAATGTTCTAGAAAAAAATAAAAATAAAATGAAAAAAATATCAAAGCTCTTTTTTTTGTTTCAGGACCCTGCCTGTGATCCTTTTGTTTGTGCTGGTGAAGAGAGGTATGTTCGAGAGAGGAAAAAAATCGTCCTGGAGTCACTCAACATTCTGGGAATCGAGTGTGCTGAAGTAAGTAAAAAAGAAAACGATGAAGCATCATAGCACATTATTATTTTGTTTCTTTTAATTTTAAGTTACTTCTTTTAGTAAAAAACAGTCTTTTTTAAAAGTCTTTTATCACATCTTTTGATAAATTTAAGATGGATTGTTAGGCACCAGATTATTTGTGTTACCATATGCCCTGGTATCAAGACAAATGAAGGCAACAATTTTCTTATTTGTTACTAAAGTTAATGATCGTTTGATGATTGCTCCCATCAGAACTCTGTTCCTAACATCGCTGTGCTGGGTTCAGGTGGAGGTACAAGAGCAGCTGTGAGTCTCATAGGTTCCCTCTATCAGATGGAAAAAGACAGTCTGCTGAACTCTGTGCTCTACCTGGGAGGAGTATCTGGGTCAACATGGTAAACACGGTCACTCACACAACCGTCATACAGTAGGAAACAGTGTAAAAGCAATACTCAGGACATTCCATCTTAACCATGACTGCTGGCAGTAAGCTAACAGTGATTTATTTATTGAGTACAAAAAGAGGTAGTGCTTCTTTTACTCTATCTAGCACAGTCAGCTAACAACTCTTGAAGGCTTTTCACAGGAACACTGCTGGCCTCACAGGGCTGTATGGAAAGTACTTATGAGATGGTACTGAAAGCACAACAACACTCTCACATATATTACAGCAGTCTGGATCCCGTGATGCATCCCATCATAGTTTTACATGGCACACAAAACCAAGTGGAAGGCATTGATTGGGGAACTGTTGATCATAAAGGCAAATGATGTGGGTGGCTTGAACTAGTTTGAACTAGTAATTGTTTAGAACCTGTTCTCAGTTTCCATCCTTTGTGACAGTAGCATGCCCTGCGGTGAAACAAAAACAGAGCGCAAGGGAGCTGTCTGCCGTTCATTTCTTGGTCAAAGTAAATGTGGTTGGTTCAGATGTAACTGCAAGTACTTCATGACAGTTTGTCCTTATTTCTCCTCTGTAAGGTCCATGGCCTATCTGTACGGTGACCTGGAATGGAGCATAAAGATGGAAGAAGCCAGATCCAGGCTGATGGACTCTGATGTGGACATGAAAGAGAAACTACACTGGCTCAGCAAGAGACTGAATGATAAGCACTTCTCCCTGACTGATCTCTGGGGGTTAATGACCTGCTCTAGATTCATGAAACAGGTCCCAGGAGAAATATGCACACTTTTGCTATAACCAATTTTAATGCAACAAATTTGAAAGATATATGTACCCTTCAAAAGATGTCTATTGTCTAATTAGATGGACCCGCGGCATCTTTCTGAAGAAGCCTGGAGAGATGCCACCAACCCCTATCCCATCTACTGCGCCATTGAGAAACACTTCTTTGACGATGGACCACCAGAAGGTACATATGCAACTTTAAAATGTCATAGAAAAACCTGCAGTGACTCTGAGGTAATGTGTTTACAGTCAAAGAGCTTCTCTGTCTTTCAGGGCAGTGGTTTGAGATAAGTCCTCATGAGGCCGGTTTCACAGAGCTGGGTCTCTTTGTTGAAACTTCTCTTCTGGGCAGCAAGTTTGAGAGTGGGAGGCTGGTGGAGAAGTTACCTGAGATGGACATGATCCATCTACAAGGTCTGTAAGAATAACTTAAGAACTACAAGAGCGGTGTTGTGCAGGTTCATTGTAAGAATGAGCTTCTTGTTTGTGATTAATAATAATGATTTTATTAATAATGATTAATTTACTTTTAATACTTGCATTTTGATTATTTAAGGAAAAACTTAAAAATACACGTACGTCTCTAATTCTTTGGCAGAATATTTAGCATGAATGTTCACAGATTATCATCTTCAAACTGTGCAGGTATCTTGGGCTCTGCGTTGGCAAGTGAAAGACAGATCAAAGAGCACATCCTTAACTGCGGTAAATCACAATAATTACAACATGCATATCCATATTACAGCAGTTGCAGGATTTTTTTCTGTATTTTAAGTAGAAAGGAGACAATCATTCACAGTTTTTGTGTTTCAGTGAAAAAAGCTGTGGATGTGGCACGAGAATATTGCATCCGCGTAAATGACGCCATCCATGGTTACATCATTACAGCCAGAAACTTCTTCAAAAGGTTGATTGCTGCGCTTCTCCCAAAAAAGAAGGAGATTGGTTACAGAGGTCCTCTCGCCTATGGTAATGAAATTATTTTGTTGACGCCCCTTTTTTTTAATAGTGTAACAAGCTAAACGTGGTTCATTGATGACTCAAACTTGTCGAGACATGCGTGAGTTTTCATTGACTGGATGAAAATTTTAATCAGTGGTCTGTCCAACATTCAAAATGCACGACATTTCTGCATATCGTGTGTTTGATCAGTCTGCCAAAAGCAGGAATATGTGGTCAGGGGAGGCAGGAGAGGCTGTGCCTCACCCGTCATCATGGAAAGAAAAAATGAAAACAAATTAAATGTCTTCTTTAAAATGCCATACTGTCCTCATTCATATTATCTTCCCTTAGGCCAAATCAAATACAGAGCCGGCTGTCCAGATCCTGGTAAGTATCAGGAGGAGGGAAATTTGGAAAGTTTCTGTCGGTTAACTCTAAGCAAACAGGATATATGCATGTGTGTCCAATTGTAAATAAAACAACGGCTAGGTTTTCATAATAAAAGCAACACACTTGTATAGCATATTCATGTTCTGATTGATGGACCTCACGAAGGGACGCCAGGGCCCTTTGGATGTTACAGACTAAGCTAGACTATAACCTTTTTGAGTTTTTGTCAGCTAAAACTGGACTAAAGCAATCACTTATGACGTGACTAATACTAATCAGAATTTTCATCTAAAAGACTAAGATTAAAACTACATCTAAAATCGCTGCCGAAAACGATTGGTAGTGAACAATTTCCTGTAAAACTGACCTTTCTGCAGCTTTTTTCACTTACTCCAGTCTCTCTAGAAACTAACAAAGTCAGTTAAGATTGCAGCTTCTCAATTTAAGACATGAACATTATCAGCTGCTTCTTTTCTAATAAAGCAGCTTACGTGTCTTATTTAAAATGCCTTTAATCTTGTCTCCTCTCAGGAATCTATACCGCTTACGGCTGTCCGCCTGATAGTAAGTATCAGGATAAGGGAAATTTGAACAATTTCTGTTAGTTAAGTCTAAACAAACAGGGTGTATGCATGTGCATCCAAATGTTAAATAAACAATGGCTAAGCTCTTTTAAAATAAAAGCAACACACTTGTATAGCATATTTATGTTCTTATTGATAGACCTCATGAAGGGCCTGCCAAAAACAATGATTGGTAATGAACAATCTTCTGTAAAAACGACCTCTCTGCAGCTTTATTTACTTACTCCAGTCTCTCTAAAAACTAACGAAGTCAGTTAAGATTGCAGCTTCTTAATTCAAGACATGGACATTGTCAGCTGCTTCTTTTCTAATAAAGCAGCAGCTTAAGTGTCTTATTTAAAATGCCATATTGTCCTCAATCATCTTGTCTCCTCCCAGGATCATTTAAAAGGTTTTCCGCCTGTCCGCCTCCCGGTAAGTATCAGGAGGAGGGAAACAGTTTCTGTCAGTTAAGTCTAAGCAAACAAGATGTATGCACATGCGTCCAAATGTTAAATAAATGGCTAGGTTCTTTCATAATAATAGCAACATACTTGTATAGCATATTCATGTTCTGATTGATGGACCTCACAAAGGGCCGAGCAGGGCCATTCAAAGGGCCGGATTTGGCCCTTTGGATGTTCCAGACTAAGCTAGACTATAACCTTGTTTTGTTAATTAAAACAGTCACTTATAGACATGACTAAGATGTGACTAATACTAATCAGAATTTTAATCCAAAAGACTACGACTAAAACTACATCTAAAATGGCTGCCAAAAACAAAACAATGATGGGTAATGAAAAATCTCCTGTAAAACGGACCTCTCTGCAGCTTTTTTCTCACTTACTTCAGTCTCTCTAGAAACTAACAATGTCAGCTAAGATTGCAGCCTCTCAATTTAAGACAAACATTGTCAGTTGCTTCTTTTCTAATAAAGCAGCAGCTTAAATGTCTCATATAAAATGCCATGCTGTCCTCATTTATCTTATCTTCTCTTAGAACCATGCATCACCATGGCCTGTCCCAACAATCCATGTCCTCCTGAGGATCAGGAGGAGGGGAAATTGAAACATTTCTGTCAGTTAAGTCTAAGCAAACAGGCTGATTAAACAAAGACAGAAAGATTAATCTGATGAATGATTAATCTAAATGAGTGTGAACACATCTGTGCATTTCTGATTCCTTGCAGTCGTTTTGATTAAGAAGACCCTTCATCTGGTTATGAACTGGGAGTGGGGAACCACCAACAACTTCCTGTACAAATACCACCGTAAGGAGACAGACCCTCCAGAGTTACTCACTGTAGATTTTTCTGAGTAAAATTTTATCCCCAACCCCCAACATAGGGTGTTGAGTCACATTGTAATAATAACTGGAGGTTTCTTGCTGAGTAAATGATGTTCAGAGTGAAACCATTTCTCTGACTAATAAATAGAAATGAAAGCCCTGCTGAGAGCTGATTTAAAGAGAAGTACAGAGGCCCGTACTCAGTGGCGGTTCTAGACCAAATTACTCCCCGGGCGAGCACCCCTCCAAGTGCCCCCCCCCCACACCACACACACACACACACACACACACACACACACACAAACACAAAAAGAGATAGAATTTTGAACAGATAGTTTTGTATTACTATGTAGTATTATTATTATTATAACAACAAAAATAATATATTTCTCAATTGCAGAAATCCTTCAATAGAAAAAAACACAATCCTGAGGGCCATTTTGAGAAGGGCCCCCAGATCCTGAGGTTTTCTGACGTGTTAAGGTTTACAAAAAAGCTGCTATCTCTGCCTCTGTAGTAGATAGAAACAAAATTCAAAAAGTATTTGAGAGCTTAAACATGTGGCTTTCAAGAAAGCTCTCTTTTGAATAAAAGTAAAGGCTCTGCACTGGAGAATGACAAATAATTTGCTTTCTGTAAAACAAGTGGCAGTCATGATAAAGTGTCCATTTAATACAAATGTAAATATAGAAAATAAGGTGTTGAAAGGGTATACAGCTGCCCCAGTATAGTGCCAGTACAAAAGCAGAACTAAAAACTTAAAAATGAATAAATAAATACGTGGCTGACAGAGTGTTCATCTCTGTTCTCACCCAAAGTCATGCAACACTCAGAGAAAACGCTGATAGTGTGAACCAAAGCACTCCATATGAAGAGGTTGTTCACACTGCTGGATGTTTCTCCTCTGAAGCTGCTCTCTGTCTCCGTCATTGTTTACTTTACTCATGAAGCTCATCAAGCACGTAGCAAGATCCGAGCATGAACCCGAGCGCTTTATTTGCCTATTAAAGGCAGACGGGTACGGTGATTTCGTTCACCGCGACTCCAGAAATGATTAAAAAACTACAAAATGACGTATCCGCGCTCCCGCTGATATGCTGACATGCGTACACAGAGCAGAGCTGTCCCCCCGCGACTTTCTCCCCGCCTCGTCTCACACAGTCAGTCAGCCTCTGTGCAGCACCTTCGGAGCAAGCAGGGGCGCCTACAGCAGCGGGGGGGGCGCCAATTTGACAACAAGAGTTAATACAAAACCGCTTTGCGGTTAAGATTTATTATTATTATATTTCATTTTATTTTTTTGGAAGTGCTCGTGCCGCCCCCCATGAGTCATGACACAAATGCCGCCCCGGGCGGCTGCCCTGTTCGCCCGTGCCTAGAACCGCTACTGCCCGTACTCACAGTGACCCTGAAGGACAACTGTGAAATATTTGATGACCTGCAAGCAAACATTTTAAATTCTGCTGTTAAACATTTAACAGCAACAAATGTACTGAATATGCTGCAAAGAAACACAAGTCACTGCCTATTTTCTGAGGTGCTACAAAAAATATGGAGGTCCTTGAATGTTAAAAATATTGAAAAAAAAATTTGTGCTGCAAAAAAAAAAAAAAAAAATCAGTAGCTGAATTTTGTATGTGCTGCACAAAACATTTCAGAAACCAGAAAGGGCAGAACCTGGACTGATATCTGGCAACATAGCAGGATTCTCTTGTGTGATCAGTTTTATAAATTTTTTTCTGAATATTGACCACAACAATGTGTTGATTACTTGTTGAAGACCTCAAACAATCCATCTCTTCAGCCAGATACTGCAATGCCAGATGGTCTTAATGTGTCGTACCTGTCTAAATGCAACAGGTAATCTTGGCCCATGGCACAGTACGTATGCAAAGTCCTCTGACGTGTCTGCAAGATTGCCCAGTGTGAGTTTAGTTTTTTTTAATACTCACATGACAGTGTCTCTCCTAATGTCATGATGAGTTAATACCAGCAAACCAATAATTACACTGTATACATGTCTATTGTTAACCAGCAGTGATTGAGCTACTGTACTTAAGGTGAACAAGAAAGCTTTTTGAAGCATGTTTAAAAAAATGTTGCTGTTAAAACGTTTTTCTGCATACTTTGAAATGTTTTCTTTGCAGTCATCAAATATTTCACAGGTGTCCTTCAAGGCCACTGAACTGATGTCTTGCTCAGTTTTATCCGATGTGATACAATAATGAAAATTCATGATCAGGTAAGTAAAAGTTTTGTTGAATTGAAATGTTCTTATGTTGTGTTGCCAGACTCCAGCATGCCCCAAAAACTAACTTCTATGGAGGAACTCCACCTGATGGATGCAGGGCTGCTGATGAACCTCCCCTTTCCCTCATTTTGGGGAGAGAAGAGAGACATCGACCTCATCATTGCTCTGGAGTACAGCGCAGGGGACATGTTTGATGTAATGAGAGTGTGCATGTGTTATCAGCAGTTATTTAGTTTAACAAAGATTCAGAATAATACTCTGTTTAAATGAATGTGATTGGAGGTCATGTCAGAGCCCACAGTATGGAGTCTGTGGGCTCTGAGGCTGGGCATTGTAAAGCATTGTAAAGGCAAGTGAAGTATTGTAAACCAAGACCAAGCTCTTGACTTAACAGTTCAGGGGTCATACATGGCAAGACAGTCAGCAAAGGCAGAAAAATCCAAATCCACTGATGATGTGTAGCCTTATTTCATATAACAAATTATTTGAAATTAAACATTACTTTTTTTAACAAAAAAAGTTTAAAAGGTAGTTTGATTTGTTCATTTATTTTACACCTGGAAAAGTTTTCATCCTTTGGTGCTGCAGCCACTGCAGTGCCCACTTACATCCCACAGTTGTTACAGCACTTGAACTGACAGTTCGGCTTTCACCTTAAAATCCTTGCACCTGGACTGCCTCGATTTCTGCATTAATGCAAACATTTTACTCCTCCAGGTTAAAGGATCTGCTTGTCTCACAAACATTTCCTGACACCAAGAAAGCACTTTTCATGAAGCTATGCATCATTTTATTGATAAGGTTCAGTTATTGCTCTGACTTTGCTACTGAGTGAGTAAACTATGAAACAACCTACACACTCTGCTCTCTGTACAGACTCTGATTCGGGCCAAAAAGTATGCAGAGGACCTGAACAAGCCTTTGCCAGAGATGAACGTGGAAGTCCTGGAGGACAAAGAGTGGCCAAATGACTTCTATGTGTTTGAGGGGAAAGAGAAGGCGCCCACCATCGTTTACCTGCCACTCTTCAACAACAAAAACTGCAAAGGTCTGCTGCAAACCATGAAACTCTTTTATAAAGAATTTTTCTGTACCATAATCTTTCTGATCACCAACAGTTTTATATTCTGGTTCAGATGCAGACGAGGTCAAAGCCAAGATGGCACAGTTCTCCACCTTCAGGCTTCCTTTCAGCCAGGAGGAAATCAAGGATTTACTGGGGCTGGCAGAAGAAAACATGAAGAGAAACAAAGAAAACATCATGGAGGAGATCAAAAAGGCTGTGACACGCAGAGAAAACAAGCAGAAATGAATCTGATTGTCTTTGCATGAAAAGATGAAAAAGTATCTGAACAGATGTCCAACAGGACCACTCCTCTTTCTGCTTTCTATTTCTCCGAACAAAAATCAGCGCTTTAACAAATTTCAGATTCTTGTCTCTTTGGTTTGATTTGATCTAGAAAGTGCCTTTTTTCCTGGAGGTAAACCTTTTCCTTAGATGAGTGTAATTTCTCAGAATAGATTATAATAATGATGATGATTTGGTAATTATCCCATTAATGAAAAGGTCTACTTACTCGTAGTGTTGCCTTCTGTAGACCTGTTTTGTGTTGTACTTACTCTCAGATAATCAATGCTTTGGACAAAAATGTCTACTAAATGAAAGAGTTAAATTCTAGGTAAATGAACATGTAATGTGATCATGTCTGCTGAAATAATGTGTTACACTGGGGCATGTGCCTGTAATAAAGATGCATTTAAGGTGTTTTTCTTGGTAAAACAGGAGTTTCTGTCTCCTTATGTCTGGACAAATGTGAGTCAGACACTGTTTAAACTTATTGCTCCAGCAGAAATCCAACCTTAAGACTGCTTGCAGATTACTTTCATGTGCAGTAACTGAAGAATAATGAAATATTTTAGGTAAAGGCCTGCTAGTGGATGCTGGACAGGGATGGAGCATAAGTGCAAGATAAACTGCAGAGTTAGCATAGTTCATTGAGGAGGTGGTGAAAATGATTCCTGAAAAATTTGAAACCAGCCTGGCTTGAGTTGTATGCCTGAACTGGATCCAAGATGCCTCCTTTGTTTTATGGTTTAAGGGGTTTTAGGACCACATTTGAAAAAGGGACTTTTTAAAAGATTTTAATAAAAAAAAATTTGTTGATGAGCTGAAAAGGTAGGAATTATTGATGTTTATATCAATGATTTATGATTGAGTGGGTTGGCTTTGCTTGCACTGCCTCACAACTGTGAGGTTGTGTAAGCAAGCTGTTTTGCAAGAGCTTGAACTTAGTTCAGGTCACCTAAAGTTGAATTGATCTCAATGATTGCCAAGAAAGATAAGTGGTTTTCCAGCAATACTGATGTTCTGTTAAATTTTAGGGACACTGAGACATGTCCTTGGACAACCTCCCAGGATATCGGCTATCGGGCAGGAAACATTGCAATGCACATCTAAAGGGACTCATGCATGCACACACATGAGAGATGGATGTCTGTAACACACATAAACTGTATATAGTATGGATGTCGTCTCCCTCCTCGCTGCGAGAACAGCACCCTCTGGTGACAGGCTGCAGTACAGGTCATAAAGCCTGCCTCCTCCAGCAAACCTTATGGAGTTGTGGAAAAACTTGAGAAATTAATTACACAGAATACAAATGTTTCTCCCCTCTAGTTGCAATATTTACATATAGTTATTGTAAGACTGGGTTGTGCTCAAGTCCTGATTTTTTCTGTGCAGCTCCTTTTTAAAAAAGTTATTAGGGGGTTCATGTTTTCTATGATTGACACTTGATACAGCCTATGGGTGTATGAAGATTGCATAGCTCATCAAGGGGATATGTTTAAACACAGCGACTCTCCCGCCAAATGCGTACAATGCTACAGGGCACAGGGTGGTCAACTGCACTGATTTTTACATATGTACAATAAAGATGCCCAGGCTGCTTTTTAGATCTCATCCCGTCTCCTGTGCATTTTTTTTGCAGCATACCATACATATTTTCTTTAACACTAACCCCCCAGGAGATTGTCCGAGGACATGTCTCACTGTTTAAACTTAATGTTGTACCAAGGTTAGTTATGAGGTCCCACTAATAGATTAACCACACATAAAGCATGTCTTATAGACATCAAGACCTGGATGATCAGACACTTCATGCCACTCAAATCTGATAAAACTGATGCTGTCAGTATTGAATGCAGTGGACTGTGGCATTAGATTGAAAGATTGGTATCTAACATGCTGTAAAAGATGTCAGTAACTTGCTGTATCAGCTGACAAGGGGAGGCTTGGCTGACCGGTCTACATCAATTCAAAAAAATTATCTGAACTATAGAAAATTAAGCATGTTGTGTAAAGGATAACAGTCTAAACAGAGCGAAAAACAGAGTGGTCTTATGAGAGGAAAAGAATAAACACAAAGACACACTTAGAATGCACAGAAAGTAAAGGCACAGCAGCATTGGATAAAACAAATATACTAATCAAAACAGTTTGCTCATGTTTGTGTATGAACTTTTGTACTGTGTGTTATGTTTCCCCAACAAGTCTGTGTCTGGACCTGTGTACTCACGCCTACGTCTACCCAGGCAGCAATGAGCCCCTAAGAGTGGGGACAGCAACAAAACAGGAAGATCTGGTCAAATAACTGACACTGCGGAGGAGTCAGAGGGCAGAACGGTCACTGTAATGTTCATATAACCTGCGAGTGCTCTTATTCAAAGATGCATCCACGCTCTAGCCTAAAGACCAATATGGGTTTTATACTCACTGTGACCTCCCTTTGCATTGTGATTTCTTCAGCTCTGTCAATAGAGAGCAACATGGAGGAAGGGCAAGCTGCATCTGAAGTGAGTAATGCATGTTTAATTCTGGATATGTGCTGTAAGCTTGTAAAGTAGCAATCTGCTTTATGATGCACAATGCTCATCTTGGTAAATTATGATCCAATTTCAAGTCAGATAAAGCTGGAGAAGATTCAGGGCAGATATACCTGATAGCAAAAATATACAACCGGCCTCATGTCCACACCCTTTTAGCTCCAAAAGCACACGAGAATGTTGCTGAAAATGTCAGACTGTTATTTCTTCGTTTCAGAAATCTGTCCATGAATCTTGGCGTATGTGTGCCGGTGAACAGGAGTATGTTCAGGAGAGGAAGAAAATTGTCCTGGAGTCTCTCACCAGTTTGGGAATCAACTGTACAGAAGTAAGGATGAAAAATCTCACTTTAAGACTTAATATGTTTTCTTATAGCGAGTAACTTTTTTACTCCCATATATTCTTCAGTGATCTTTAATGAGGCTTGCTGAAGAATCTTCAAGACACGTTACTATTTTTTTTCAGTGTTAATATCATCTTTAGTCTTCAAGAGGTGTTGTTGAGACACAGATATTGGCGTGAGTTGTTTCACTGATTTTAATATTGGCACAAGACTTAATGCATCTTTAAGGTGGCCTCCAGCAAGATACCAAAACCATGTGGCAGAATAAAAGGAGTCTCAAAAAAAGGTTCTGTTTGTGCCTGTAGAAGTTATTTATGAAGCTTAGACAGTCCATCCATCTATTATGATGAATTGGACATTTTCCTGTGGCTAAATTCAATTATCTCCCTGTGGGTACCAGGACTCTGTTCCCCACATCGCTCTGCTGGGCTCAGGAGGAGGCGAGAGGGCGGCTGTGAGTCTGGTGGGTTCCCTCTATCAGATGGAAAAAGACGGTCTGTTGGACTCTGTGCTCTACCTGGGAGGAGTCTCTGGGTCGACATGGTAACTATAACCATCACACATCAATTCAAGTGTGTGCAGATAAACAGGTCTGTGTGCAGATTTGGTTGAGTGGTGAGATGCCTCTGAAATACTTTGGAAAGACCACAGACTGTATATGGAACGGACGTCGTCTGCCTCTTCGCTGGGTGAACAGTCGCTCTGCACTACAAGAACAGTACCCTCCGCTGATGGGCTGCTATACAGGTCATAAATCCTGCCTCCTCCAGCAAGCCCTTTGGAGTTGTGGACAAACTTTAGAAATTAATTACACAGAATATAAATGTTTCTTTCTTCTGCTTGTGATGTTGACACATAGTTACTATAAGACTGGTTTGCACGGAAGATCTCTTTTTTCTGTGCAGCTCCTTTTTTTAAAAGTTTTTAGGGAGTTCATGTTTTCTATGATTGACACTTGATACAGCCTATGGGTGTACGAAGATTGCGTAGCTCAGCCGGGGGATATGATGTTTGAGCTGAGTGTTATCACAGCAACTCTCGGCGACTTTCTCGCTGAATGCGTACAACGCGACTGTGCAAGTGGTGGTTCCAGGAAGTGGAGAAAATCCCATAAATACCGAGGGCAATTCGGCTTCAAATTCATTAATGACGGAAGGTGGTGCCAAGTTGTCCATAATATATAGAGTCTATTGGACAGACCTTCATGTCTCAGCAAGACAATGATGAACCACATTCTGGAGGGGTTGCAACAGCATGGCTCTGTAGTAAAACAGTCCTGCTGCTAAGTTGGCCAGTCTGCAGTCCTGATGTGTCTCCTTTTAAAAGCATCATCAATCATTTTCAGTTTGTTATGACAGTCTGCCTTTTTTTCCTCTTCTCTGTCAGGTCCATGGCCTTTCTGTACAGTGACCCAGAGTGGAGTGTGGGGATGGACAAAGCTACATCCAGGCTGATAGAATCAGAGGTGGAGCTGGCAGAGGTTCTTTCCTGGCTGGGGGAGAAAATGAAGGAGGAGGACTTCTCCCTCTCTGACATCTGGGGGGTGGTGACCTCTGCCGGTATCATGAAACAGGTCCCTGGAGGAGAATAGGTTCTTCCTTATAATCAGTTTTAGGTGTGGCGCCCTTCAGAAAGTATCATTAGATGTGTGCATGTTTTATTAGATGGACCTGCGGCATCTTTCTGAAGATACCAGGAGAAACGCAACCAACCCCTACCCCATCTACTGTGCTATTGAGAGGAACTGCTACACAGACGGGCCAACAGCAGGTACCTTTAACATGACATATAAGCACCAGCAGAAGCTCTAAGTCACTGTGTCTATATTAAGGGCCTCTCTGTCTCTCAGGGAAGTGGTTTGAGTTGAGTCCTCATGAGGCTGGATTCCCAGAGCTTGGTCTCTTTGTTGAAGCTTCTCTTCTGGGCAGCAAGTTTGAGAGTGGAAGGCTGGTGGAGAACTTACTGGAGATGGACATGGTCCAACTACAAGGTGTGTGTTCAAAATGTGTGACAACAGTACTGAAGTTGCAGGAGCAGGATCTATGTAACTGGACTCTAAATAGATAGTCTGGGTTTATCGTAATGAATTTATCCAAGGCCTTTTTTAATAGGCCTTTTTTAATTTATCTATATCCAATGATGGATTTGACTATCAAATATCAAGAGAATTAGCGTTTGTCAGCAGACACAAAAAGATGGTGAATACTGCTTTGTCCACAGGGTGGTGCCAAAACTGACAAACCAAAAGTTCCTCACTGAAGCTTTCAAGTTTGCTTTAATTGACTACAATCATGGCTATTTCTAGATCTCACATTGAGTGATTTGATTAAATCAACACCAAGAAAGGTATATGGACTGTATAATAATTAAATAAGTAGTGCACACATTCACAAAATGAAATAATAGAAAGGATCAAAGTTCAGTCAAAAGCTACAAATCTCTGTACTGTTAATTACTTTCTGTCCTCATAAACATCTAGATATACATTTAAGTTGTAACATTACCATTTATTTCACAGATGAATCAGTGAACCAATTTTCTTACAAAAAAAAAAACCTGATGAACCAGATGTCTTCTTGATACTGTGCAGGTGTTCTGGGATCTGCTATGGCTGATGAAGGGCAGGTCAGAGAATATATCCCTTCCCATTTGAATGGTAAAGCATAATTTTAATACAAACAAACAGGATGTAAGACAATCTGAAGGTTTTTAAAGGAGCTGTGTGAATTGTTCAAAAATAAGACTTTGTGTGTTGCAGTGCCTACAAGCCTGCTCTCTGCAGGGGGACGGTACCTACATATGTACATCAGCTTCTACAAATTCGTCGCTTTGATTCGAAGAAATATCAAGGACCCACGCTCTCTGTCTGACCTGGACAAGCTGCGGCAACTTCTGATAGAAACTAGTGATGATGCCTATAAACTGAACTCTCAATAGATCTATCCACTGAATCAAGCTGCAAAATAATTCACATCAGACTGTCTTATCTCCTCTAGACAGGATACACCAAGGTGAGTTTGAAGGATTCCAGTTGAAGAGTTTCGAAGAGAAGAAAACTTTGCTCCAGCAGTGGTCTATGAGACAGCTGGCTTTGGTGGAGACCTGGAGCCTGGGTCTGGAGGAGGGAACCTTTAAAACTCACGGTGAGTTGAAAACAAACAGACAGGTTGGTCAGACACAAACAAACAGATCAACTCAGTTCCACTTTTGTGTTTCAGTTACTTTTATCATAGAGACGGTTCTTCCTCTGATTGTGCAGTGGGAGTGGGGAACCACCAGGAACTTCCTCAACAATTATGACAGTGAGAACACAGACCCTTCAAAATTACTCATTGAATTTATGATTATCTAACCAGCTGTGCAGGCTGGTAGCACTCCTGTCATGCAGTGCAACACAAAACTAAAGAAATAACCTTTTTTTCTGTTGCCGGGCAGACTCCAGCGCCCCGCTCTGCCTGACCTCCAGAGAGACTTTAAACCTGGTGGACGCAGGGCTGTTTAACAACATCCCCTATCCCTCATTTTTGGGAGAGAAGAGAGACATCGACCTCATCATTGCTCTAGAGTATAGTGCAGGGGACATGTTTGAGGTACTAAGAGTGTGCATGTGTTATCAGGGCAATTAAATGACAATGAGATGAATATTTTTCTTTGAGTCCTTAGGCAACACATTTATAATATTGAATCAACATGATTATTAATATTTCCACTGACAATATGCTAATGTTTTATTTACAAGATTTATGATGATAGACGGAGTTATTGCTTCAACTTTGCTGCAGAGAAAGTGTACCATGAAACAACTTGCACACTCTGCTCTCTGCACAGACTCTGACTCTGGCCAGAGATTATGCAACTGAGATGACGAAGCCTTTTCCAGAGATAGACGAGAAAGTTCTGGAGGAGAAAGAATGGCCCAAGGACTTGTACGTGTTTGAGGGGAAAGAGAAGGCACCCACCATTGTTTACCTGCCGCTCTTTAACAGAAACAACAGCAAAGGTCTGTTGCAAACCATGAAACACTTCTATAGAGATATTGTTTCTGTGTCAAAGACTTCTTGATCACCAACAGCTTTCTATTCTGGTCCAGATGCAGACGAGGTCAAGGAGAGGATGGAAGAGTATTCCACCTTCCAGCTCCCGTACACTCTGGAGAAAGCCACACAGTTGTCAGAGATGGCAAAAGAAAACATGAAGAGAAACAAAGAAACTCTTCTGAGAGAGATCAGCAAGGCTGCTCAGCGCAGACACGACAGGCAGGAATGATTCATTTATAGGAAAAGATAAAAAAGCATCTGAAAATTACTGCACATAAAAAAAGTGCTCTAGCAAATCTCTGGCTCTTGTCTTTCCAGTTTAATGTCATTGAAACTGCTGTATCACTCTGGTACTAAGTCTTTACATGAGTATAAACCCTGAAAGAATATGCAGCTCAATCAACACAGATACATGTTTATCCTTCATGTAAATAAACATCTTGCTGCCATGCTCCAAGCAGAACATTGGTTGTATTTGTCGTCTTGACTTCTCACATATTTATCATGACAATGTTTCTCTGTAAGTCTGTGCGCCCTCGGTGCACTCTGCATCACTGCTGAAGTTTCCTATCCGCTGCTGTAGATGAGCTGTGCGCCAAAAAACCCCAGCAGCTCTAAAGAGAAGAAGAGGAAAAATGCTTCATGCATGGAGGTCACTACTGTCATGTCTTCAGGATGGAAACACAGACATCCAGATGGAGGAATGAAGGGTAAAAACACAAAAAGACTGCCTGGACATCAAACCGGGGAGCAAAGGAAGACGGTGCAGTGAGGACGATTCTCCTAGAGAAGGCACAGAGCATCTCGGCACTGCGCTGGAGAAGGAGGCAAAGAAGAGTCGTAGAAGAAGAAAAAGAGGGAGAAGCAAAGAAGAGGAGAAAGAAAGGAGGGAAAATTTTCAAAGTTAAGCTGTGCACTGTTGAAGTGCGACCCTGCAAAGTGCTGTCCCGCAGCAGCTGCAGAAAATGAGCATGAAAGGAATGAAGAATGAATGTGGTTTGGGATTTATCTGTGATTTTGCAAACATTTATCATCGGTGCACTCTGCATCACTGCTGAAGTTTCCTGATCCGCTGCTGCAGATGAGCTGTGCGCCACAAACCCCCAGCAGCTCTAAAGAGAAGAAGAGGAAAAATGCTTCATGCATGGAGGTCACTACTGTCATGTCTTCAGGATGGAAACACAGACATCCAGATGGAGGAATGAAGGGTAAAAACACAAAAACATTGCCTGGACATCAAACCGGGGAGCAAAGGAAGACGGTGCAGTGAGGACGATTCTCCCAGAGAAGACACAGAGCATCTTGGCACTGCGCTGGAGAAGGAGGCAAAGAAGAGTCGTAGAAGAAGAAAAAGAAGGAGAAGCAAAGAAGAGGAGAAAGAAAGGAGGGAAAATTTTCAAAGTTAAGCTGTGCAGTCTTCAAGTGAGACCCTGCAAAGTGCCGTCCCGCAGCAGCTGCAGAAAATGAGCATGAAATGAATGAAGAATGAATTTGGTTTGGGATTTATCTGTGATTTTTCAAACATTCATCATCTGCACGGCATCAGGTAAGAAGAACAGAGGGAAGCTGCAGAAATATTGTGTACTGGTGCAATTTATTCAGTGCATGACAACCGACTTAATTAAATCAGTATGAGGTTGTACTTTGCATGTGCACCGTGATTTTACAGCATTTGTGTGCCGACAGGGTGTTAGCACAGAGACACAGCTGAGAATCAAAGCCACACCGATTTAATTCATGCACACACAAGCGCACACACACATGCAGATTACAGTTGTCGTATCCACTCAGTGAATCCCACAATGGGATGAGTCCAGACTTCCTACTCATCACTGAAGCTGCCAGTTTCACTTTCTGAGCACATGAATATAAGAGCTTAGAAGGCAGGTCACAACCAAATTGGACCAAAATAATAATTAAAAAAAATCTGGATATTACCAAGATAATAATAAAAAAAAAAATAACACCACTCCTGTTACAGGCTCTTGTAATATTTTAATTATGACAACTACTTACTGGCAGTCCTCCTTGCATTTGCATTCACCTCTTCAGATGAAGCAAAACTTAGCCGTCCATGTGGATTTCAACTAACCCTGAAAACAGCTCTGGTCTCTCTGGTTAATGGCCTCCGGTAGCAACCTGCATGAAATAGAAAGCCATTCATTTTGCCAATGAATGATGCAAGACTGTCCCATACTCTGAAACAGAGTTTCTAAAACATTAACGAGCAGTACAGGGGCTCCACAAGTGACAGTCCTGGCTCCATTCCTGTTCACACTGTATACATCAGACTTCAAATACAGCACTGAGTCCTATCACATCCAGAAATACTCAGATGACACTGCTATCGTGGCATGTATCAGAAATGGACAAAAAGCTGAATACAGGGATCTAACAAGAGCCTCCAGTGACTGGAGTCACACAAACTGCCTCCTACTCCACACCTCAAAGACAAAAGATATGATCATAGACTTCTGCAGATCCTAACCCCCTTTTTCACCAGTGAACACCTGTGGCGTGGACATCAAGGTGGTGACATCAAATAGATATCTCGGTGTACACCTGGATAATAAGTTCGATGGTATTAGAACATAGACTTCATCTACAAAAAGGGTCAGAGAAGCCTCATTTACCTGAGAAGTCTACAGTCAAGAGACATCTGTAGTAAGATGCTGCAGATATTTTATCAGTCTGTGGTGGCAAGTTTTTTGTCTTATGCTGCAGTCTGCTGGGGAGGCAGTATCAAACACAAAGATGCAAGATGTCTTCACAAACGGGTGAAAAAGCTGTCTCTGTGGTTGGAATCAAATTGGAATCAGTGGAGGATGTGGTGGAGAGATGCACGCTGAGGAAGATGAAGGCTTTTCTAAAGAACACGGATCATCCACTTCACAACACCTCGGTGGACCAAAGGGCCAATGGTGGTGGACGGCTTCTCTTATTTTGCTACAGGACAGAAAGACTGACAATCTTGTGTACCTACAGCAATCACAGTGTTTCATTCTTCTATTAATAGTAGATGAAACAGAGACCATGGGACTACAGACAGTTGAATTTCCCTTCGGGGATCATTAAAGTTCTTCGTAACTTGCTGCATCAGCTGATGAAGGGAGGCTCGGCTGACCAGTCTACACCATTTCAAAAAGGTATCTGTAATGTGGGAAATAAAGCTTATTGTGTAAAGGTTTATGTCTTAAACGGAGAGAAAAACTGAGTTGTCTTGTGAGAGGAAAAGAATAAACACAAAGACAGACTTAGAATCCAGGTAAGTTTAGGCACAGCAGGATTGGATGAAAAAAATGTACGTCTAAAAACAGCTTGCTCATGTTTGTGAATGAACTTCTGTACGGTGTGCGTTATCTGTTTCCCAGACAAGTCTGTGTCTGGACCTGTGTACACATGTCTATGTCTGCCTAAGCAGCAACACTGAGCCCCTAAGAGTGGGGAGACCAACAAAACAGGAAGATCTGATCAAATAACTGAGACTGCAGAGGAGACTGCAGAACAGTCACTGTAACGTTCCTATATCCTGGTAGTGCTCTTATTCAAAGATGCATCCACGCTCTAGCCTAAAGACCACAAATACAGGATTTTTGCTTACTGTGACTTCCCTTTGCATTGTGATTTCTGCAGCTCTGTCAACAGAGAGCAACATGGAGGAAGGGCAAGCTGCATCTGAGGTGAGTACTGCATGTTAAATTCTAAATATGTGCTGTAATCTTGTAAAGCAGCAATCTGTTTTATGATACACAATGCTCATTTTAGTGAATTATGATCCAATTTCAAGTCACGTATAAGGAAATTCAGGGCAGACATACCTGATAGCAAAAACGTACCACCGGCTCCATGTCTACACCCTTTTAGCTCTAAAAACACAGAAGAGAATGTTGCTGAAAATGTCGAACTGTAATTTCTTTGTTTTAGAAATCCGTCCGTGAATCTCAGCATGTGTGTGCTGGTGAACAGGAGTATGTTCAGGAGAGGAAGAAAATTGTCCTGGAGTCTCTCACCAGTCTGGGAATCAACTGTACAGAAGTAAGGACGAAATATCTTACTTTTAGACTTTACGTTTCCTTTTAGCAAATTTTACTCCCATATACCCTTCAGTGATCTTTAATGAGGCTTGCTGAAGTATCTTCAAGACATGTTACTATTTTTTTTCACAGCGTTAATATTATCTTAAGTCATCAGGAGGTGTTGTTGAGACACAGATATTGGTGTGGGTTGTCTCACTGATTTTAATATTGGCACAAGACTTGATGCATCTTTAAGGTCGCCTCCAGCAAGATACCAAAACCACACGGCAGAATAAAAGGAGTGTCAAAGAAAGGCTCTGTCTGTGCCTGTAGAAGTTAGTAATGAAGCTTAGACAGTTTGGTATGAAAACAAATATCCTCACACAAAGCGAATGGTCATGAATCACTAACAAAAATACATCCATCATGATGGATTGGACACTTTCTTGTGGCTAAATTTAATTATCTCCCTGTGGGTACCAGGACTCTGTTCCCCACATCGCTCTGCTGGGCTCAGGTGGAGGTCAGAGGGCAGCCGTGGGTCTGGTGGGTTCCCTCTATCAGATGGAAAAAGATGGTCTGTTGGACTCTGTGCTCTACCTGGGAGGAGTTTCTGGGTCAACATGGTAACTGTAACTATCACACATCAATTCAAGTGTGTGCAGATAAACAGGCCTGTCTGCAGATTTGGTTGAGTGATAGGATGCCTCAGAAATACTTTGGAAAGACCTTCATGTCTCAGCAAGACAATGATAAACACACTCTGTAAGGATTACAACCGCATGGCTTTGTTGTTGAAGAGTCCTGCTGCTAAATTAGCCAGTCTGCAGTCCTGATATGTCACCTGTTAAAAGCATCAATAATCATTTTCAGTCTGCCCTTATTTCTCCTCTGTCAGGTCCATTGCTTTTCTGTACAGTGACCCAGAGTGGAGTGTGGGGATGGACAGAACCACATCAAGGCTGACAGAATCAGAGGTGGAGCTGGCAGAGGTTCTGTCCTGGTTTGGCGAGAGAGAGAAGGAGGAGGACCTCTCCCTTTCTGACATCTGGGGGGTGGTGACCTCTGCTGGTATCATGAAACAGGTCCCTGAAGGAGTATAGGTTCTTCTTTATAATCAGTTTTAGGTGTGGCGCCCTTCAGAAAGTATCATTAGATGTGTGCATGTTTTATTAGATGGACCTGCGGCATCTTTCTGAAGACACCAGGAGAAACGCAACCAACCCCTACCCCATCTACTGCGCCATTGAGAGGAACTGCTACAAAGAGGGGCCAACAGAAGGTACCTTTAACATGACATATAAGCACCAGCAGATGCTTTGAGTCATGTTGTTGATAGTCAACGAGCCTCTCTGTCTCTCAGGGAAGTGGTTCGAGATGAGTCCTCATGAGGCTGGTTTCACAGAGCTGGGTCTCTTTGTTGAAGCTTCTCTTTTGGGCAGCAAGTTTGAGGGTGGGAGGCTGGTGGAGAAAATCCCTGAGATGGACATGGTCCAACTACAAGGTTTGTTAAAAATGTGTGACAACAGTTCTCAAGTTACAGGAGCAGGATCTATTTAACTGGACTTAATCAACACTGTGAAAGGTATATGGACTATCTAAATAATTATAACTAAGTAGTGCATAAATGCACAATATAAAATAATAACAAAGGGTCAAAGTTCAGTCAAGATGAATTCTTTTACTTGTGTTAAAAAAAAAAAAAAACTCCTGTGGTCATCACTGCATGTTCGATTAACCAGATGTCTGCCTCACCTTCACACTACGCAGGTGTTCTGGGATGTGCTTTGGCTGATGAGGAGCTGCTAAGAGAGATCATTCCTCCCCATCTGAATGGTAAATTATGATTTCAGCAAAAACAAATACACCACAATATAATCGGCAGGTTTTTGAAGGAGCTGCTAAAAAGACATCACTTGACTTTTCATGTGTTTCAGTGCCAGCACACCTGCACTCTGCAGGGGGACAGTACCTGCGTATCTACATCACCATCTACAAACTTATGGCTTTGATTCGAAGCAACGTCAAAAACCCGAGAGCTCTGTCTGACCTGGACAAGCTGCAGGAACTTTTAATAGAAACTAGTGATGATACTTCCAAACTGACCTCTCAATAGATCTATCCACTGAATCAAGCTGTAAGATAATTACACCAGACTGTCCTATCTTCTCCAGACAGGATACACCAAAGTGAGTTTGAAGGGTTTGAGTTGAAGAGTTCTGAAGAGAAGAGAAATTTGCTCCAGCAGTGGACGATAAAGCAGCTGGCTTTGATGGAGACCTGGAGCCTGGGTCTGGAGGAGGGAAACTTTAAAACTCACAGTGAGTTCAATTAGGAGAGACTAGTTAAAGACAAAAAAAATATTGAAAATGACAATTATAAGAATGTTGCTTGACTGACAATTTTTGGCAAATGGACTCTATGGGGAGATTTTGAGATCAAAGGATGACTGATCCCCCCATGGAGTCCTGATGCTGGTGGTGGTGGCTAATGACTTGCTGGGACCATATGGATGGAGGTATGGAACTGATGATTCTGCTGAGACTGGTGGAGATGGAGAGGTGGAGGGTGTGTACAAACCAACAGCATGAGAGAATTAGACGCAGAGAAAATTTTCATTTTTAAAACGAGAGCAGAACGGTGATAGGCTGAACAGTGAGAGCATGCTGCCATGCTATTGGATAGGAAGCTGGTGGTGACTGGTTGATTATCCAATGACTGCCCTGAGTGATGACAGCAGGAAAAGTGAGTGAGCATGGGAGTGGAAAAGACACTTAGGCAGCTGTGTAAGCAATTCAAACAGACACATCAACTCAGTTCTGCTTTTCTGTTTCAGTTACTTTTGTCATAAAGAAGGTCCTTCCTCTGATTGTGCAGTGGGAGTGGGGAACCACCAGGAACTTCCTCAGCAATTATGACAGTGAGAACACACACCCCTCAAAATCACACAGTGAATTTATGATTATCTAACCAGCTGCACAGGCTGATAATTCTCATATTGTGCAGTGCAACACAAAAATAAAGAAATAAAAATAACTTTTTTTCTGTTGCCGGGCAGACTCCAGCGCCCCACTCTGCCTGACCTCCAGAGACACTTTAAACCTGATGGACGCAGGGCTGCTGATAAACATGCCCTATCCCTCATTTTTGGGAGAGAGGAGAGACATCGACCTCATGATCGCTCTAGAGTACAGCGCAGGGGACATGTTTGAGGTACTGAGAGTCTGCATGTGTTATCAGGGTGATTAAATAACTTGATGAGACAATGAGATGAATCTTCTTTTGTGAGTCCTTAGGCAACACGTTTATAATACTGAATCAACATGATTATTAATATTTCCACTGACGCATGCCAATGATTCATTTACAAGATTTATGATGATAGAGGGAGTTATTGCTTCAACTTTGCTGCAGAGAGAATGTACCATGAAACAACTTGCACACTCTGCTCTCTGCACAGACTCTGACTCTGGCCAGAGATTATGCAGCTGAGCTGAAGAAACCTTTTCCAGAGATAGACGAGAAAGTTCTGGAGGAGAAAGAATGGCCCAAGGACTTGTACGTGTTTGAGGGGAAAGAGAAGGCACCCACCATTGTTTACCTGCCGCTCTTCAACAGAAACAACTGCAAAGGTCTGCTGCAAACCATGAAACACTTTTAAAAAGATAATGTTTGTGTATCAAAATCTTTCTGATCATAAACAGCTTTCTATTCTGGTCCAGATGCAGACGAGGTCAGGGAGAGGATGGAAGAATTCTCCACCTTCCAGCTCCCGTACAATCCGGCAAAAGCCACATTGCTGTTGGAGACGGCGAAAGAAAACATGAAGAGAAACAAAGAAACTCTTCTGAAAGAGATCAGTAAGGCCGCTCAGCGCAGACAAGACAGGCAGCAGTGATTCAGATCTATTTTATAGGAAAAGATGAAAAAGCATTTTAAGATGACTGTTTTTCTTACCTTTACCTTTTTCTGCTTTCTTTTTCTTGTAGCTCTTGATCCATGTTGTTATGTAGGTATAAAATAATATCAAAAAGGAGTTGTAGTAATATGGGTGGATGAACCTGTGCCTCTGTGTGTCTTCTGCATTGTGTCCTGGGTTATGTTGACCAGTCAGGAAACAATATGTGGGTTCTGGTTCTTGAATATTTTCGTTCTGTATTAATAGACAAAAAATACAAGAATCGATGAGCTCAGTGTGTTTCTTGTCTGCAGCATACATCTCCCCATGATCATGAGTTTTAAAGAGTATATGTTAGATGACATAAATACACAAAAGTTAAAAAAGGTGTACATATTTTAGCCATGAAATACAGATGACAAATAATTATGACACCAAATTCTTTTAATTTTCTAGTATTAATATGCAATTAAGCCTATTTTAACAGCTCTGAAAACAACCAATATAAAAGTGCTGCTACGGCGTCATGAAATATTCTATTTTAACGACATAAAATCATTAAATAACAGACTAATGTCTCCATATCCATATTCACAGACAAAGAAATACAAGAATTCATGATATCAGTGTGTTTCTCATCTGCAGCACACCTCTCACGGATAAAAGATCACACGTGTGTTAAAACAGGAGTCTTGCACATAAGCGGCTAGCATTAGCTGTTACTTTCAGAACAAAACCCGTGACAACTTTGGTTTACAAATTCAAAAAGTTACAAAACTGGCACAGAATAAACTGGACTTTATACAAAACTTAGTGCAGCAATTTTAAGGTATGTAAATCGCAAACAACAACTTTTAGAAACGTTTATCAGCAGAGCATTGCTAAATATTAACCCACCTCAGATCAAGCTGGTAACAGCTTTGATCAGAGCGCGCACTGCTCTTGCATGTAATGCTTGCACATGTAATGCTTGCACATGTAATGACGTCACTACTTATACACACACACCGAGTCTCTACAGGCAGGAGAGAAGAACGTAGCTTCAAGTGTAAAATAGGACCAAAAATTAGAGTTTGGTGAAATTCACAAGCTGCAACTTCATCATCGGCTACACGAAGCCCTGGCTACTTTGATTTATTTGGAGGAAAAATAACTTACTTTTCAGATACCTTACCATTTGTAGCTTCCTTTAATGACTTCAAAATGGCGGTGGTGGTGCCTCAACGTAGCGAGAAATGTATTTATCACTCTTAAAACCCACTAACAAATCATTTTCTTATACAATGTTCCTTTTTAACTCAAGACACACATAAAGGAAAAGTAAAAAGGACACTTAAATTCAGTTTTAAAGTCTAACGTCCACTTAAAATGAAGAAATTTTTTTACATGTAATAAAACATGCCTAAAATCAGGGCTTGACACTAACTTTTTTCACAAGGAGCACATGCGCTCCTAAGTTGAAAAAGTAAGGAGCACACAAAGAACTTGGCAATGAAAGTTGACCAAATAATGTGTGTCTTATTGGTCGACTTTAATACTATTATTTGAAATTAATTTTAGTTCTTTTGGTCACATGACAGGGAAGCTATTGAAGGAAAACAGCCTTTATGAAAACATCAACAGGTAATCTATTGATGGTCCCTTATTCAACACCCATTGTTGACAGCGAGGGTGCCGAATAGATTAACCGCGCTGCTGCTGTTATTCCCGGTTATGGAGAGTGACAAGACACCAGTAAATCCGCAGTAAAGGTCTGTCAAATATCCAACCTAAAACTAATTTCACCATGGTTTTTACATGAAAAAATATTTGTTGCCTCAACTAATTTTTTTATGGACATTTTACAATTCGCACACATCTATTTTTAGCCGCAAATGCGAGTGAAATGGTCGCACTATCGAGTCTTGCCTAAATATCACTTCACATAACCAGTTATAACCCAAAATAAAACTGTAACGGGCCAAAAACCAGATTGCTTCAACAGAAAATCAAAGCACTTTCAAAAGTTTACTCACGGATGCTTCACTTCTGTCAGTAGCTAGTCAGAGGGTGAAGACAGGGGAATGGATGGCGCTCAGGAACAGTCAGTGAGGGTGAGGGGAAAGCGGCACAGATCCAGACCCAGGAGTAACTGATAGGGACTTCCACACACAGTCAGCAGCACCCAAGAGATCTTCCTGGTCCACTGTTTGCATAATATGACGATTAGTGGCCTCAAATTGGTTCATTTATTCATCACACAGAGTCTATGCGACCCTAAAAAACTAGCAACTGTTTACTACAGAATCACCGTGACATTAGCCGCTACATCAACACAGATTCAAGCTAATCCCGCTAGCGCTAAATGCTAATTACGGGTTAGCATCATATTTATACACACACTTCATCTTGCCGAAAAATAGTGACTTCTTCTTCTTCTTGTTGGATTTGATTGGCGGCTGGCATCCAACAATTTGGCGCATTGCCGCCACCTACCGAACTGGAGTGTGGAACATTAGATTGGAAATTTACAAAAAAAAAAAAAAAAAAAAAGGGGAACCCCCTCCAAACCCTACTAGATCCTTTTAACTAGGCCAGTTCTTCTCAAATATCTTTGTACATGTTTATTGCTCTCTTTTGTTCTCTGTAACACACTCCTTAATGTAAATCCAATGTTTTCCTTTTTTAAGCCATTTTTTAATACTTCCCTCTCTCTTTCATACTCCCTACATTCCATTAGGACATGTTCTACTGTTTCCTGTACATTGCAGCTTTGACACTTTCCTGTGGGGTGTTTACTTATTATTTTTAGTGTGCTGTTTAACCCTGTGTGCCCAAGCCTAAGACGGGTGATGGCCACCTCCTTCTTCCTGCTCCTGCCAAATACCCGTCCTCCACCCACCTGACTCTGTATCCTGTAGAAATGTCTCCCAGTGTCATTGATGTCCCAATATTCCTGCCAAACTCTCTGCATCTGTGTTTTGATTATTGACTTCCCTTCAGCTCTACCCAGTGGAATGCTGTTTTTTATTGTTTGTGCTCTGACAGCTTGTTTTGCAAGTGTGTCTACTTCCTCATTACCCTCAACACCTGCATGTGCTGGAACCCATACAAATCTGGTTGTCCCCCCCCTGTTCTGTATCTGGTGTAGCAGTTGATGAATCTCCATAACAAGATCTTGCCTACATGATTTCATTGTTTTGATACTTTCCAGTGCTGCATAACTATCTGATGCTATTACTGCATGTACAACATTCCCTCCCTTCATCCACTTTAATGCAAGTATTATTGCTAAAAGCTCCACTGAGTATACTGAGGCATGATCAGTAGCCCTTTCTCTAATTGCCAGTCTTTGTTCTGGGACGAAGACTGCTGCCCCGGTGCGCCCTGTCTTTGGATCTTTTGATCCATCCGTAAATATCAACAGTTTATTTGCATAGTTCTGTTCAATGTATCTTTGCACAATATCTCTTGTATTCCCTGATTTCTTCTTTACTTTATCCTGAATACCAAAGTCCACTGTTGGCTCCTGAAATACCCATGGAGGGATTTCTGGTAAAGAATGACTTGATACAAATTGCATGTTGCATAAACCAACACTTTCGGCTTTTACATTCCCTACCCAGCCCAAACTCAAAAAATTGGTCTTGTCGTGCTCTGAGCATTCCTCTAATATTGCTTTTGCTGGATGTGACCTTTTGTGCCCCTGCAGATATACCCAGTATGCCAGCATGTGCTTTACCCTTCTTATCCTTAGAGGCTCTTCCCCTACCTCAACTTGAAGAGCAGCCACTGGAGAGGTTTTAAACGCCCCACTGCATATCCTCAGCCCCTTAGCCTGTTCCACGTCCAGCTTCTTCAGGTGACTCTCTGCTGCTGACATATAAGCCACACTGCCATAATCAATTCTGGACCTCATCATTGCTTGGTATATGTTTAACAGAGACTTCCTAGTTGCACCCCAATCTCGTCCTGCCATGCACCTCATAAGGTTATTAACATTTTTACACTTATCTCTCAGTTTTTCTATATGCTGCTTCCAGGTAAGTTTTTCATCAAATAAGACACCCAAAAACCGTACTACTTTAGCTTGTTCTAACGTTTGATCATATAGTTTTATTGACACCTCTTTATGTCGCTTAGCAAAGCATATTACTTGGGTTTTCACCACTGACAGTTTGAATCCCCATCTATTTGCCCACTGCTCCACTTTATCAACCGCTGCCTGCAGCTTTTTCTGCAGATAGTCTTGATTTCTCCCTCTTACCCATAAGGCCCCATCATCAGCAAATAATGATTTACTTATTCCTCCCCCCACCTCCTCAAATATATCATTGATCATACAATTAAAAATTACTGGACTACACACACTCCCTTGCGGGGTTCCATTTTCAACCTCATATATTGGAGAGAATTCCTGCCCTACTCTCACCTCTATTGTTCTTCTAAATAAAAAACTTAGTACCCAGTTATATAATTTCCCTCCCACTCCCATCTTATCTAATTTAATCAGCAGCCCTTCTTTCCATAACATATCATATGCCTTCTCTATGTCAAAGAACACAGCCATCACTATTTCTTTATTTGTCTGTGCTTTTCTGATATCTGACTCCAAACTGAGCACTGAATCCATCGTGTTCCTTCCTTTGCGAAATCCACTTTGATATGAAGAAAACAGGTCATGACTCTCTAAAAAAAACATCAGCCTTTCTGTTACCATCTTCTCCATTGTTTTCCCTAATTGAGATGTAAGGGCAATTGGCCTATAATTTGATGGATCTGATGCTCCTTTACCTGGTTTCAAAATTGGCACTATTACTGAGTGTTTCCATGCCTGTGGAACCTCCCCTGACTCCCATACTTTATTAAATAACTTTAATATTACCCCCAGCGACCTGTCATCCATGTGATCTAACATGCAGTAGCACACATCATCTTTTCCTGGTGACGACTGCCGCGTTTTGGCTACTGCTCTTCTTAATTCATACAAATTAAAGGGCAGATCTAGATCATCCCCTCTTGCCTGCTTTTTCTCTCTAATCCATGTGTTTTGTGTCAGTACATTCTGCCTATGCTGCTTTGCTTCTGTTGAGATATTTTCTGAGCTATGAACTTGAATTAATGTTTCTGCCAGTAGTGTCGCCTTCTCTAAATTACTAACTGCTGTTCTATCGTCCTTCTTCAGAATCGGGATTGTTATATTTCTTTTTATTCCACTCATTTTCCTTATCATTCCCCAAACTTCTGACAGCTGTACCTCCTGCCCTATTTCACTACAGTACTTCCTCCAACACGCCCGCTTAGCTGCTCTGATTGTCCTTTTCACTACTGCCTGTGATCTTCTGTATTGGATTAATGTCTCCATTGTATGTTGCTTCTTTAACAATCTGAATGCCCTGTTACGTGTTCTTATAGCCTGTCTGCAGTTATTATCCCACCATGGTACACTTTTTACACTTCTGCCCCCAGACACTTTTGGAATTGTCCCATCAGCAGACTGTATTATAGCTGCTACCACTCTCTCATTCCATTCATCCACACCTGTCCATTGCTCCTCATGTAACTCCTCAAATATATTTCTACTCACTGCCTGATAAGCATCCCACTTAGCATTCTGAATTTTCCACCTTGGCACCCTCCTTTCCTCCTCTCGCTGCATTTCTACACCCACCTTACTAATCACAGGATAGTGATCACTCCCCATTAATATTTCATCTAGCACTTCCCAATTTGTGATACCTGCCATCTCATTGGACATTAAAGTTAAGTCAATTGCACTCTCCTTATTTCGTACACAATCATACCTAGTGCCCCTCCCATCATTTAAACACACTAACCCTTTATCTTCTATAAATTCTTCCACTATTGAACCATTTGAGTCTGTTCTCTTACTCCCCCATAAAGTGCTATGTGCATTGAAATCCCCACACCACAATATTTTCCCTTGCACCTCCCCCAGTACCTTATTCAGTGTATCCATACTCAATCTCTTGCATGGGTTATAGTAATTGATAATTGCTAGCTCATATCTTCCTGTCCAGATTTTTACTGTTATGGACTCATGATCCGTCCCTATTTGACCTGTATTAAACCCTATCCCATCCTTTATAAAGGTAGCTACTCCACCACCTATCCCATTTTTCCTGTCATTTCTTACAGCCATGTACCCATGTATTACAAAATCCCACTGCTCCCTCATCCATGTTTCTTGAATACATATAATAGTAGGCTTGTCCTGTAACCCAGATATAAACTTCTTAAATTCCTGTCCATTGGTTATGAGACTTCTTGCATTCCATTGCAGTATACTTAGGACCATGATGATCCTCCATCCCATACTGATGACTGCTGTGATGGATTCTGTGAGCTGGACCCCCCTCCTTTCAACAGGTCCTCCACTTCCTCCCACCCAACTGCCTCCAGTCCCAGATATTTCTCTGCTGCTCTCACTATTATTTTGATTTTTTCCGTTTTCTTGTCTGTTTGCGCTGTACAGTTAACCACCTCAACCATGAATAGTATGAAATCTTTCTTCCCCACAACCATTGTGTCTTCCTTAATTCTTTTGCATCCTTCATGTGTTCTTATTTCTTGCCTTTCGGTTGTACTGGCATTACTTTCAGTTGCCTGCACCCTCACCCTTCTGGCTGCCTCAGCATATGTGATTCCATTCGATGTTTTCATTTGCTGCACTTCTGCTGCTCTCTTACTGACTTCACATCCCCTGTATGCAGAGGTATGTTCCCCTCCACAGTTGCAGCACTTAATTTTAGCTCCAATTTCACATTTCCCATATTCATGTTCCCCAGCACATTTCCCACATCTTTGTTTCCCCTTACATACTGCTGCAACATGCCCATATCTCTGGCATTTAAAGCACCTTAATGGCGGAGGCACATAGAGCCTCACACCGTAGCTCATGTATCCTATATGCACTCTTTCTGGGATTCTCTCTTCCTCAAACGTAACCAAAACCGACAGACTGTCACATTTTTCCCCCTCACGTGTTGTTTTCAGGCGCTTTGCTTCCCTCACTTTCGCTCCCTTTATATTTTCTTTTATTTGATCAATAGATACACTTATCGGCACCCCAAAGATTACTCCTCGGGTTATCCCTCCTCCCTTCCTAGCTAGCGTTGCTACCACCTTCTTCCCCTCAATTTTATCCACTCTGATGGCTCTCCCCAACTGTGCGCTGTCTCGACAAAAAATCAGCAGTGCTCCATTGCGCAACACTCTCGCACTTTTCACATCTCCTACTTGTTTATTTATTGCTTTTGTAAGGTTTACAGGATTCCACTCCCCAAACGAGGCGCCTTCTTGCTCCAATCTAATGATTACTTTGTGTTCTTCCTCGTCCTCTCTTGCTTGCTCGCTATCCGTTTCCTCAGACGCTGTGCCCACTCCTCTCTGTCCCCTATTATTTTTGCGTTTGCGCTTAGCTTTTCCCCCTTTCACAACATTCCAACTTTCATTTCTCCCGCCACCTAACTCCATCCCATCATTTCCTGACCCGTCACTTCCCTCTTCCATCTCCTGTCCATTCACAGTCCGGCTGTGCCAGCCGCCAACCTTGCTCATCCGTGTCTTCATTTCTCGTGATCCTCTCTCCAGCGTTCCTCCGTCGCTTCAGAGTCACCCGTTCGAAAAATAGTGACACTTTCAAACAAAGTATTTACCTTATGTGAGCTTCTAAATGTCAATTACTCGTCGGTTTATTCCACTTATACCGAAGAATGAGACAAAGCTTCAGTCGTCGGCAGTTTCGCGCTTTTGCTGCGTCTGCGCGCGCAGCTCTCTCATTCCCTGTTCCTTTCTGCAGCCGCCATCATGTCCCGCCCCCCTACCTGTCTGATAGGACAACAGGCTGACAGGAAAACCAATGCCATTAAAAAATATATAAAGATTGACAGCTTAAATCCCACCAATCTAGGTTGTGGAAAAGCCCACAGACTCCTCTGTGAACAAACTTGTTCGAATTTCAATAAACTTTATTTACACCTCGACAAGACACTGTAGTCTCTAGGCCCACTTTGTTTTAAATCATTGGGAACTGATAAACTTAAACGTTTTAACATAACATATTGTTGTTTTGTTAACATAATTATCTTGTTCAATGTTGAAAATGTCTTTCTCACTTAAAGGAACTTTATTAAAATGTATTTTTCAAACCGTTTAATGTGTGTTTTCTGCCTGAAATGACATATTTTAGACTCGGCTACATTCTCTAAGATAAAATCTGTGCTACAACAAATCTCTGGTTCCTGTCTTTTTTGTTTGATGGCACTAAAACTGCTGTTTCACTCTGCTTTACATCAGCATAAACTCAGAGAATATGCAGCTTAATCATAACAGTTACACAATCATTGTACTGTGACTATCAAAACTAAATTAGTCACTGAGAGGGGAATGCAAGAATCTGTCTGACGCACTGAATCCAAGAAGGACACACGAAGTCTTTACTGCAGCTCGAGGGTATTTATTTTCCATTTCAGTAAATCATACTTTCAAACATGCATTTGATACAGATGTTCTTGCAGATTTTGACTATATGATGGAAAAAAGCTTTAGCGGTCAACAGAAATATCAGCACCCTGCCTCCTCTCTCTCTCTGAACCAAGCAAACAAATTCAAAAGTAGGCCCAGGTGACATTCATTAGACAATCAGTCAGCCCCAGTGACACAGCCACATGCGCATAACCCAGAGTGACGAGTGAGAAAACACATCCCTGCCTCTACATTCATGTTAATTCTTCATATAAATAAACACCTCGCTGCCATGCTCCAAGCAGAACATTGGTCGTATTTGTCATCTTGACTTCTTACAGATTTATTGTATATGCAGAAAAGATCCAAAACATGATGCATTGGCAGAACTTGAAATCAGTGAAGCTGGTAAGAGAGTAATATTTAGAAAGAAAAATTGTATGTGTATGCTATCACATGTGTATTCTATCATTATATACATATGTTAATCATCATTTACTGAAAATCACTTGGTGTGAATGCTTGAAGGGTTATATTTTTCCCAGTACAGACCACAGCTGCAACCTGTACCCTATTTGGATACTGTTGTACTGTCATGCCTCTTGTGAAATGATGTTAGCGGGTGGGGGTGTCTGTGTCTTGACTGCATGAAGGATGTGTAAAAATCTGAATTCCTCAGTCAGAGGAAGCTGCCTTTGTTGTAAGCTGCTGACTCCTTGCAAGTAAAAGATACTGAAGAAAAAGAAGACCTGACTCTCCATCGTTCTTCACAGCCGGCTGCAAGTCAGATTCAGTATTATTTTTCTGTCATATTTGCTGTGACCTCAACAGGTGAAACTCAGAATGACAACACTCAGTCTAGAAGCTGCACACTGACAGGTACTTGCATAAAAACATCTGATAAAAATCATCAAATTCACGCACCGTTATGGGCTCTATGCACTGATCCACTGCTTCCTGAACTGGTGGCTGCTCCTGTATTTCCTGTGTTACATCATTGGACAGACTGATTAATCCATGGCTGTGTCCGAAATGGCATACTGCCTACTATCTACTTACCTACTCAAGCAGTAGCTACTGCCTACTGACTACTCAAAGATGATTTGAGTATGCCGCGACTGCCCGAGCGTTTACACACATACATACTAAATACCCCAGAATGCATTTCGTGCCGGCCGGACGCAGCGCCGGGAAAATTTAAATAGTCCTACCACAAGCTACACAGAACGACTGCATCCCGGACAAATTATATAAATTCATTCAATAATAATATTTTTTCTAGCGAGAAAGTAAGTGTTTACATCACGATTATGAGCCCAGTTGTTTGAAATAGTGGCTGTTTGTAAATTTGTCTCGGCGTTTTCGGAGACCGAAGCGTCCACTTGGTCGGTGTTTGCGTCTATTTACCGTAAACACCGGGCAGCAGCAGCTCCCCCTTCACGTTTCCAAATTATTGCGAAGTGTTTTCATAATCAACATCTACACGACACAAACCGGGCGACAGTGGATGAAAAAATCACACAAACATCCGTGTATCCATGGTGATAATGCTATACACCACCTGCTAGGCGTGTGATGAGCAGCATAGGGCTGCAAAATGACCAACACACAACATAATTATTATGACCTCGTTCGGTTATTCCTTGGCAAATACATCATTTCCCGACTACATTCTTTTCATGTACAATGATTATTTCAGAAACCATCAGATTTTCAATCACAAGTAAGAATTAGTAAAGCTCACATAGATTGTCAACTGGAAACTCCCCCGTTTGTATATTCTGAACCATGTGCTCTCTACCAAAGATAATTTTTATTAATCAGAGGTCTGAGCTTAATATGAGCGACCACTTTGATGATGCATTCAGAGATGAGAAGATGCTCAAACTTGATGTAATAAATACATCTTTAATAGACACTTAAATAAATAAAGTCAATTCATACGAATAGTTAAAAACATTACTTATAATCCTAATTTAAAATACAAATAAATCTAGTAAAAAGATCAAAATATGATAAAATGATGAAAATTGTGTAATGTATACTGACTAAATATTGTTTATCTATTTATATATATATCATTATTATTGCAATCACATGCCATCTATTTCTTTTCAGCCTCGGGAAGGAGGGCCATATTACCAGCTGAGGTGCGCAATGCATTGTGGGGCAGAAGCAGTACGTGAAGCAAGCTCCGTTGCACACTCAGAAATCGAAGCTGATTGAGTATACATCCGGGCATTTCTCGCATACACAAAATTCACATACTGTACAGTGTGAACGCACTGCCTACTCAATTCAGAGGCGGGGTTAGTAGGAGTAGTAGGAGTAGTAGGCCATTTCGGACACAGCCCATGTGTGTCTGATCAGTCACACCTGGATTAATCAATCAGCTGTGCACAGAGCCCATTGTAGCCTACCCATGTGGTTTCACAAGAGTAACGCTAGATGGCGTCCGACAACAACAGGAGGAGGTACAGTGTGTTTATATAGGTCAGAGCATCTATCGAATCCATATGCATACAGCTCAGTGCAGCCACAGTTGGTTTATCAGACTCAAATCAACCAGTTCATGCATATAAGAAAAATATAGGTGTCAAGTAAACATAAATACCGATGAGTTCATTTAAATGAATGTTTGAATCTTTCTAAACTCAGTGTGTAAACTTTATGATCGGTGTTAAAGTTTTCTCCGTCCCAAGGGACCATGAAGCGTTTCCGCGTTTTGCATTTTTTTCTCCAAACGTACAGACTGAGATGAATTCCTCCTGAAAATGTTCATCTCCTCAGATTAATTTCTGGTTTTGCTTCACAATTTTGTCCCTAAAGAAAATGCATAATGACAATGTTTCTCTGTCAGCCTGTGCGCCCTCGGTGCGCTCTGCGTCGATGCTGAAGTTTCCTGATCCGCTGCTGCAGACGAGCTGTGCGCCACAAACCCCCAGCAGCTCCAAAGAGAAGAGGAGGAAAAAATGCTTCCTGCACGGATGTCACTACTGTCATGTCTTCAGGGTGGAAACGCAGACACCCAGATGGAGGAATGAAGGGTGAAAACACAAAAACACTGCCTGGACACCAAACCGGGGAGCAAAGGAGGACGGTGCAGTGAGGACGATTCTCCCAGAGAGGGTTCAGAATATCTCGGCGCTCCGCTGGAGAGAGAGACGGGGAAGAGCCGTAGAAGAAGAAGAAGAGGAAGGAGAAGCAAAGAAGAAGAGAAAGAAAGGAGGGAAAATGTTCAAAGTTAAGCTGTGCAGTCTTCAAGTGAGACCCTGCAAAGCGCCGTCCCGCAACAGCTGCAGAAAATGAGCATGAATTGAACGAAGGATGAATGTGGTTTGGGATTTATCTGTGATTTTGCAAACATTCATCATCTGCACGGCATCAGGTAAGAAAAACAGAGGGAACTGTGGGGCTTCAAAGACATTAAGATGTATAAGGGGAAATGGAAAGTCTGTACGGAGCAGAAAAAGAGACGTGAATGGAGGTGACAAACAGTCAAAGAAGCTGCAGAAATGTTGTGTAACAATAGGTGCAATTTATTCAATGCATGACAGCTGGCTTCATTAAATCAACATAAGATCGCACTTTGTGTATGCACCATGATTTTACAGCATTTGTGTGTCAACAGGCTGTTTGCACAGGGACACAGCTGAGAGTCATAGCCACACACACACACACACACACACACACACACACACACACACACACACACACACACACACACACACACACACACGCAAATTACAGTAGTAGTATCCTACAGTACATACAGTAACCCCACATGCATGCACAGTATAAATAGTTAATGGATATCACTGTCAATATGTCACAGTGTGTGTGTGTCAGTGTTTAGTCAGATGTGACACTCAGTGATTCCCACAATGGGATGAGTCAAGACTTCCTACTCATCACTGAAGCTGCCAGTTTCACTTTCTGAGCACCACACGACTGTGAGAGAGCTGAGGAGGCAGGTCACGACCAAACTGGAACAAAAAAAAATAATAAAAAATCAGGATATTACTGAGATAATCCAAAAAATATGCCTGCAAATCTTAAAACACCCATTCGGTTTTGATCTACTGAAAAAAAAGGAAACGCTTATAAATTAAGAAATATGTGCGAGCCAGCTGGCAAATGATCAACTGGCCTATTTTAGAAGATACTGTGAAAGTAAAATGGCACAAAAACATACAGGAGTGATAGTGCATGAAGCTCCCTCCTGCTAAAAGCACAAAGTAATTCAGGGTGGCATGAATAACCTTGGCAGTTTGCTTTATTATTCACTAATAGGAAATATTGATTCAAACCATGATGCTCGCTATAATCTAATCTTAAATTAAAGTAATCCTCCAGTGCCTTAATCCTGTAATGTTTCTAACATCCATCAGGGGGCGACTCCTCTGGTCTGATTGTGAAAAAAACTGTGTGACTTTTCAGCTGGTTAATGGGCTCCATCAGGGCTTGACACTAACTTTTTAAACTTAGGAGTAAAAGTAAGGAGCACACAAAGAACTTTAGGGGCACAATGAAAATTGATCAAATAATGTGTGTCTTATTGTCCAACCTGCGTTTGAGTTACCCCGGATGTAAGATGTCGGAGCTGAAAATGACGTCACATCCGAGTTCCCAGCATTTCAGTTCCCAAGTCAGAAAAAAGGAAAATCGGAGGCGTAAATAAGTTGGCTACATCTATGAAAGCTATTTTAGCACTTGCATGTCTGAATAAAAGGCACGCGCTAAAATAACTTTCATGGATGTAGCCATCTCGTTTCCGCCTCCGATTTCGCTTTTTTCCGACTTTGTAACTGAAACGCTGGGAACTTGGGTGTGACGTCATTTTCAGCTCCTATATTTGACTTCTGAGGTAACTCGAACGCAGCACTAGTACTATAATTTGAATTCTATTGTAGGTCAATCAATTGGTCACATGACATGGAAGCTATTAAGGGAAAACAGCCTTTTTTGAGAACATCAACTGGTAATTTATTGACGGTCCCTTATTCAACACCTGATGTTGACAGTGAGGGTGCCGAGTAGATTTAACCGTTCTGCTGTTTCTATTAGAGTTAAAAGACACCGGTAGATCCGCAGTGGATGTCCGTCGGATATCCAACCTAAAACTAACTTCACCGCTGTATTGACATAAAAAATTATTTGTTGCCTCGGCATATTTTTTATGCGAACATGTGCCCCTAAATACATTTTACAATTCGCACACATCTATTTTTAGTCGCAAATGCTGGTGAAACGATCGCACTGTTGAGCCCTGTCTATGCACCTATCCACTACTTCCTGAACTGGTGGCTGCTCCTTTATTGTCTCACATTATTAGACAAACTGATTAATCCAGGTGTGTCTGATTAGTCACATTGATCAGTCACACCTGGATTAATTACTTAACGATTAAAAACAGCGTGTATAAATCAGTACAGATATTGGTATTCGCCAAATTATGAGACCCTCCATCCCTTCTATGAGAAGTTTCAGGGGCACGCTGTCCTCCAATTTTCCAGAAATTTTCAGGAGTGCGCTAACGACTGTAGAAGTGACTCCATCTGTTTCTTATGCATGGTCAGCGGTGCCCTGGCTGGAAAAGCTGTAGTCATGGTGGTGTTAGATATCTAAAGGTGTGCAGCGTCCTCTCCTGATGGCCGACCACAATCTGACTTTATGCATCAAAAACATTAAAAAGACATTACGGCTGTCCATTTTGTGGAAGTAGAAGTGGAAGTCAATGTGAAAGGGGTAATGTACTGAAGTCATTTACTGTAATACCGAACCACCATTAAGTTTATGCTCGTTTCAAAGAGTACCAAAGCGGCCCAGACTGAATGTGCTGACTTTAAATCCTGCTTTTACAGGGATGCATTATTGAAAATGTCACTTATTCCCACTTTTAATACCTGAACATAACACTACTGCTTAAAGATAGAGTGTGCAGAAACAGGG